TAGCAAAGAACGATTGTTGGTGAAGAACATTTTGCCTACTGGATACGATACTTGTGATACGGAATTATCCCCTGCCACTTATCAACGCCTTCGGCGATTGAATATTGACCGCATCGTGCCGCGGCCTTTGCACGACGCGTTACTTGTCCCGTGACTTATGACCCATCTGAACGATCTACACGTGGTGTGGGGAAGATGACAGGGATAATGACGAGCTGAAAGGCGGGGTAAAACATAATCTTGGAGGCGGAGGAACAAGAAGTTAGTGCATTCACGCCATTAATATGGCCAGCCCCCACTTCCCGACTCTCGTTGCGGACCATTATTTCGGCACCATGCTTCCTATTCTTATTGAAGCTGCCTGGTTGTTCGTCATACCGAGGTTAAATCCTTGTCTTTCGTGTAGGATGGCATTTGATAGCAAACATCGCTTAGATATTTCACAAGAATTTGATTGCGCGTTATGTCAGCTGAGTTGCAGCCTAAGATATACCGTGGAGACGAAAGATGGTACTGATAGCCCGAAGTCAATGATGAATGGCTCCTGGCTGCGAGCAGCTAGAGATGTTGGTGCTCATCATGTTGTGAAGGACCAACCTATATAAGAAGGAGAAGTTTACGTAGCATTTTGTGTAGCATAGATCTGATGAATGATAACAGGAAGTCTTTGAGCCAATTAGATCGCGTTATTTTCTCGCGAAGGAGAAGCTGTCGGGAGTGATGGTACGTGCTATGCAGCGGAAGCTGCATGAAGCGCGCGCCGCACTTTATACTACGAGAAAACACGCCAAAGGGGCGTGTAAACACAGACTTTGCGGTTCCATGTCTCTTTACCGAACTCGTCCAACGTAAGAATTCAAAAAAAAAACAATTAGGCATTTTTTAGTAAGCATAAAGGGAAAGCATAGCAATATTACCCCTCAATAAGATCGTCAATGCATCTTGCTGACAATCAAGTATCTTGCGATTGCCGCCTTCGCTAACCTCACGTAAGCAATATATAACCTCCTCCTTGTGTGACCACACCTACGAATGCCCAGGCTTGATGCAGTCGTGCGTTCCCCGCGTAGTTACATGCGCCACCCTATCTATAACACAGTCGTCTTTCGTTTAGCCCAAAATCTTGCGCATGACGATAGGGCAGATATGATTTCTCTCGAGCTAATTCCAGAAACTTGTCTGACTCCTCGACCGCCGAATAGTGAATGGATAAGAGCAAGAATGCTTTGTTGCACATGTTCGTTACGAGCGGCTCACGGGAACAAGCTCACCGATCAAAGCATGATTTAAATGGAGCAATGCTGTGCAGGTATCCCCAACATATCATTTCTGGCTCTATCGTTGGTTGTTGCATCCGCACCATGTATTTACTGAAGTGCTTGTGCAGCTTGCAAAATGTGCATCATGTGAACGCTCTGCAGTAATTTGTCCCTTTGAGGCAAATGGACGATAACGAACAAGAAGATATTTGGCAGATCTCCCTCTTTATAAGTCGTATCCTCAATGGTTGTCCTACCCTTCTGATCTTCTTGTTTCCCTTCCAGTCACTTCTCTTCATATCCTTCATACCACTTGTTTAAATGAGAAAACTGTAGCTTCACCATGTCGCTACTTTCTACTCCAAACATCGGTGTCGCCTTTGGCGTTGCCGCGCTCTTTTTCGTGATCCGCTATCTGCTGGTGAAAAGACATCAGCTACCTCTTCCTCCAGGTCCCAGAGGCCTCCCGATCCTGGGTAATATCAAGGACATGCCTAAGGTCAACGACGTCGAATGGATGCATTGGCTCAAACACAAGGACACCTATGGTCCGATCAGCTCTGTCTCTGTTCTCGGCCAAACGTTTATAATTGTCAATGATGCAGACATCGCACTGAAGCTCTTGAAGGACCGCGCACCAAACTACTCTGCAAGGCCGAAACAGGTCTTTAGTGGTGAGATGTACATCTAACCGAATCCGAATTGATATTCTTTCGTGGAAGCTAATACGAACAGGGTGGGCTGGAAGAATATGTTGGCCATGCTGCAGCCTGGTGCCGAATTTAGACAGCAACGTCGCAACCTTGCTAAGATTGCCGGATCGACTACCTCTATTGCAGCATTTGATCGTATACAAAATGAAGAGGCAGCACATTTCTTGCTCAATCTCTTGGATAGCCCCGAGAATTTGTTCGATCATATCAGAAAAGAAGCTGGCGCGGTGATATTGAGAATCACTTATGGGTACACACCCAACGCGCGAGGTCCGGACCCACTCGTTGATATGGCGGAACAAGCGATGACCGACATTGGGATTGCAGGTGTGCCAGGAAAGTGGACCGTTGATCTACTACCGTTCTGTAAGCGAAAAACACAGGTTATTGGAATACTTTCTCAGTTCTGACACTCCCCTAGTACGCTACCTCCCCGACTGGTGTCCAGGCACCGGCTTCAAAGATGTAGCCCGAGAAATGAGAAAGAATTTCTTCCGCAGCGCTGAACAGCCCTACAATTGGGTCAAGGAACAGATGCGAAACAAGAAAGCAAAAACGTCCTTCTTATCCCAGGCCATTGAGTTTCTTGGCACAGAGGCTTCGATGGAGGATGTTCATAGATGGTCCGCAGTCTCCATGTACTTGGGTGGCTCTGACACAACAGTATCGGCCATTATGGACTTCTTTCTAGCCATGGCTATCTTCCCAGATGTACAGAAGAAGGCACAGGAGGAGCTGGACCGTGTGATCGGTGGTGATCGATTGCCGACTACAAGCGACAAAGCTAGCTTACCGTATATTGAAGCCATGGTCAAGGAGACCCATCGTTGGCACCCTGTTGCACCGATGGCTTTGCCCCATTGCCCCTTAGAAGAGGATAGCATCAACGGGTATAGGATTCCGAAAGGGGCCCTCATCATGACTAATATCTGGTATGTTCCTCACCTCTTACTTTATACTGGTTTCTTTCTTATCTTATATATCATAGGTGGTTCACCCACGACCCTGCCACATACGCAGATCCAATGAGCTTCCGGCCCGAACGCTTCATAGAAACTCCAACCCATACCGCCGAACCCGATCCACGAAACTGGACATTCGGTTACGGCCGTCGTGTCTGCCCCGGTCGCTATATCGCCGACAATGCGCTATTCACAACCATCGCGCAATCGCTAGCAGTGTTCAGTATTGAGAAGCTCGTTGAGAATGGGAGGACAGTAGAGCCGAGAATTGAATTCAAGCCTGGTATTGTTAGTCATCCAGTTCCATATCGTCTTAGCATTAAACCAAGGAACGAGAGGTGCCGTGAGTTGATTGAGAAAGCTGAACAACTCTACCCATGGGGTGAGAGTGATGCACAGACACTGGAGAGTATGAACTAGGAAAGGGTCATGGCATGTACATGGTGCAAGCTGAAGACGAATGATAGTAAGAAATTGTATCCATGTGTTACGTTGTATAAGCGTGGTGATGGCGTCTGCAGCTGATGTTGGACATACTCGTTGAGGTCGTGCATCAGGGTTGGCGTAAGATTTGGGATAGGGCTCACTGAATAAAGACAGCCACGATCCTCAGTGAATACAGCATCATGTGTCGGATGGAAGAAAAGTCACAACAAGACAAAAATATGTTTGCCTGAACCTAGACCCCAAGCCAATTCATCGGCTTGACGCATCGCGGATCGAAGGCGCGTCATCAAAATATAAGATGACGGACAGGTATTAATCTTGCTTCCCTGTCCACACTTGCCAACGGAAGGATAACTAGTTGGCAAGCTCTAGCATAATTTGGAAGCGGAATGAGATGACCGAAGTCAAGTCAAAAACTCTCCACTCATGGTCTGCCACACTCGTCTTGAGTATTGCAAGGCACTTGAGATAAGAGTAAAGCCCTCAAAAGTCTCTCTATTGTGGACTCCTATGAAGTTATAGACTGAACGTCGTCTCGTCAATGTAAAGCCTTTCTGTTTCAAACTCCATAGAGTCCACAATAGAGAATGTACAACATCCAAAGACATTGTACCATGTACCAACACCACAAGTAGACACTTGGCCCGGGCGGTGGCCAGGTCTGGTCGTGCTCATTTTGCCAGAATTTCTTCTTCGCAAAAAAAAGCTTCTCGCAATGCGGCTGGCGCCAGACTGCGAAAGGTGTCAGAACATGGAGCGATTGTGACAGGTGTGGTGGTTACATCCATGTTCACTAGTCGCTCTAAGAATCAATAGCCATTCGATCAGCTTGATCGCAAGGCTTGTGATCCCTTCACCGCATTCCGTCCTCTGACCAAAGTCGGAGGTCGCCGCTACGGGAAGTGAGGAAACCGAACACCTAACGGTTTGCCAGTTCCTCGGCGGTTGTTCTGTGCAGTCCAAGTACGCTCAAAACGAAATAGTTTACGTGTCCGTATGGTTCCAGATGGGCCGTGGTTCCAGATAAGAGCTAGGTAGCGTTGACATGATTGCATTTCTAACAAGACATTCGGTTGGTGTGCAATGCAGTCACTCCGAACTCTTTGCGGGATATCTCCCGAGTTTGATGCTCTAGCGTGAACGGAAGATGAGCTAGGCCTAAACGTTCAGGGTTGAGACTTGTGGAGGTTCGCATCATGCATCTGGGGGTCTAACCAGAGAATGATGCTACACCTTATCGATATGGAATCCATTGGTCTTCAGACCATGGGTCCCGGACGCAATAAATGGCGCGTCAACAGGACGAAGCGGATAGGATCGATATGCCGAGGTCGAGCTTGGTAGGTAGAAAGAAATGATTGAAAGTCTCGTCAACGGATAGAGCAAAGGAAAGACGGTGGCTCCGAAGGCTCCGAAGGCTAGAGAAACGGAGATGTATGGAAGTAGGAGGGACGTAGGTGCGTTGCGAGATTTTATATCGTCATGTAGATGTGGGTGGCTGGGCAAAGTAGCCGGAAGCGAGGATTTTGGCGTCGGTCCGTGCAATCGCGTCATCGAAACGATCAGGGCCCATGTTCATACTGACCATACAACGAGATTCTTCCAACTAACAGAGCACAATGGTAAGATGGCTACGACCGACCTTGTAGTATCCTATGCGCGTGCTAACCAATTCAAAGCCACCAAAGCGCCGCGGACCGCCGTCCAAGGCGCCTGTCAAACGGCCATCGAAGCTCGCCAAAGAAAACGGCCTGACTGCAGAGCAAGAAGCTGAAATACGCGAGGCATTTGGCTTGTTTGCCGTTTCGCATCCTGACCACGAAGACTCAAAAGAAGGCGTACTAAAGAGAGGCGATGTGCGAAGGTGCCTTATGTAGGTGACACTTGAATGCGCCTGAGTGCATTACGCACTGACTGACGACGGTGAAGTTCTCTCAACCTCGCACCGGACAAATCGGAAGTGCCATCCATTCTCTCTACAATCGATCCCCTCAACACCGGCTTCGTTAGTTTCGTACCTTTCCTGTCATACGCCGCAATCGCAATACATTCCAAGGACCAAGGGTCTGACGAGGACGACGACGATGAGGAGGATGAATACCGAGAGGAGAGTAATGCAGAAGAGGTCAAAGCAGCATATCGACTGTTTACGCACGGTACTGCAGGACCTATTACACTGGCGCACCTTAGAAGGGTTTCCAAGGAGTTGAGAGAAGACGTGCCAGATGACGTCTTGAAGGATATGATTCTTGAGGCGAATGGCGGGGTTAGGGGTCAGGGTAAGGACGCTGGTGGTGTCAGTCTTGAGGATTTTGAAAGTGTGATGAAGAGAGCTGGGCTATCCTTTGGATGAGAGACGATGATGCAAGGAACGAAAACACGATAGCATGGAGTTTTACATGCAGGCACGGATACGTCGAAGGAAATCTCGAGCTGCGGTATTCCAAAGCATTGGATCTACAAAAGACAGTCGGTGGAAAGCTGGAATGTTGCGCGCATCCTGTGCTGCCAAGCACATGTTGGTACTGGGCACGACGGGCCACGATGCAATTCCACGCTCGTGAAATCTAGGCCAGAGTCGCCTTATCAACGCAAAGCATGTTTCAGTGGGAAGGGAGGGGAGTGCTGGGTAGAAGGAATGTAGCCATTAACGCAACAACAATGCCGGAGAAAGGAGTAAAGGAACGAATAGCGTTTGGGCACTACAATCTTGTAGATGCAAAGAGGTTGGTTCTTTGTATGTTGAACCATACTCAATCGAAATTAAAATCTGCATCTGCATCTGCATCTGCATCTACATGTGCTATGCTACTATGTATAGCATTGGCGAATGGGCTCGGCGCCGATAGAAGGTGAGGCGGTACGAGTGGGTTCCAAAGTTCCAAAGTCCCACAGGTGGCTGCCAAGATGCAGGGACCTTACGTAGCAGGCACACGAAGACGGATGTAACGGCGCTGCGTATGTAACAGCAACCGCACTCGATTACACATCCCCTCCCTGCTTGTAGTACTACTGTGGACGGAGACTCCTTTTGTACGCTTGTCTCCTTGATGTGTTTACGTGTCTTCGTCGCCACACCACACTAAACCATCCCGGGAGCGCAGTGCAGCTGAATGCCCGCGCCCTGACCTGCAGTCCCTTTTCTGCCCTCACACCTCTCCCAGTTCCATGTCCAGCGGCATTGAAGTCAGCGGAAGCCAACGACGACCCGGCATCTGGTCCTACTTTAGTTTCTCTGGCCCACGCCGTCGTGTCTCCGTCTCCCTGCCTCGCAACTCGGATCCCAATCGCGGCGTCGACGACGACGACCCTCACGCAAAAGCCGCTAGACACTCCCGCAATCGCTCATCCTACTCGGACGCATTCATGAACGAACACAAGGGCGGCGCCGTCATGAATCAAGGGCAGCGGCTACGCTACCTCAAGACGGGGGGTGTCATTGCCTTTATACTTCTCGTGTTGTACTTTATTGCGCCCAGCGACCGCATCCCAAGACCAGGCGGTATGTTCACGACCTGCTACTCCGTCATTCACGAGCTAACAATGGCAGCGGTATCGAATGCCCCTGGAGGCAACGCAGCAGCCGGTGACGCAAAGGCCGAGTGCACCAAGTCCTATCACAAGGACAAGCCTCTGTACCAGTATGCCCTCATGATCGACGCCGGCAGCACAGGCTCGCGTATCCACGTTTACAAGTTCAACAACTGCGGCCCCAGCCCCGAGCTGGAGAAGGAGGATTTCAAAATGACACCTAAGAAGGAGGGAGGATCCGGTCTGTCAGCTTACGCGGACGATGCAGAGGCTGCTGCGCGGAGTCTTGATGTCCTCATGGAAGTTGCTCTCCAGAGCGTGCCCAAGGAATACCAATCTTGCACTCCTGTTGCTGTAAAGGCAACTGCCGGTCTCCGCAAGCTTGGTGAGCAGAAGAGCAATGACATTCTCGCTGCTGTGCGTCGTCATCTCGAAAACGACTTCCCCTTCCCGGTTGTGTCTGAAGAAAAGAAGGGCGTCGAAGTCATGCCTGGCGAGATGGAGGGTGTATACGCATGGATCACGGTCAACTATCTTCTCGGCAAGATTGGCGGTCCCGACAAGAACCCTACGGCGGCAGTCCTTGATCTGGGCGGTGGTTCCACACAAATCATCTTCGAGCCTACGTTCCCCGACACACCCCGAGGCGGACTGCCAACGAAGCTCGCAGAGGGCGACCACAAGTACGAACTCAGCTTTGGCAACCGCAACTTTGACCTATACCAGCACTCGTACCTTGGCTACGGTTTGATGGAAGCCCGCAACAACCTGCACAGCACCATTCTCGCGAGCCTCCACGACACGCACAAGGACAACCGCGAATACCTCAAGCAGCCCATTGTCAACCCTTGCATACCCCCTGGCATGTCGCGCGAGATTGAAGTCCATATGCCCAAGGGCCACCCATTGGGCGACTCGCTCACAGTCAACATGACGGGACCCTCTACCTCTGCGCCAACTCAATGCCGGGGTTTGGCAGAAAAGACTCTACACAAAGACGACGAATGCGCGATTGCGCCGTGCGCCTTCCGTGGCGTCCACCAGCCCCCCTTTGCGCAGACTTTTGCCACGGAAGCCGTGTACCTCCTCTCATACTTTTACGACCGCACACAGGAGCTCGGCATGCCCGAGTCGTTTACCCTCCGCGAGCTCCAGGACCTCGCGGACAAGGTGTGCAGCGGCGAAAAGGGGTGGGATGTCTTCTCTGCTGTGCCCCAGGCCTTGGATGAGCTCAAGGGCCGTCCCGAGTGGTGTCTCGATCTCAACTTCCAGTTTGAGCTCCTCAGGAGTGGATACGGTATGCCTATTGACCGTGAAGTCAAGATTGCAAAGAAGATCAAGGGAAATGAGCTGGGTTGGTGTTTGGGTGCTAGGTAAGAAATCTGTTCCCTCTGTTTGTTTTTTGCTTTGATTGTTGGAATTCGTGGGCAACAGAACTAACATGTGTAATAGTCTTCCGTTGCTCGAGGCCAACTCTGGATGGCAGTGTAAGATTAAGCAGGTACAGTAGATGATGAAGTGTGTTTGAATTGAGGAAGTGGATAAGAATCTTAATATAGAAGGTGCACTTGAGATAAGTGCTGGTGACGAACTTTCGGTCTATTCCCTTTTTTTTCCCCGCTGCGGAAGCAAAAAATCTATGGGGAAACTTGGGGGGAAAGTATGGGTTTAGGCGTTTTTCTTCTTCTTCTCTTTTTTTGCTCAACGAAGTGCGGGGGGATTGAAGGCAATGAACAAAAAAAGAAATTCTGGAATCATTTTACCAACACTCACATTTATGGATCAGGTTATTTTCACGTATAGAATTGTTGATAGATGGGAAGAGAAAGAAATGAAGTTCTTTTTCTTCTTCTTCCTCGTCATAGATCTAATGGTATATTTCCAAGGAAACAAAAGACCTTTTTTTTTCGTGGCAGGATATTAATGAAAGAAAGAAAAGATGTGTATATATGTACATGCGCATGACACCTCCGAATCTATGGTTCTAATGGTTGTTTCGTCTAGAAACTGGAAAAGAAAAGAAAATAAGAAGAGAAGAGAAGAGACAAAAAAGGGGGACACATCTACAATCCTCGACAAGCATCTAATCAGAAAGACCCGATATTCCCCTTGGTATACATAGTCTGCCTCCTCTTTGCGCGATGCTGATGCCCTTCTACCCCATGCCGCCCCATGCCCATTCCATCCCCCAACATATTATTGACGCCCGCCCTGGCCTTCCTAACGGCCCTACGCTTGGCCTCTCTCCGCTTCAGCTTGCCACTCCAATGCTTGAACTTGCGGATGATACGATCGGCCATGAGCACAAGCAGCGTGACAAACATGACGGGGACGGCAATGATCCAGAAAAAGGCGTCAGAGTGGTGCTGGACGCCGTTGAAGCGGGCAAAGTTCTGGCCAAAGTAACCAACGAGGAAAGTGAGGGGCAGGAAGAAGATTGTGGTTGCGGTGAGGATCTTCATGGATTCGTTTTGGTAGGCGCCCATCATGTTGAAGATGAGATCGATGAGGTTGTCGGCTGCGCGGCGCATCTGGTCAAGTGAGGCCGTGATCATGATGCAGTGGTCTTCGACGTCGCCGAGGTACGTGTGGGCGAGGGGGCTGATGTTGATGGATGTCATCGTCTTGCGCGTAGCGAGGTTGGAGTTTGTGTGGGCGAGCATGGATTGCGTCATGGGGTCTGCTTTGTGGTCGCGCAACGAGTTGATGAGCGAGACTATGGGCTGGATTGTGTTGCGCAGGATGGAGAGCTCCGATGTGAGGAGATAGAGGAGTTGGCTGTGGTGCAGCTCGGGCTCCTCGAGCACGTCGAGTTCCAGTTCGCCCATGGCGTCCTCGTAGGCGGCCACGACGGGTATGGCTAGATCGACAATGGCGTCGATGATGGCTTGCACAATCATGCTGCTGTCTTGGCTGCGACGGAGAATGGTGTCTTCGGTGCGGAGACGCTTCAGAATCATGCCTTCGACATCGTCGGCCGAGTGCTCGAAGAAAGAGATGACCGAGTTGTCGGCGAGCAAGAAGATGCTGACCTGCTCAACGCTGACAGTCAAGTGCTTCTCTGTAAGCGCCGAATGCTGTTCCAGGTAGACTATACGGTCGAGGTTGTATCCACCACGGTAACGCTGGAGGGTACGGACTGCAGCCGTTGCTGGAGGCGTGGCTGTTCGAAGCCTTTCAAGAGGCGTACCGTCAAGCTGCTTCTCTATACCATCCAGGGCGTGTATCATGTCGTCCTTTTTCGACTTTGCCCCGTCATTGTTTCCCGAAAAGAGCATCCTCTTTGCCTGTCTGAACAAGGATGGCTTTCGATTCTTCTTTTTCTTATGGTGATGGCTGGAATGACGTGAGCGGGAGCGCAACCGAGAAGCCTCATAACGTTGATCGGCGTCGTCCAAGTCCGAGTCGGAATCGCTTTCCGAGTCTTCGTCTACGGGGGTGCGGACGAGCTTGGAGAGAGTCAAGAGCATGAAGGCCTGGTCAGAATACCAGTCGACCTTTGTCCTGCTCTGTGGGCTCATCAAGTCCTCAATGGCCAGGCGATGCAGCTGCTTGTGGTTTCCCAGGGTGCGAATTACATCCCAGCTCAAGCCATTGACATTGATCCATCGCGAGGTGACCCAGGCCTCCTTGGGGTGTTTTAGGAATTCCTCGAGCGTGTCGTTGTCGAGCTCGTGGCACTCGACCCTCTGGTCGGAAAAGTCGACTACGGTGATCTGGCAGGGGGCATACAGATGGTGGTAGTTTGCAGATTCATTGTCGTTTTTTGTGTCGACACCGGGCTCGGCGCCAGGTTCCTGATGGTGGTACTGGCGGGTGGGGGATTGGTAGTGCTTGACGGTGTGAGATCTGGTGATTCGGCGGCGCAGGGTTGAGTCTACAGAACCGCGGTCCGGGGAGAGGAGGGTGTCGGGGTTGGTAGGGACAGCGCTGGTCGCGGTGGCTGCAGTGGCGGAGCGGCCGCGACTTCTTTGTTCTCCATTGAGCTGGGTGTCGAGGGTCAATTGCGGAGGGGCAGCTGAGTCGGAGACAGGACGCTCGGGGTCGGTGGGCGGCGGAGGCACAGAGGCAAAGTCCTGGACCCGCGTGTTGTGGGGAGAGGCCGACATAACCGGGCGGATGGAGTCGATGGACGGAGAAAAGCGCGTGTTTGACGGACTTGTCTTGGCTGCTTACAGGGCTGGGCAGAAGGTCAAGCAACTAGGTGTAGATTTGGGGCGTCGATATATTGTGCAGTTCGGACGTTGGCGAATACGGGATGGCAGCGGGCGGACGGGCAGGCTGCGAACAGTCCGCCCATGGAGGCTACGAGGTTGTGAGGGAGCATGCTGTCTTAGCTGGTGCAGGGTTTCACCATGCCATGTCTCGCCATGGGCGCGACGAAGAGCGGGAGGCAGAGCAGTTGGCCTGCAGCATAAATCCGCTGACCAATCAAAGGGGGCATCACTGTCAGCGGGCAGCAAGAGAGCAGCAGCAGCATATAGGCATAATTAGGGTGTAGTGGTAGTAGTCATAGTGATAGCATGCACCCGGCCGAAAACCAACGTGTGCTGGCATGAATGCAGCAAGCCGCTCAGCCGGAGAAAAAAAAACACACGTCTTAAGCACGCCACCTGTGTGGCGCAAAGGGGGGGGTTGCATTGGGCAGAAGCGAGTGCAGAAGAGCACATAGGATAGGGTGATTAGTGAGATGATTTGCAGGCGATATTTGGGAGCTGCGACGGGAGGTGTTGGCGATAGATTTGAGCGCGAGCGGGCGGGCGTGACGCATGAAATTAGCGGTTCGAGACTGCCCTTCTCGGCCGGCGGTGCCAATGCTTGTGCTTGACCGTGACGGCGACTAGCAGGAGCAAGTGCAGGAGCGAGGGCGTGCAAGTGCAAGCGCAAGGCCACGCCTTCCCTCCCCGAACCGCCTCTTGCCTCCCCCATCCATCCACCCATCCATTCATCCACCCACCAAAGCCAGCCCAGCCCAGCCCAGTCAGTCTCAGCCAGGCAGGCAGTCTGTAGCATAGCACCCACCCACACCCACCACACTACACTACACTACTGCCACCACTCATACATACATACATACATACATACATACACTCTGCAGCCTTACCGCGATCTACATCCACATCCACATACATACGCATACATACATAGACACACATCCTCGCCTCTCTGCACGCTACCACTGTCCCCCCCCTCCCCCCAGCCTGTCGCGTGGCCCGTCGCCGGCAGCGCCAGTGTGCGTGTGAGTGAGAGCGTGAGCGTGAGCGAGAGGGCTCTTGCCTCGACCCACCCCCCCCAGCCCGGAGCACTCAATCCATCTCACACATCCCGGCACCCCTAGCAGCAAGCAAACAAGCCTCATCTCCCGCCGCAAGCTGCCCACTCTCCTTTTCGCTCTCCCACTCTCTTCATCACCGCATCCCCATCAGTCCCGGCTGCTGCTCCAACCGTCAGCTCGTCGGGCTCCCGTGCTCCTTCTCACTCCCTCGCCGCCCACCATATGCGACACTAGCCCCCAACCCGCTAAACACCACCCTTCCCCCCAGCGTCCACTCATCCGCCACGCCCACCAAGCGCCACTGCAAAGACGCCCGCCATGCGCGAAGTCAACTTCAGCATCCCCAATGCCAACAAGGCCTCGGTCGGCATCACCACCGCCCTCTACGACCGCCGCGCCCTCGACTGCACATCGACCCTGCCGCTCATCAACTCGCTCAACCACCTCGCCTACCTCACCACATCGTCGGCCCGCATACGCGACATCCTGACCGTCGATGGCGGCATCGAACGCCTGATATGCATCCTCAAAGAAGGCCGGAGCAAGGACATGATGGACATGTGGAAATGGAACCTCGCCTTCCAGTGCATCTTCAACATCGGCGTACGCGGCTCCGAGAGCGTCAGGACGCGTGTTGTCGAGGCCGACATGGTGCCCGTCATTGCCTCGATTCTCGACAATTACATCAAGGTTGTCGACAAGATGCGGGCCAGAGCAGAGGCCGAGATGCACAAGTCGTCGCGCCTGGGAACCTCGAGCCGCCACCACTCATCACGCACCGGCGAAGCTGCCTCCAGCTCCGCCCATCGAACAGACCGGTCACGACGCATCATCCCCCCTCCCATCGAGATTCCCCGGCCCCTCGACGCACCCCTGGCCGAAACTACGCCCGTCCCGACCTTCTCACTGAGCTCACCACCAGAGCGCACCACCTTTGCCCGCGGCCGCCCTCCTCACCACCATCACCACCGCAGCCACGAGAGCCGGGCACAGCTGTTTGGCGCTCCAGCCAACAACACACGCAACCTCACCCAGCCCTTGGTCACTGCCCTGCCTTCCATGGACACAGCACCCGACGCCTTCACCCTACGCCCCGTGCGAGATGCCGACCGTCTACCCTCGATGCTGCCTGCCCTACAGGGGGAGATGACCTCCCAACCAGAGTCACCCACCACGCCAAGTGCCCCGCAAGCACGCCAGACCAGCCCAAGAGCGGGGCTGGCCAGAACCCGTCGCCGGCCATCCATTCGACACCAGTTATCCGTCTCTGGCGAGTCGGATCTCGAAGCGCCGCAAGACGACATGTCGGCAGAAGCTCCCACTGCGGCGGGCCCGGCTGTAAACGAACCAATCGTAGGCATCCAAAACAACGAGATTAACATGGCCGATATTGTTGGCAACGCAGAGATGCTCGATGCAGGCAACACTCCCGTTCCCATTGCAGCACCTTCCGAGGGCACCGACGAAAACAACGAGACCTTCAACATTACCCACCGCCCAGCCCTCGATGGCAGCATCATCAATCCCACAAACACCCCGCCCAACAACCCCATTACCGGCTTCTCTCCTCTGCCCCCGACCATCAACGTTGTAAACACCAACCCCCCACCACCATGGTACCCACGCTACGCCCAGGAACGCAATGCCTCGGCTAGTGTACTGGCTGCCATGCCCCGTGACGAGGATGTCCTCATGTCTCTGCAGCTTCTGGCCTACGTATCAAAGTACTGCAACCTACGATCCTACTTCCAAAAGTCTCATCTGGTACCCAAGCTCAAGATTGGCATTGAACTTTTGGATGGCGAGGCGTCCACTCCAAAGGCTGCTGACGAGGAGGAGGAAGAGCTCGAAGAGTATGAACTCCCCGACGACTTCAACATCTTCCCTCTTGTCGAGCAATTCACCGTCCGCCACCACACATCAGACATGCAATACTGGGCCAGTGTTGTCATGCGCAACCTCTGCCGGAAAGACGACTCCCGTGGAGGCATCCGGCAATGTGCATACTACCAATGCGGACGCTGGGAAGAGTACACGCGCCAGTTTGCAAAGTGCCGCCGCTGCCGGAGGACAAAATACTGCAGCAAAGAGTGCCAGAAGAGCGCGTGGGTCTTCCACCGCCACTGGTGTGTGGCCGCTACCTAGGATATGCGGATCATACCTATTCTTTAATTGTTGTTTTTCTCTTTTGGAAATCATCCGTCATCGTCATCGTCATTAACATCATCATCATCATCATCATCATCACCGCCAGTGGGATTGTTCATCATCTCTTGGCTGCATATCGCATGGCGCTGGGCAAACTGCTTTCGTTTTTTCTCATGTTTTCTTTTGTCATAATCTTCTTTTCCTCTTTTTTTCTATTTTCTCTGTTCAAAGGGTGCAAATTAATTAATGAGCGACACGATTACTGGATACCACACAAACAAGTTTTACACAAAACTAGTACCAAATCAACTACTAGTCAGAATGCTTCTTGTTCTTGTTCTTGTTCTTCTTCTCTCGGGCAGCCATTAAAAAGGGGAAATCCAAGGGGGAGTTTGCAAAGCAAAGTGCGCAAAGACTGTCTGAAGCAAAGGCCTGCAAAGGCGATAAGCAGAGCGAAGAACCAAAAAGAGAGAGAGAGAGAGATCACTATACCATTTCATTGTTATTGTTTTTTTTTTTCTGGAGCGCAGCATTGTTAGCATTTGGTAAAACCGGAGTAGTACAGGGTTTCCCGGCGTAGTGAGTAGTGTCTGTGTGTTTATTTCTGGTGCAATTGAAATGCCATGCATGCATTTGGACTCGTCTCTGTTCGTCTGTCTGTCTATCTGTCCGTTTGTCTGCTGGGTCAGATTTCTCTGTCCTTGTCTGTGATGTTTTTAATTTGCAAGTGTTTGATTTGTAATCCCGTTTTATTCCTACATACGTATAGATTGATGTTGAATTCAAGTAGTCTGTTCATTTGTCATCATCAAAGAGAAATCTGATTAGTGATTCTTTTTTTCCCTCCAAACCCCTTACTTTGTAACACCTAGTTTCACCATTACTCTATCCACTTGTGAAACAAAAAACCCATTTTTTCTATCATTGCTCCCTCCTCCATCTACACTCACTCACACAATCGTAACAACCACCCGCTCCCACTTCCCAGAAACCACCTTCTTCCCCCTCCACCTCTCCGCAACACCCCCAATATTCCCCGCATCAACTGCCACATCTTTGACATTAATCCGTAATTTCCACACCCCGACCCTCTTCCACGTTCCCTTGTTCAACCCAGCAGGAACAAGCATCAACCCCGCAAGCCGCCGCTGGATATTCTTCGTTCCCGCAGTCCGCACAACCTGGACTTCAGATAGTAATGCATAGATTGCGTTGCGAGGTGGGGAAGCCCGACCAGCAGGGTCATCAGGGTAGTATTCCAGCTCTGGATCCCAGCGGAAATGGCAGTCAGCAGGTACTGTACTGCTACTTGCGATGTCTTGCATCTGCACTGCCAAATCAGCCGGCCAATTGGATTTGACTGGTAAGACGCTCGTCTCGAGTATTATCTGCGTACTCGAGAACTCGTGGGCTGCGGTGTCTGGGGCGTGGCGTGCGGCGTGGCCGGGGAACTGGAATCCCCGTGGTTTGGCCCAGAAGATGTCGTGCCACACGACAAGATGTGGTGAGTTGAGTGCTTTGGAGCGGACGAAGAGCGAGTCGTCGGCTAGGAGGAAGGAGACCTGGTAATATCTGTACATGGGGATAGAGAACCAGGACCAGCTGGGTGTGTTGGGTGGTGGCCATAGCGCTGCTTCAGCTTCTGCTGCGGACTTTGCGGGAGCGTCTTGTGGTATTATCCCAGGTATCCATGTGGAATCTGGCACTGGATTGCCGTTGGGAATCTGGTTTTCGATGCGGACGAGCCATGAGGGGTTCTTGTCGACGTGTCAGAGTAGCGCAGTGGGAAGGATCTCGTTCCATAGTCCAGTGAAATATGTCATCTGGTCTCGATAGAGAAATGCACAAAATATGTCTTCAGACACAACTACGCGGTCTTTTTTTTTGAAAGAAAGAACACTTATGTTCGTCTCTAGATAGCGAGACGCACCCCATCGCGGGACAGTTTTGCCAATCGGATCTTCGGAATTATATAGTTACTAGTTTAGAGGGCTGTAATAACGTTGCACAAATCTATTGCTATTGTTGTATAGGACACTAGCCCCTAGTGAGGATCTCTATTATGTTGCGTATATTATCAACTACTTCTTCATTGCTGTTAATCGTAGACTAAGGCCTTCGTTAAGATTTGAGAGACGTATAGGGCTAGTATATACTATAAAAATAATACTTCTGTACTTAAAAGCCATGTTAACCTTTATTAAATTAGACGCTAGGAGTTTCGCTAGCTAAAGTAGAAGGCCGTTGAAAGCCTTAAGATATAAGGGACGCTCTAGCTATGTTAAGATACTAACATTATACTATATAGAATTGTAATAAATTTAAGGCTACGCCTACTTAGACGATCCTCTAAAAATACCTATAGAGTATAGCATAGCCGTAGGTCTAGCATGTATTTATCATACTGTCCGTGTGCCCGTGCCGCCTGCGCCGCCTAGTAGTCCAAAGGTTGCAGCTCGCTTCCTTTATGCCCTCACTAACACGAAGTATTATAGACAAAGCTGGCTACGTACTCGTATAAGAAGCCCCTCTTAGCGTCCGTAAGTCATGCCACGCCCTCGCAGACTACCGCGACGTTTCTCACATTGCCATCCCCGGGTGTAGTCAACTATCCTGGGGGATCTAAGGGGACCTACACCCTCAGGAAGTCTGCATACACCAGTCGCAAAGTATGAGTTGCCTTGGGATTGCAGCCAGAGATTACATGCAGAAATTCCAGCCCATCCATCGTCGCCAAGTCACTCACCGAGAGGTTTGTACGACCTGGGCGCCCGGCCTCTTGCAACTCGTTGGACACCATGGGTCTTAGATAAGAGGAAGCTGCATCAAGGCTAGTCCTTGGCACTAGCTTGATGAGATACATATTCCATACGAACCTTACGTGCTCTCCATGTTTAGCGAGCCTAAGAATCATCCACTACTACGCACACGAAGGTCCTGCCCAAGAGAACAGCATTGTCTGCATATATCATTATGAGCGATCCTGTCGACCCTCTGGCCAACGAGACCATTGCTCGTACTTTCGTTCTTCGCGAGAAGATTAATACAGAGTCCTTTTTACCTCATATGGACATCCACGCCCACGAAAGTCCTCTGGTTCAATCTGAGTCGGGGAAGCACCGCATATATGAACGAGGGACAAATGGATGGGGTACGTTAATGGCCTTCATGCTGTATCAAGTCCATTCACCAAAGTTGTAAACATTGACTTAAGATTGCATCACAGGCTTTACCGATGTTCCAAGTCCGGTGAGCGGAGAGAACGTACGGGCCAAGATCACCGGTTTACGTAACAAGACAGAGTCATATGAAGTCTATGACCGGGTTTTTGACAAGCAAATCCACGGCCAAAAGGTGGAGAAGACAGTCACATTTGGGGATTTGAACAACTACTCGGCAAACGACAAACGCTACAACGAGGACTACCATTTTGCCAGTAACAACTGTCAGGACTATCAGGAGCAGGTCAGATCAGAGCTACTGGCCTTGCCAGTACACAGATCTTTACGTACAACAGCTACTAAGAATGCTCTCAAGTTTCTAGCCTCGCCGCAAACCAGGAATGATGTAAGTGGCCGGTTCTCTGAGAGTGCCTTGGCACCTAGTGATTCTCTCGCCCAAATCTCCGACTCAGACGGCTCTCACGGTATCGACCTCGACAGCACCACTCTTCCCTCAAGTCATGATATTTCCGGTCATGGGAGAGCATCTACAACATCCCCGGGAAATCAAGCCACCGGCTTCGATGATATAATCGATGGTACTTTGCCGTCTCTCTTCGCAGGTTAGTATTAACGACGGTTCTTCTCTGCACTAGAAGCTGACACTCTCACGACGAACCCCCGTCATTCAGCTCTTACAATAATTCCTTGCCGTCCTTCTCGTTCACCGAAGCTCAAGCTCAGTCCGATGCGAACGTAGAAAGCGAAGCTCGCAGGAGAACCAGCCAGTTCGAGACTCACGCACCTGGCATATTAGGGGCGGCGGAAAATGCTGTGAACTGTTTCCGCCAGGGCCAGTACTTTACTGGAGTATGGAATACAGGTATCCTGGCTTGGTCATGCGCTGTGCTTTATAGCACAGGTGGTGCAGTGTCGATTACTGTAGAAGCACCACCGAACTCAGACGGATCTCCTAGGGTGCGGCTAGCAGTCGCGGGACTTATCAGTCTTGGATGATGCACATATGCTCGACTGCAAGCATTAATTTGAAGGATACCCTCCTGGCATCTAAGGAATTTGTGATGACGGAAAGTTGCCTGGATTTGTAACTCTTGTTGTATCTCGTCAGCCATACGAGCGCCAAGAATGAGATTGAACAGAGCCAAACGAGATGAATCAATCAATGGAAAGCTGGAGGAAGGCTACATGGAAATGCAATCTAGATCCAAGCCACAAGCTACTAAATATGGAGCTTATAATGTGCCTATGATTTAGTTCGCTACGGAGAGTGGCCCACAACATAAGGCTAATACCGGGGCGGCATTCGGTCCTAACAGTTCGTCGTAAAAAGTGACGTAAGCATCGTCGTACAAAGGTCTTTTGCGAGGACATCAATGTACGTGGACTCAGGGTATGGTTCTTGGAATATCTAGGCACGGTAAGGGTAGCGGCTGATTGTGTTACTTTGCCAAAACCATCAAGATTGTGTTGTATGAGACGAAGCCGTTGGGTTGTAGTTGATACTGTTGCATGCAGCTCAAAATAAGCTGCTTCAGGGATTCGATCTCAAAGTTACGCATGTTGTAGTTGCATATTCTCTGTACTCGTACGAGTCGCTATTGCAAGATCTGCGCAGTACAATCCCACCAATGGTGCAAACACCACAATACATATAAACACTCCACCTTTCTCTTCCACATTCACGTCTCTACCGTCTAGTCAGACAAGCAGCATCTCCCTACACAAGAAAAAAAAAGTAGAGAATCACATGCGCTGACAGATAAAAAAGGGGGCAAAAACAAGAAACCTTATGACGCAAAGTAAACTTGACAACACACTCATTCCTTGCCTCCCCCCCTCTTCACCCGAATGATCTTCCTACTCCCTCATTCCCACTTCCCCCCTCAACTCCCCAATCCTCTCAACGCACACACAAACTCTAAAATCAACATCGTATCGATCCGGTACCATCCACTCCCACCACACCCCCCGACACACACGATTTACGCTACGGATTACCACGGAACCTTACCCTCAACCGACTGGTTTCCGATGGCCTAATCCTTTTGTGGCGAAAGACACACACACACACACACACACACTCTTGTCAGATTTGCGTATACGGTTTTGGGTGAGTGAGAAAGCTTAAAAGTTTAAAACCGGGGTTAGTAAAATGTGTGTGGTACAGGGTGTCTGGATAGGGGAAGAGAGAAGCAAGAGAGAAAGAGAGAGGGAGAGGAAGGGGGGAAAGGGGGGGAAGGGAAGGAGGTGGTGGTTAGAGGATTACGTCAGCGTGAGGAAGGGGAAAAAAGAGAGATGATATAGATAGGAAAAAGAGCCGATCGGGGATGAACAATGTACAACGCTATTGTTAGTACATAAGTAGTCGTAAGCAAAAAACCAAGTTACCAATAGGACATATGTATTAAGAACATAATACGGAAAGTATTCCCAACATCCTCAAACAAAGAGAGGGATGCCGAATACCAATAATATTTCGCAGCATTTATCTAATCATATTCTAAAAAACGTGCGTGCTGCTACTATGCGTGCCTCGAGATGTTCCTGCTCTCGAGATATGTAGGACGGAGCGTAGTACAGAGTTATATCAAAACAATGACCTAGTTTCCCCTTGTCTAAGCCCTTTCCCCCAAACGCCAGACATGATTATAGGGGTAATGGTCTAATGTCATATATATACCCAAGGGGGGGAAACGCCCGCTACAAAGACATAAATACAAAATAAAAAATGACGTCGATGGTTGGCGTTGGTCGTTAAAGGTAGGGCCGCACGTGGCACGAGTGATCAAAAAAAGTGCCGAAGCACACGAGACTAGTGCTGTGGGCGAGTTTAGAACAGGCCAAAGCTGTCCGTGCGTGGCGTTAAGATGGGCCGGAATGTGAGTCAAGACACTCTGAAACGTTAATGGTCAGAGCGTACGCCAAAATGGCGCTGACGTATTCCGACTTCATAAGTGGTACTGATGAAGACCGTGAATGATGGCATGCACAAACCGGTGCGGTGTGAGGTTGATTTGCTGAAGAACAGCAATGCTCAGGTGACGTTTCAAAGAACGCGGTTTCTGAAATCATCGGTTAGCAGGATTCACAGCATTAAAGAGTGGACAATCTCACTTTCGGAGCGCTGTTTCCAGGCTAACAACACTGAGCTCGGAGTCGTCGGGCAACTCGTTGAGAAGAGGCAGAATGGAAGCGAACTTTTCGCCGCCCTTGTATGCCAGGACAGCAGGGAGAACATCGCGGTCGAGCTCTGCTTCCTCGCCGTGCATCTTGACAAACCGGACAGTGTCATTGCGTCTTGCTACCTCACGCATGAATACGCAAACTTGTTGGTCAAGCTCAATCTATTTGATGTTAGTGTGTTGCACATTGGAAGGGTATCGCTGCACGAACCTCTTCAGAATAGATGAAGACAAGCACGGTAGTACCCGAGGCGGTCTTGTCAACGGCATCAAGGTACCCCTCACCATCGACTAACGGCATGGTACCGTAGACACGACGGCTAGGGCTATTTGTCCTTGACCGCATCTTCTCGCCGACATTCTGCAGCTCCTTGAGCCTGGCCTCACGCCATTGGCGCATGAAGCCCTCGTCGGCATCTTCGTCGCTCGAGGCCTTGTCGTCATGGTAGGCGGAAACGGTGTAGGATGTAGGCGGGGAGTTCTTCTTCCAGGTAAAGCGTCTTGCTTGCTTCTTGGCCTGCTCAAAGGCCTGGGCATCGGCAATGACACCCTTGGGGCCCGTGTTGGCCTCTGAGCGGCGGTTGGGCATGTAATAGTTGGCACGCATGTCGGCGGGAATGTCGAGTTCGTCGTCGGTGTCAATCTTCTCGAGGTAGTCGGCGGCAGCACCAGGGGACTCTGGCTCGGAGACGTCGCTGTCGTCGTGGCGGTCTTCAGGGTGTCTGTCGTCGTGGTCCTTGTCACGAAGAAGCTCGTTGAATTCGTCTTGAGCGGCTGAGGTGGACGGATTCATGGCGAAAAAAAGAAGAAGCGGAGCGGAGACGGTGGGAACGGGGAGGTTATATGTGTGGAGAGGTGCCGGGTGACGCGTTGATGGTGAAAAAAGGAAGGGGTATGTGTGCAAGGTTGCTGGGAGTCTGTTTGGGGAGTCTGGGATGGAGGAGCGCCGGTGACAGGCTTGGCGGGGCTATTTTCGAAGCGGTAGCGTGGGTTTCAGGACCGTGATTGGCTGGTGGAGGGGAGAGGAGCAGCGAAAATGCAGGGCCAGGGCTGGAGGAGTGTAGGACTCGGACGCTTGGGAGGGTGGTGTTTAGGGCTGGGAAGGGCTGGCGAGGGCTGATGCTGACCGGAGGGCCACGCGACGCTCGAGGGCGACTCCCCACTCGGCCGACATAGGGGCCGCCTGTGAGCAGAGCGCCCGCATCTCTCGAAACGGCGCTCGAGGGTCGAAACGTGCTCTCGTGCTTACTCGCCCAATTGGCTGCTCGCCGGTGGCACCCGCTGGCCCACAGCATACGCAGCATGTCCAAGGCTGAAACATGGGACCGAGCCATCTGCTACTCCTCCTTCGGCGCCTTGTTTCCGTATAGACAAGATCAGACAGACGTCACCTGTACCCTCTGCCTTGCTACTCTTGTGACGCCTCGAGTCGTCTCAGCTGCACAGGGGAAACCAGGCGGAGGGCCATGGAAACGGGAGAGTTTTGGCCTTGGCCACCCCCCAAAAGGGCTGACGAGAGAGAGAGAGAGAGAGAGAGAGAGAGAAAGGAGCAAGACTTGGTTACCATGCTTACTCCCTTACTTGCTCCTTCACGCCCTCACTCGGGGAATGATCGACTTGCTCGTACCGGGGTGGAGCGCTGTACCCCTGGTGTGTGGGTGTGTGTGGGGCCATCCGGCTATGCACAACTTCGACTGACCTTCTAGAAGCATGAAGCTGGTACTTGTTTATCCTCCGCGTCTTGCGCACATGGCAGGTGCTCTCCGATAGCCGTCAATGCCTGGTAGCCGTTTATGCCTTATATCGCGGGTATACAAGCTCTTCCTGGGTCCATCATTTCCCCAAACTTGATGATGCATTGCACTGCCCAACGCTAGAAATCGCCATCCTGGTTCCTGCTTGTCCATGGGTCGCGCGTCTCCTGGTCTTTTTTCCAACGCTTGTGTGCGCATTTTAACTTCGTCCTGACAAGGCTACAGGTGCTCCTATCACTCCAGTTAGCGCCACCATGTGCGTGATTCTAGGACCCTGGAGCTGTTCCATCCCTCGGCGTTGTGTACTGTTTAGCGGTGTGACATTCGGCTGCCCCATGTCCCGGGGACAACCTGGTTCCATCTTTGGGCTGTGCGCCAGTCACGAGTGCGAGCACTGCCCATCACGCATGTCCCAGGCACGGCACTCATCCCCTATCGCTCAATGCCTCAACAATGCATCTCTTCCCACGGCCACCGCACAGCTCAACGCCATAACAACACCTCATCAACGTAAAATGAAGTACATGGAAAAACTCGCTAAAAACTACCTATCCCGCCCTGGCTCCTGCCATGTCCTCTTCCCACTACCAAGCAAAATCGTACACATTCAAATCCCATGCACAAGCCAGCCATGATACATCGCTTCTTCACTGCCCCATCAATGGAAAATTACAGACCCATTGCATGCAGACCAAAATCCAAAACATACACTATCCCCACCTCTCCCCCCGTCTTGCACCCTTAACCTCTCTCTCTCCCTCTCTCCTTCCCCCCATCCCACCAAACTGCAACAACAACCCATCGCTTTTTTTAGACATTGGGCAGAACGCAACGAGAATACACGGTCGAACGAAGATTTGAGACACACTACGTCTTGCTCATCTACGCCCGACCGCCTATCCGGACATCAACAGACAAGTGCGACGCAAGTGCTTGCCTTGCCCAAGAAACTAACACACACCAAAGGTATGGAAAAGGGAATGTAGAAAGAAAAAAAAAGTATATGAAACAATTGAAGCACACAAAGGAAAAACCTCTCCGGGCGCCTAAACACCACGTGACAGGAGAGCCGCGTCAATGTTTCCAAGGGTTGCTGTGTATTATAATCTTAGAAGTAGGGTAGAGCTCTCAGAAGACTCCTGGGTAAGTAAGATGCAACAAGGGGGTATGGGTATGCCAGGAGTTTGCAAAGATTGCCGTCATCGATTGTAGGTTGCCAATATTAGAAAGAATAGGCGCACACGTCCGGTTGGCGTCGTTACATGGCGTCGTGGGTATTTGGTCGTCTTGGTGCGCTTACGCCCAGATGCGCAGCTATTCCGAGTTAGTCGTTTCATCGGCCAACAGCAAAATAGCAACACTTACCATGGAGTCCCATGAACCAGTGCAGAGACTGAGCGCATCGTTGCTGACGCCCAGACAGCTGACACGGTTGTCGTGTCCTTGCAATGTGCCTACACGCTCACCGCGCAATACGTCCCATACCTGATAAGCTGGTTAGCGTACGGACAAAAAACAAAGTGATCAGCATTGCCCTTACCTTGCACTCAAAGTCATCGTAACCGGCAAACAGCAGACGACCAGAAACGGAAAAGGCTACAGATGTGATGCCGCAGACGGGCTCGGGAATCTGCCAAGATTGCACATTAGTAATCAATATACATGACAATTCTCATCGTGTCACATGGGCGCGTACCTGGTATGAGGCTAGCTCGCGGTCGGCACGGATATCAAACAGGCGACACGAGGCATCGTCGGAGCCGGTACCGAAAGCGTTGCCGTTGGGGAAGAACTGAATGGCGTTGATATCCGAGTCGTGCGCAGCAAACGTCTGCACACACTTCTGCTGTCGGATATCCCAGAGCTTGGCGAAAGCATCACAAGCACCAGATACGAATTGGTTGTGGTCGAGCGGGTTGATGCTCAAGCTCATCACGTCGCCAAGGTGATCGGCAAACTCGTGTACCTTTGAACCAGTCTCGAGATCCCAGAGCACGCACGTCATGTCGCCCGAGGATGTGAGGATGCGCTTGTCGCTGATGAATCGGCAGCAACTGAGGTATCCAGAGTGGCCAGACAGTTCGCGTGCCACGCGTGTCGGACCTTCTCGTGCCGACAGGTTGTAGATGGAGCAGATGTTGTCGAGGCCACCGCAGGCAACGTAGTTGCCCGAGGGCGAGTAGGCACATGTCATGACCCACGAGGAGCGGAGGGGAATGGCATGGACCTTGTTTGTTGTGTAGGCATCCCAGATGATGAGCTTGCCGTCCTGCGAGGCCGAGACGAGATGGCGGCGGTCCGTCGACCAGTGCATGGCGTAGATTTTGGCAAGATGGCCCTTGAGGGTGCGCTTTGTTTTCATGGTGAGTCGCGGCAGGGCCTCGACGCGATCTCTGGCAACATCGCGGACTGGAGCAGCGTGTTAGCAGTGGACATGGCAGGCGTTGGGATGCAGCGACGGGCATTGACAGGCGCGGATCACGTACGGGTTGTGTCAGCGAGCTCATCCTTCTTGCGCTTTATCCGGTCCTTGAGCGCCTCAGCGTCGCGTCGAGCGAGCTGGATCTTCTGTTGTATAGTTTCCTGGTTCATGTCGGCCATGGGGGCAGGCGTTGAGGGCGGGTCAGGTCAAGAGGGCAGGAGGCGCGAAAAGGCGAGACGGGCGGATCCAGGGGCCTGCAAGGAGCGCGGTGGAGACGGGCGGGTGAGGCGGCAGGCGAGGAAGCGATGGACAAGTGGCAGCAGCAACAGCAGCGGAAGAGGGCGCGCAGAGCGAAGTCAATTGCTGGCGCGGAGACTCAGCGGCAAGCAGACAGGCGGTCGTGGGGGTGCGTGAAGATGGAAGGGATGCGAGGGCTTTGGAGATGGGCGAGGTTACAGGAGCGGCCCGGGGGTGAGCTCAAGCTTGGCTTAGCCGAGAACGCCAGCCAGCGCTGAAGATCAGAGGCCGTTCGTTGCGGTTGGCTGTGGGCAAGGGTGCGCCGCACGGCAGTATTGCGGGCGAACGGCAGCAGCGCTGAGGGGCAGAGCAGATTGCCGAAGCAGTGGGGGGAGTCTATGTAGTAGCAGTACGTACGTAGAGGAGTATAGTATGCAAGTATGTATATATCCCGAGTGCAGCGAGCGATAGGGGAAACTGTGGGAGCGAGGGAGCGAGGGAGTAGGAGCGGGCCTTTTTTGCCCCGTCGAGACTGGGACGCGGCATCGTCCCTCTCGTGCGCACACGCTTGACCTTGACCAACAAGGCGCGCCTGCTGCAATCTCCTGCAGCGCGCCTCCCTCTTTGGGACCTGCCCACCCTCTGGGCCAATAGGCTCCGAGCTGCCTGTTTTGGCGTCCGACCCGCCCGTCCAAGGCCACTTGCACTTGCACTTTTGTTAACTCATTCCATCCTCTGCTTCGAGAAAACCTCTGAAGCGCCACCAGATCTCTGCATCCAAGTATACTAGTAAACACTAACTATCTGACTCCCTGCCCCCCCTCTTACTACTTACCGTCTGCTTACCCATCACCCTGTCACTCCCCCATGTCTGTGCCTGTCCTGCCCGTCCATCCCGCCTTCACCAAGCGGCTGCCCAAGATCGAGGTATGCCCACAATACCCTCCTCTAACCCCCCTGATTCGGCAGCCAGACCGCCAAGCCACATTAGACTCTGGTTCGCAGCGCCACTAACGCCACGACTCAGCTCCACGCTCATCTTACCGGTAGCATCAGCCGCGAGTGTCTGCATGACATCTGGACCGCCAGCAAGGCTCACCGTCCAGATTTCGATGTGCAAGATCCTCTAATCGCCATTCCACCTGGCAAGGTCGATTATGACATCAAAACGTCAGCCTCGCAGCTCGCTTCCATTGTCTGGGTGCTGGTCAGACGCTAGTACACAGCTAACCGGGCCGCTAGATTCTTCCCCTTGTTTTCCTCGTACATCTACCGCCTTTGCAGTGACCTGCCCAGTATCGAGTATGTGTTTTTTGTCGCACACCGCGCTGGGTATTGACCTAAGCCAGGTACTCGACCAAACATGTGCTGCGTGCATTCCAAGAAGATGGCATAGTCTACACAGAGCTCCGTACAACTCCAAGAGCAATTCCCCAACATAACATCTCTAGGGAAGACTATGTTAAAACCGTGCTAGACGTGCTCCAGGCCCACAATGCCGACAGCACAAATACCATGCGTGCTTTTCTCATCCTCTCCATCGACCGCCGCAACACCATCGAAGAAGCTGAACAAGTCGTCAGCCTCGCCATCAAGTATCAGTCGGCAGGGGTCGTGGGCATTGACCTCTGCGGCGATCCAACCAAAGGCGATGTTCGTATCTTTGGCGACAGCTTCGCTCGAGCAAAGGCAGCAGGCCTCAAGCTGACGCTCCACTTTGCCGAAGTCGAAACTTCGGCCTCAGACACGGAGCTACAAACTCTACTTTCCTGGAAGCCTGACAGGCTTGGCCACGTCATACACGTCAAGGATGAGTTTCAGAAGATGATTCAACAAGACAACATTGGTGTAGAAATCTGTCTCAGCTGCAACGTGCAAGCAAAGATGATCACGGGCACCTACTCCGACCACCATTTTGGAACATGGCGGCGCAGCACCGTTCCCGTGGCCTTGAGTGTATGTCCATTTCCTTGCGTCACCCAGCACTACTGCTGACTGATTTCTTGCAGACAGATGATGTTGGCGTTTTCTGCAGCCCTTTATCACAAGAGTACTATCTTGCGGCGCAGCATTTCCAGCTAAACCGACATGAAATCAGGGCGCTGTGTGAACGCGCAATCGACTCAATCTTTGCCAGCCCGGAAGAACATGCCCGTCTTCAGCAAATCTATGCAACGTGGGATGGATGGGATGCGTAAGTATAAAGAATTAAGCTTTGCATCATTCGGTGACTTTGATGTGTGTTTTTTTTTTCGTGAATAAATGTGTCATCCTCGCAAAGCTCATTTGCAAGGGTTCTACGGTCTAGTCAAGATATCCTGATTTGTTTCATCAAGACATGCTTAGCTCAAAGGCGGATATAGGCACGGATTTACCAGCAAGTATAGCTACATAGGTCTTTTCATACTGCGCATCCTTTGCTGGTGTGTTGAATACATCGTGACGGATGTGGTAGTAGCGCTATGGTAACACACGGACTGATAACGAATGCTGATATCTCGGCAGAGAGTCAAGCCACCAGAATGCCCGGTTCCTTCCACAGCAGATCTTCACCCACACGCCGGGACCATGTTCATGAGGCCATGATAGCAGCGGATGCTGACTATCGTATCCGTAATACTCCACTACCTACCTTATGCGCGGATCGGCCCTCCTCTTTCCTAGCGCAACTGCATTCTCCGCTTCCCTCTCAGCTACACGTGACACTGTCTAGATCCTACCATTGGACAGGCCGACTTCGCACTAGCCCCCAGCGTGCCGTCGATATCTTATGTAATAGTTTAAACATTTCCAAATACAGGAACCGGGAACCGGAGATGCACACGACCAACCGGTGTACTCATGGTAGTACCACACACAACAATGAAGTGCACACCTCTCTCGCTAGCTGCTTTTTAGCCGTTGTGCCTTCCTGCTTCTTGTAGCATCCACCGTAAAAAAAATTGTGCCTTCCAACTGCACAAATCCACAAATACACGTTCATACTCCCAAGATGATCACCCGTCGAGTCATCGGGCCGGTCCAAAACGTAAACATCATCAGATAATAAAGCCATAACCCCACGATGCGGTCTAGTCCTTAGCAGACGGCCAATATTCGGGCGCGCTATCATCAAGCCATGTGGAAAATTTTGCGCACGCCTTCCTGGTCCGAGGTAAGGCCTGGACCGCTTGCCCATCGCTTATCAGATGCAATAAAGGTTGGTACTGTACCTGTTACATCTGATAATCATCCACCTTATCAGATCCACTGCGATCATCTGGTACGACGTAGCCAAACATGGGTATTCTAGGGTGTAAGTACATTGTGTGTGTGAATATTTGAGATATGGCTCTGTGTTGACTAGTTTGTATAGCTTCCAAGTCGAGCAGTGGTGATGCTAGCAAAGCCATGGAAAAGAAGCTTATCATAAAGCTTGGTATGTGTACCACGGCTCCCATTGTTGCATAGTTGTGCTAATGTGTGTATAACTAGACATCTTCATCATGGTCAGTTAGCTTGCAGATTTCAATCTTTCATAGCTAATTTCAGCTCCTAGGTCTATTGCTGCGCATGTTATTTCTTTAACTACCTGGGTGAGTCTTGGTGTTGGGTTGGCTATACGTAGCAACACTGATCTGACACGGGACAGATCGTCAGGCGTTCGCAAATGCATACGTCGCTGGTCTACGGGAAGATCTTAGCCTCAAGAAAAATGAGTACAGTATTTTGCTGTCCATGTACACCAGTGGGTACGTATCATTGCGAAAGATTTCCTCTGTGGTCTTAACTAAATCAAACGTGTAGTCTGGTCGTTGGCGCGATTCCGCACAGTCTCATTATCCAGAAAATCCGTCCTAGCATATGGCTCCCGCTCACCTTGATTCTCTGGTCCGGTCTTACAATGTGTTCTGCAGCATGCAAGAACTACCCGCAATTGTGTGCAGTCCGGTTTTTTCAGGGATTGATGGAAGCTAGTTTATACAGTGGCACCATGTATGTCATGGGATCGTGGTAGTAAGTACAGAAATTCTCCATGGGAACTTGCAGACTTTTTGGAGTCTGCCCTCGAGCACATGAGACTTACCATGTTCCTCAGCAAACCATCCGAGATTGCGAAACGCGTAGCCATCTTTACTGCGATAGGACAAGCGGGAAGTATGTTTGCAGGCCTCATGATGACGGCCATGCACAAGACCATGAATGGTACTGCAGGCTTGAGAGGCTGGCAATGGGTTTTTATAATCGGTGGGCATGTCAACACCCCTTGAACGCACAGCTTTACTCACGCATATGATATAGATGGCCTCATGGGAATCCCATTCGGAATATTTGGCTTTGTAAGTCCCCGCCATCCGAGTGCGCTGGTTCTCAGATGCTGACAAGCCATAACAGTTCACATTTCCCGATCTCCCATCAACGGCCAAAGTGTTCTATCTCAGTGAAGAGGAAAAGCAATTTGCGGCGTCTCGTTTACCACTCAAGAAAGCCGATACTCACAGCATCAACCCTAAGAGTCTTATGAAGCGCGTTCTTGGAAAGCCTCACATGTAAGCAAACATTTTGACTTAATGAGCCTGTGAAACTTTTCCTAACCCTCTCCGCAGATACATCTTGACATGGTTCGCCGTCACTTCCGGCATGCTCGAAGCTTTCGCCTTCCAGGTACGCTCAATCCCCCCATACCTCCACCCCATGAACAATCTCCTAACACAACCATACCAGGGCATGTTTCTTCTCTGGCTCAAGTACTACGCCAAACGTTTCTCACAAACAGCTATCAACACCTACCCCCTGGGCACCCAAGCCGTCGCCATCGTCTCCCAAATTGCCGCCGGCTTCATCATCGACCGCACTGGCCAACGTCTTCCCATGGTCATAGCCGGAGCCCTTCTGCAACTCGTCACCGCCGCCTTGCTCCTCGTGCGTAACCTCTCCGACGCAGGCGTCTTCACCGCGTTCTACCTCAGCGGCACTAGTTTCGTCGTCAACCCCATCATGTTCAGCTGGGCAAATGAAATTTGCTCGAGGAGCGGCGACGATGCTGCTAGGAGCGTTGTATTGTATGTCATGAGTATGGGAGGCCAGCTTCTGTACACTTGGTGGGGTATTGTCTTGTATCCTGCTACAGATGTTCCGTACTGGAAGAAAGGTAGCATCACGATGATTGTGGTGTGCGGTGTTTTTATCGGAACTGCTTTCATCGTTAGATGGGTAAGTTTTGTCGTATACCTGACTTTTTCAATGGGTTTTTTTAACTGACGTTATGAATAGCTTGACAGGAACACAGCTGTGGTTACGGATGACGAGACAGTTGCGTCTGGTGATGGTGCATCGGCAACCGTAATTGGAGAGACGACGAAGTCTGGCTAAGTCGCAATGCTTCTATTGGACTTGGTCAATTGTAATCTCCACATGATATATACATGAGCTGCATGCGCCTTATAGATATGTGTTACGATAGCTCTGATGTTTTGTTTCAGTATTTGCTTCTAGTGTAATCAGGTTGTTATTCTTCGAGAAATATAAAACAGCAGCTGTGTTGCGATATGATATTCTTTTCTTCTCTACTTTACGATTCCCTTGTGGAACTACCGCTTGACGAAGATACAAATGAAAGGGTGATTGCGCCCCGTAAATATGAGATATGTACTTCTTTCAGACTGGGTTTGGGTAGGTGCCAAGTTCTATGAGTTCAGCGATCAGATTGGACTCGCTAGTTGTCAATGCGGTACCTTCTTCAACAGGATCAGTTCTGTCTGACTTGATGTAAACTTCTTACAGCTCGTTCTACTAGAAAGTCTCTTGGGGTAGCCCTCAATTTCCTGCATTTTCAGCGGATGAACAGTTCTTTTGTTTCTTTGCATAGCGTAGTAGTGTGGGCATTCTTCTAAACATATTGACCAGAAATTATGAGAACGCTTTCTCTCTTGTTCTTTGATTTTCATGCTCTTCACGATACATTTGTATCAGGAGGTCAACGTTGTTTTGTGCTCATCATGGTATTTATGTATGAGACCGGGACTACTACACATATTTATCTATAACCATTTTCACTTTAGTTTGCACCAACTTCAGGAAGTCAAGACATCCATCCGCCTTCCCCAATCAATACGCTAAGCATTCTAGACCCGGAGTGCAATGACGACGTGCAAAGAAGACTCACATGCGTCGACGTCGATGACGCTCAAGTGCCGGCAAAGTCCAACCGAGCCATGCTACTACGCGTGTCAGCAGCGGCACAACGCAGAGTCAAGACAGAAGTCTATTTGCCCGAAATCTTATTTCAGAAAAGACAGAAGCTTATCGCCGCCGTCTTGTGAATGTGGACGCTAGTGGTCGTTATACGGGTAGCGTGTGCACAATGGCCAAGAGTCATGGTAAGGCTGGATACGACAACCCGACTACTCATGCAGGTACCACCGGGCGAAGGAACAAAATTGGGGCAGGAATCCGGGCTTTCAACTCAATCCCACAACAACCGTTTCCAACGCCGCCTCCGCCTCCGTTATCACTTGTGTGAAACAGTGCCTGATACACCTACGCCGCTCGTAGGATTCCAACCAAACAGGTTTGTTCAACAAAGTAGTGCCATGTCTTTGTTCAAGGCGACAAGAAAAAAGAAAAAATGAGGCCGGCGGCACGTCAACACAACGCCAAAAACGGCCCCAGCACGCACGTGCCAAGTCCTCGTTCCCAGCGCGCGCCCCCAGCCAAGCCCTGTCAGGGGCAAAAGACGCAAGACGCACAAAAAATGTGGAGAAAGGAAGGGAAAGAATAGGGCAAAAAAAAAAACAAGGTCTCTCCCTCTCCCCAATCAGTAAAGTGGGCTTCCCCCAAATGCAGTTTTGGGTTTAATTTTTCCCCAACCGTAGTTAAATCCAGGAATACAAAGTTTTTATCAACAAAAAAAGATAATCCGCGTGCGCGCATGTGTGTATGTGCTTTTATGCTGAATTTACACCCCAGACCAAAGCGCGCCTACTACTTTGGAACCTAAACCAAAAGCCCCCATCATCTATGCACATCCATACTTTACACAAAGGCCCTCCGCCCTCCTCCCCCCCCCCAAAAAAAGAAGCAGAAGAAGAACAAGAATAGCTAAAGCTCATCCAATAACCTTCCCTAAAAAAGCCCTCTTCTCTCGTATACACTAACTCGTCCCAACCTTGCCCCGTCTCCCCTAACAAGTGCCTCCCCCCCCCTTCTGCCTCTCACCCGTCTTCAGCTTGCGTTCAGCCCAGAACACGGGAGATCCAACCATTCGCACTTGCAAGTCCCAGAGAAGCACAGGCCAACCCCCTCCCCCGAAACACATACAATCCCCGTATACTTTTGTGCTCTACTAGTAGCTGGCCCGCGTTGGCAAAACGGAGATTGGCCGAAAAGAAAAACACGACATGTGCGCACGCTGAGTGGCTGCCGCTTTTCGCGAAGCGCGCGCGCACCCCCCGCTAGTGGACATGTCTTTGCTCGTTCTTCTTTCTTTGATGGCTTTCGATGGCTGTGGCTTTTCTTCTTTGCTGATGCGGCGGGTGGGTAGGGACTATCGTATAGGGTCACGCACCACCACTTATTTCTCGCTTTAGGGGGGGTTAGGGTTGCGATTTGTGGGGGGGGGGAAAAGGGAAGCTTTTTTTTATTGGGCACAGTCACTTTGTTGTTAACTCGAAAAGGGTACTACTACTATATGAAGGTGTTCCGTTTTGCTTTTGCATCAACTCTTTTGCCCGCTCTCCCCTCTCTGCTTGTTTTTTTTCTCGAAGATCATATTGATTTGAATTGATATTATTTTAAATCGTTCAACAGCATTTTATTTATTTAAACTGCTTCGGGTATATGCGTTTGTCGTGACCTCCTTGGAGCATATATAAACAAGGCTTTTGGTTCCCTTTAATTATCGTTTGTTGCAAGCGAAGTTTATAGGGGAGGTTGTATTCCTTGGTTATTACATTCTAATAACCCCCCTGGATTCCCCGTCACTTGGTCGGAAACACAACTGTTACTAGTTGTCCTTGAAGAACCTGTTTCAACTCTCTCTTTCTCTCTCTCTCTCTCTCCGAAAAAGACAATGGTTAGGGTTGTTCTTGCCGTAGCGGGCTTCGTTGCCGTCACGCTTGCCCAGCAGTCGACTTGTAAGTTTGTTCATGTCTCTGTATGAGACGTAGATGCCTGAGGCGGGAACATGTTTGCTGATACAACCTCCCCTCTCAGATACGGGCCCAGTTTTCGACGAGGATACCGCGCCCTACTTCGGTAGCTCTGGTCTTGTCTTCCCTACGAGTGCCGATGGTACACCTGCGTTTCCCAGCGCCCCAACTATCACTCCGTCGGCCAGCTCTTTGACAATCCCCACCCCCGTTTCCAGCTCCATCTCCAGCTCTATGCTCAGCTCCGTACTCAGCTCCATGCTCAGCTCCATTCCTAGCTCCATTCCTAGCCCCACACTCAGCTCCACGCTTTCAACAGTCGTCTCGCAAAACTCCACTATTTCGTCTTCCGCAACCACTTCGAGCGCCTCAACCATTTCGAGCCCAGCAACCACTCTGAGCTCATCGTCTCGTTCGTCTACATCTGATAGCGAGTCGCGTACTTCAACCTCTACGACTGATGATGCTACTACAAGTAGGCTGACCGCTTCTCCGACTTCGACAGGTGCGGCCGCTACCAACTTTCCGGAGGCTCTTGGGATCATGGTTGGAGGTCTCGTGGCTGGTATGGCTATGCTTTAGGTGCTTATGTAGCGGCCCGCGATTTTGATCTGCACGTCAGCTTTAATTCAAAATGAGTATATGTTATTAATGCTTTAATATCCATAGAGACAAGACACTGCACAAGAAGAGCAAATTCATCCATGGATCGTTTCGACGTAACAAAAAAGGGTATAATTGTGATGTACTCGTGGAAGATGGCTTGAACCCTTTTTATGGAAGTCACCGACGCGCATACTTTTTGACCCAGCAAACCCAACGCCTTTAAACGCCGCCACAATGCAATTGTGTTCAATCTGAGGCTTATTCCTCCATAGCTCCGACCTCTGTTACCGACTCTGTCGCCTTCGAGTAGTAGGCCTTGAGGTCAATCTTGAAGTCGGCCATAGCCACACCGAACAACTTGAGCAGGGCAGTCTGGTGACTGTTCATAGGCTTTCCCTCTTCGGCAATCGTGTATGGAGCATCCAGGATGATCTTGCCCTTGTCGAGCCTCGTTGGCATACCCCATTTCCTGATGGTGGTTTCCATACTGTGCGGTAGCGGTACGTCGTCTTCCTCGGGCAGCTCTCCACCTCTTGAGTAAACGACTCCAGCGGGTACAGTGAAGGTCTGTGTAGCGACGACACCGGCACGCGCAAAGTCGGTTTGGGAGTAGTTGGCAAAGTATTCGATGATCTCGCTGGGCTCACGGTTTGTGAAAAGGAGGCCTACGTTGCCGTTGAGGTGTTCAGTGAGCTGTGAAAGATTGGTGAGGTGCTCCTCTGCTGGTGTCTGGCCGAGCGCCTTGGCCATGACTTTGGTCTTGCCGAAGAAGAATCTGCGCAAACATCAGCGGTCAGCGGGATGCGTTCAACAGGGGTCAAAATGCCATACCTGCTGTCTGCAAACTCAGCGCGCACTTCCTTGAGGTACGAATTGCGCATATTCTCTACTGCGAAAACGAAGATGTGCTCGAAGTTGTCCGCCGCTTCCTGGACATTGGCAAAGAGCTTCAAGGAGAGCTCCTTGCCTTTCTTGTCGGTCTTGGTAAGGTGTACAACCTTCGCGCGCTTGGACTTGGGCATGTTGGCGGTGTTTTTCGGGGCTGTCGCGGGTTGTATGTGATGCTTAAGAAAAGTTCGAGGGCCCAGGTTGCGACGTCCAAAAAAATGAGCGGGGAATTTTGGCGAACCACCGATTGGTCCGGCCGCGGCTCACCTCCGTTGTGCAACTTTGACATCGCTTCACATCTGCAAACCTCCAGACCCAACCCATAGCCACACGAGATGATTTGCCGATAACATAGACATGTTGGATTTCATGGAGAGCGTGCAGCATGCTTTCTACGAGGCATCGCACTGGAACGTGGACAGTTCGTATGGCGCACTGAACGCGTCTGCGCGAGGTACGTCACATCTAATGTTGCTCTGCCATGCTGCATGCTGATGGCACATTGTAGCATTGCTCGACTTCGACATACCCAGAGGGCTGCGCATGCAAATATCCTCTCTCGCTGCCCCAAACTTTGCCACATCATACACTTTGGGTAGTGTGGGTGTCGTCGACGGCTCAGTTTCTTACCTCTACTCGTCGTTGCCGTTGCGTAAGGAGTTCAAGACATCGCACATTGATCTGCATAGTGTCGTACGAGGTTATAAGCACACCAAGGAGCTGAGACGGCCGGACGAGCAGTGGTGGTGGGAAGTCTGGCATGGTGGCCAACGGATAGACCGGAGAAGTAAGCATTTTGACTTTATCCAACCCGCACCACGACTAAGTATGAACAGATACCCTGTTGTACGGGCGCATATTCCTCCCCCAGTCCCGGCTCGAAGCACTCTATCTGCGACGTCTTACCCCGACCCGCCAGCTTAGGATTGCTGCTGTGAGCGACTCCAACCTTAACAATGGCGGCACAATCCTTACCCTTCTGCAAAACGACTTCGGCAAATATAGCACAGAGTACATGTATAGCACAGACTCTGCTCTGATGGGCGTTCGCGGCTTATACAACTTCGGGTCCGACCCCAGAGTTTCGCCGACGGAACCTGTGACCGGGGGGCACACGGAGCCTGCTTATGGCCGATTCAGTGCGGGCGCAGAGCTGTACTATGGTATTCTCAATAAGAGCGGCGGCATAAGTACGGGATTGCGCTTCGCCACCCTTCCCAACCATTCGGGATTTCCGTACACTATGACGCTGACGCTAAACCCATTGATGGGAAATATTTCTTCCACCTACGCTGTCAAGGCCGGCCCGAACCTCGCCCTCTGCTCGCGATTCGACTTCAATTTCTACTCTTACGAAAGCGAGCTACAGCTTGGTTGCGAACTATGGCGCCTACGTAATACGACTGATATCGACTGGGCTGTGAAGAAGCTACGCACAGACTGGAAACGCCCTGCGGACTCACCCACGGATGAGGTTTCTGGGGTATTAAAGGCCAAGGTTGATCAGGATTGGCGTGTAGGGGTGCTGTGGGAGGGCAAGATTAAAGAACTACTCTTTACCCTTGGCGCAAGCCTGGACCTCAAGAAAAGAGAACAGATATTCCGATCGATTGGTGTGGAGCTGCAGTATGCCTCGTGAGGCATGACAATCGCAGGCATTTATTTTTCGCTTACCCGAGACGAACCAGCAAACTCGTTAGACAGCGGAGCCCAGTCGTCAAGGCACGCTGAAATTAGACGGCTCACCAGTATACTTTGATGACCATTCTAGAAGCACTCAGTTGAAGATGAAACTTGCCTAAATAGGCTTCTAGAAGCCTGTTACGTCAGGGCCGGTCGTACCTAGACGACAACATGCGAGCGTGCGCCATGTCCATGCGATATCGACTCATTGTCTTGCGAACGCGGCAGGCGCATCCCAGACTAGGACTCGAGTAAGTCATCACGTCTGCACCATGCCGTGTCCTGTTCCATGGGGGCGTAGCGTTGAAACAAATCTTTGGCCTATTCGCTGCTGGTGACAGTGCCCTGGGGCTGTTTTGGCTTGTTTTTCATGCGCTCATACGCTTTGCAACATTCTGTAACACATGGCAGACTGTAAGGCGGAGTGATGAACAAGACTTGAGAGTGCCGATGTCGACAAGCCGGGTGGAGTTGAGGCTTCGGAACGTGAGCGCTTATGTCGATCGTGTCCCAAGCGCAGACGGAACGGAATCTCTTGCAGGTCAAGAGTCAGTTTCCAGGTTGGTGGTTATCTTCGCTTGCTCACTCGTTTGATGCAATCCAATACGTACACCGCCACGCCTGGCGCAAGACTACGAATCCAGGGCGCAGGGAAGCAATAGGCACCATAGATTGACAGCTGTAGGGCGACGAGATGATGGGTGAGCCTACTGCGTCGGCGCGTCGGATATCAGCTAAAATATATGACTTTGTCAGATCTGAATCACGTCCGTTCCATAGGGCTTGGGCCGGGTGTGTCAGGATGTAGGCGCTCAGACGACACTGCCGCCCGCCGTCGTCGGGATCCTCTCGTCCTTTGGGGACGCAGGCGAGTGATCTGCGACGAGGGCTCCCGAGTCGGTGTCGACGAAGCCAGAAGGGGAGTTGTGACCGACGATTTGAGAAGAGTGAGGTGGTAGGCGCATGCCACGAGGCTGGGCAGGCTGTGGGAGAGCGCCTTGGATGCTTGCATCGACGACGGAGGCCAAAACTAATTTAGGCCACCGTGCGCTCTGTCGTGCGTCCCGCGGCCGCCGCGCGGTGAGCGATGCCAGACCGAGCAGTCGACCGAGGGGCAGTCGAGGAGGAGGGACAGCGACAGCGACAGCGACCGCAACCGTCTAGCGCGGCGAGGTGGCAGGTGGAGCCTGCTGGCTGTACTCTACTTGGACGGTGGGCGCAGGCTGTTTGGGGGAAGACATGTACATGACGCGCGCCCCCCCAGAGCAGCGTCGTGCCAGCTTGATGCGGCCCTCGCCCGTTGAGACAACTCTGGCGATGGCTGGAGTGGCTCGGCGAGGGTCGTGGCAAGGACTGCCCTATCGCAGGCCCGCCGTCTCCTGAGCCGTGGAAGGTCGGCTGTCGTGGCCCCCGGTCGCAGCGCTGAGTGGCTCTGAGTGGCTCCGATCGCTGTGCCTGTGCCTGTGTGCCTGGCTTGGTTGGCGGCGGCGGCGGCGAGGCCTCGGCTGCTGCTAGTAGGTGCAGCATGCGTCGAGACATGGTCAGTAGGTAAGTATGCGTGTACGTACCTGGGACTTGTGTCGGCCGTTGCGGGATAGCTGCACGCCCAGTTGCGGGCGGCGGGCAGGCGGGCAGGTTGGTGCTTTGGGTTCAGGGCTTGGGCGGACATGGTTTGCGTCCCAGGGCCACACAGACAGAAGCATTCTGGTGCGTCACCACTGGTCTCGCGCCTGGCGTCAAGTCGTGGTGCCGTTGGGCTAAAACAGTCTGTGGGCGGCATCCTGGACCTTGTAGCGCCCTGCCCAGACCACGCTAGCCGGCGCGCACCTTCCCCCCGGCCTCATGCCCCTTCCCTTAATCTCCCCTTTCCCACCACCCACGGTCGCTCATTTACACCAAAGGCCCAGCTCCTACATCCGGATTCCCCATCGTCACCTCGTTGTCGGTGTGGTTGCTACTACGTTCCCTTTTCTCGTCGACTTCTGCGAAGTGCCGCCACTCCTTTCGGCCTTTGCCCACGTTCCTTTCTACACACTCCTCCTTTGGCCTTTGCCTGTCCGCTCTTTCGCTCTCGCGCCCCAATTCACAATCTCCCTGTCGACACAGAATCGCTTTTGGACGATTGTCTGCCATCTGCTCCCCGGCCAGCAGCTCCATTCATCACACGTACATACATATACACACGCGCCTGGACCGTGTCTCGAGTCTCAACTACCCACAGCAGCCTGCTCCTGTGCACCTTGGACTCGCAACCTTCTCGTCTCAACTATCTTCACCAACCCAACGCTGTTTGGACCATCACTTCATCACGACACTTTACGAACATTGATAGACAGGAGGTGTTAGCTCGATTGCTCCCTCTAGATCTCCCACTTCATCTCAACACACTCACAATTCAACTCTTGCTCCTGCCCCCAGACATGCAGTCACACGACGACGCCATGGTGTCCCCCACACCCTCACCCCCAGCACAGTCTTCCACCCCGACTCAGGGGTCTGCCCCCCGCCGACCACCCCGCAAGAGCACCCTCACCCAGCAGCAAAGAAACCAAAAGCGCCAGCGGGCTACCCAAGACCAACTCGTCACTCTTGAAGTCGAATTCAACAAGAACCCCACTCCCACAGCTGCTACTCGCGAAAGGATAGCCACAGAAATCAACATGACCGAGCGCTCAGTGCAGATCTGGTTCCAGAACAGGTAGGCGCAAAGGGCTTTTTTTTTTGCGAGAGCGCAACACTAACTTTAACACAGACGTGCCAAGATCAAGAACATTGCAAAGAAGAGCATTGAGAATGGTGACGACTGCAACGATATTCCAGAGTCCATGCGAAGATATCTCGCTCTTCAAGCCATGGAGTCTGGCAAATCAATTGGAACCAACTTTCTTGGCCGAACTGGCGGTATGCCATATGGTGGCGGTATGCTCCTCAACACCGACGCCAACAACTCCAAGGTCGTCATTCACCATTTCGCCTGCCGCTCGCTGAGCATTGGAAGCTGGCGAAGAGTTGGTCAAAGCGCCATGGATTTGGTCGTTTTCTACTCACCCGAGAAGTGCTGCATCACCTACTACATCAACAACGACTCGGCAGGCTACAAGATTGAGTACCCCTTCTCGTACATCAAGAACATTCAACTTGAAAACGGCGACATGACCGCCAACGCTGAAGGCGCGTCACAACGCCCCGGAGGCCTGATTGTCGAGCTCAACCGCCCTCCCAACTTCTTCATGGACTCGTCTGGTTCCGGTGGTTTCTTCCAATGCGGCGACTTTACCGAGGACCAGCAGGCATCAAACATTATGGTGCATCACCTCGGTGGTCACCCAAAGGTTTTGAGTGGGCAGTTGGCGAAACTCATCTCACTGGAATCGTTTCAGAACCGACACAACATGTATGACGCCAATAATTTTGCCGTCTCGGCACCAGTGTCGCCAATCAACCACCGCCCTGCTTCCCAACCAAACCACCTTGTGCACCCACACATGGGTGTGTTTCAAGAGTCGCATCTTGCGCCTCCGCCTTTCCAGCCGCGTGGTCACAAGCGCCAACGCAGTCGTTCAGTGCCTGTTGCCATGGACTTTTCCATGCTTCGCAACCCCATGCCATCATTCATGATCCAGCAAGAGCCATCGCCTTACATGCCTAGCCCTGAAATATTTGCACCACAACCACAGAGTGCTGGACCTATCGGTCCTCACCTAAGCATCGACACATCTGCTGGTTACGGCATGGACTTTAGACAATACCCCATGTCGGCCACAACAGCCAACTCACCGTCGGAATATGGCACGCCTGCCTTCTACTCGTCAGGCCCACCAAACGACAGTGCCCCTGCATCCAATTACGGATCGTACAACATCCCTCCATATGTACACACCCCAATGGGGCCACCTCCTCACTCTGCATCGGGTCACTCGCCAATGCCAGCCATGAGCCATCCTGACCCGATCATTGCCAACCAATCACCCCCACTTGGTTCCTACGGCCGCGAAAACCACGGCGATGTGTACCCCATGTCGCACGACAATGGCATGTCGGACGAGGCGCTGCAAATGACGGATATGTACGCCAAGCAAAGCCTCAACATGCCATTCCGGTCACCGCTGCTTGACGAAAACCACGAGGACTTGGACATGCAAAATTTGGTATCTTTCGGCACCATTGACCCATCAAGCCTGTCACCTGAGCATCATCAGATGTAAGGGAAACGGCTCGGTAGTCAAGGTGCGTTTGTCAATTTAATTTTTGCTTGCTCATATACCCGGTCGTCGTTGTTTTCGATGAGCAAAGCTCCCCCGTGCCATGTGGAGCCCTGGACTTGAAATAGTGCTGGGTTCCATTTGTGCGCCTGAGCTTACCTTGTTGTCGCGCCTGTAGTTAATGTGTCGCATCTTCCGCATATGGTGTTGTTGTTGCTTGCCAGACGCATGCGTTGCACTCTTCACTAGTCATCTTATTGTAATGCAAATTGGACGACCACCACACAGGGATTGGTTATTGATACGGCGTTGCAAAGGTCTTCTTGGATGGCTAGGGGACCTGTACACAGAGGGGCGGTTTGGAGTGAATATGCTGGTGTTTGAATAGACGTCGGCAACATCAAGCAGGTCGTCTTTGCTGTTCTCCTTTCTCTTTCCATCTTCTTCAAGCATCGTTCTCTTTGGTGTTGCGAGCTAGCCTTCTTCTTTATTTCTCTTTTTTCTTTTGTTGCGTATCTCCAAGAGGGTTGGCGTTTCCTGCCAGGTGGAGGAACATGCTATTCTTCTTCTTTTTTTTTACTTCTTGAGTAGCAGTGTTGTCGTAGGTGGTTCATGTGGAGGAAGGTAAAAGCCGCTGCGCGGGCTTTGGTGGTTGCTCTAGATGGGGTCTCGGACGCTGTAGTGCTTTTTCTTAGCTGCAGCAGAATCAGTGATAAATATCATATCATCATTTCAAGTCAATATGTGTGTGTTCTTGGCATGTGAGTGTGAGTGAGTGTAGAGGTGGATGGGAGAGAAAGAAAGGGAAACATGCTTGTTGGAGGGAGGCATTGCGGGGGAAGGATGCAGAGTTATAGAAGAGTGAAATTAAGATGGACAATTGTTTCGGTGCCCAGGGCTATTGAGATTTGAGTTCATCGTAATCTCGCGAAAGGATGGTCGCACTATGACCTAGTACAGACTCCCATTTGACAGCGCAAAATGAAGGCGCAACGGGTCAACCCGTTGAACGTCACCCGAGCAAACGTTGTCAGATTACGAGCATCTGACGGCCAATCACTTGGACTCGAGTCACAACCCTCATGGCCAGGCGCAGAATGGCTTTTGTGTAGCGCAAGACGAGCCTGAATGTGTGAACTACGGGTGGGACATGAACCAAGATATTGGAGCAGCCATTGTTGGTACCGAACATGGCAAATGTACCTGCAGATGGCAAGGGAAGCCTATAGGATCGACGCCTTTTGCCCAATGGAAAGTGGTGTGACCTATATCCTGGCTTATTGTGCCAAGCATGCCTGGCTCATGACACTCACATAATCAAAGAATGCCTCTGTCGACGGAGACGATTCATTCATCAGTCGTGATGTCGAGCATATCCATGTTGCGAAGAAACGCGAGGTTGGCCGCAGTGACAATGATGGTGTTAATGACGATGACGTGCAAGGCAAAGAGTGGCCATCGCAAGGGCGGCGGCACATCGACAGCGCTCTGGCCTCTCTGGATGCAGGGCTGGACCACGCTGTGTTGCAATAGCAGAGAGGGATATAATTTTCTTCTCTTTGCCGTCGTCCCCTTTGGGCTCGCACGAGGAGCGGACCTGGGACGGACAAGGTGTGGCGAGGCGGCAGCGATCACCATCCGATTCCCCTGACCTGAGGCTGACTGGAGGGCCCGCCTAGGGGCTCTGCTCATTTCGTCCAACCAACCACAACCCTCGCTGCCCCTTGCTAACGGCACTGATAAGTGAGCTTGCAGCTGTTGTTGTCTCTGCCCGCGTGCATGGTGACTTTCTTCTCCTACACCCTACATTTTGTCGTTCATTACACCCTCGCCGCTGAATCCGGGGCCCTCGAGTGTCTTGTCTGTCTGCTTGTGCGCGCATTCTGCAGGGAAAGCTGCCAGTGCCTGCGCCAACACACTGCTGCTGCTGCTCCACCACCACCACTACCACGACGCTCGCCGCTGACCACCCCTCAAAGAGCGTTGCAAAACAAGCACTCACGGTAACGCCCGTCTGACGTATACCATTCCGCCTGCTGTGTGGTTCGCATAACGTAGGTGCACATCTCTCCTCAAGCCTCGAGCAAGCCACCTTGGTCGACGCTATCCGGCACTGCCGCCCTTTCCCACCCGCCAATGTATGACCGCATCAGTCCCTCTCTCCCCCATGAAACACAACCCTCACCCTTCTCATCTTGTTTCTTTTTTTGCTGGTAGCTGCACCTGATTGCTCCTGCTCACTGATTCCCCGCACCCAAACGCCTTTTTTTGCTCAGGAGTCGCCTACTAATTGCAACTCGCCTAGTCTCGCCCACCCTTCACCGCCAACATCCTCGTTGCGACTCCGCAGCCTGGGACCAGACCCAAGCACCTGGACAACGCATCCAGTCTTTTTGTAGCTTCAATCAGCCCAACAGCGTCTTACTCGAGCCATTGCTGCCATGCCTGCGCGAAGCATTAATCCGTTTGCGTCGACTACCCCTACTCCTCCCCTCGATCCTCACAACGAGAAGCGTGAGCCTGCACGCCGATCCTCCTTTGCAAAGGGCAACAAGTTCACATCCCTCTTCGGCGGCAACTCTCCCAAGTCGCGCTCCGAAGCCGCTGTCCTCCGCGAAGCTTTCATCGCCCAGCAGCAGGCCCTCCTCAACTCGCCCTCGCCCTCGCAGATTTCCCTCCCCACCATCAACCTCACCACCGCTACCGGCGAGAAGATGCCCACGGAAGCAAAGACCCTCTTCCAACCGCCTTCGCCGGAAGAGCAGCGTCGCATTGCGCGAGCCCACGCTCAATTTGGTCCCCTCGGATCACAGAAGCACCGCTACCACAGCAAGTTTGAGGGCGAGTTCGGCGATCCCATCGAAGACGAGCCACCATATTATTTCCTTCTCACTACATACATCAGCTACTTAATCCTAATAGTATTCGGACATGTCCGTGACTTCTTCGGTAAACGCTTCAGGAAGCAACACTACAGCCACCTGCAGGAGAAGGACGGATATGCGCCCCTCAACAGTGACTTCGACAACTTCTACACAAGACGGTTGAAGATGCGCATCAACGACTGCTTTTCACGGCCCACTACCGGTGTCCCAGGACGATTCATCACTGTGCTCGACCGCAAGTCTGACGACGGAAACAACACCTTCAAGATGCTCGGAACCACAACTGAGACATTGAACATGAGCTCATACAACTACCTGGGTTTCGCTCAATCAGAAGGACCTTGTGCCGATGCCGCCGAGGCTGCCATCAGGAAGTACGGAATCTCAATGGCTAGCCCTCGATCTGACAGTGGTACTTCTGAGCTTACCGTTGAGGTTGAAGATCTTATTGCCAAGTTTGTCGGCAAGCCCGCTTCAATGGTCTTTTCCATGGGTTTCGTTACGAACGCTACTACATTCCCCACTATTGTCGGAAAGGGCTGCCTCATGATCTCTGATGAGCTCAACCACTCTTCTATCCGATTCGGAGCGCGTCTCTCAGGAGCCATGGTCACCATGTTTAAGCACAATGACATGCGTGATCTTGAGCGCAAGCTTCGTGAAGCCATCTCGCAAGGTCAGCCCCGCACACACCGGCCGTGGAAGAAGATTCTGGTTGCTGTTGAAGGTCTCTACTCTATGGAGGGTACCATGTGCAATCTCCCCGGCATCATCAGCTTGAAGCACAAGTACAAGTTCAATCTCTTCGTTGACGAGGCTCACTCTGTTGGCGGTGTTGGCCCTCGTGGACGTGGTGTATGCGACTACTTCGACATCGATCCCTCCGAAGTTGATATCCTCATGGGCACGCTCACAAAGTCTTTTGGCGCCAACGGTGGTTACATTGCCGCTGAGAAGTCTATTATCGACAAGCTCCGAATCAGCAACGCAGCTATGCTTTTCGCCGAATCGCCTTCGCCACCAGTCCTCGTCCAGATTGCCTCTGCTCTCCGTATCATTGACGGTTCAATTGTACCAGGACAAGGTGAAGAGCGTCTGCAGCGCTTGTGCTTCAACTCTCGTTATCTGCGCTTGGGTCTCAAGCGCCTCGGCTTCATTGTCTACGGTCACGACGATTCACCCATCATCCCTGTTATGCTCTACAACCCTGCCAAGATGCCTGCATTCTCCCACGAGATGCTCAAGCGCAAGATTTCCGTCGTAGTAGTCGGCTACCCCGCCACACCTCTCGTGTCATCACGAGCCCGCTTCTGCGTTAGCGCTGCGCATACCAAGGATGATCTTGACCGCATGCTTACGGCTTGCGACCAAGTCGGCGACCTTTTGCAGTTGAAGTTCAGCTCAGGTGTTGCCGGTGGTGCCTACCCCGAGGAGCTTGCCGAGAAGAGCTCAACAGATGGCAAGGAGAAGATTCCCAAGCCGCCAAGGTGGAGGCTGGAGGATGTGCTCGAGAGGACAGTTCATGACGTACAATCAACACTACGATAGATTGCGCGCTAAGCAATAATTGGTACGAGGTTACGGCTGAATTGCGCAATCTTTGTGGGGGCAAAGCGTGTACGTGTATAGTGGGAGGCCCTGCGCCCTGCTGCCTCGTCAGCATCACACGCAACCCAAGTATCGACCCACCTACACTTCTACGCCTCAGACTAAGCCCTCACAAACAACCTTGACGATTACAGTTATCATCATGGTCAGCATCAATCAACCACGGCTTTATTCCTCCGTCCTATTTTCCGCGACCCTCTAACGCATCATTTGCTGGACATCATCTTGGCATTGTACCCTCGATATCCATCCTCCTTCTCCCTTTGCCTTCTTCTTTTCCTCCTCCCCCCGCGTGCTTGGTACTTTTACACCTTGACGTGTGCGTGTATGATAGATATTTAAGATTCAATACCCTCGCTTGTGACAAATGATTGTTTTTTTCTTCCCTTCTTCTTCTTCTTCTTCTTTTTCTTCATTCACAGCATATCTAACGGCCTCTTTTGTTTTTTCTTGCATCTTACCCACGCATAAATATTAATCTTTGGATTTTGCCCCAAATGGCAATTATCCTGATTTTTTTCTCAAAAACAACAACAATAACTTCGACATCATTCACGTCTATTAATGAGTATAGCTAGAGAGATAAAGGAAAACACTTAAAGATAAAGATCAGAGAAAATGGAATGGGGGAGGGAGAGCTGTGCCTTTTACCCCCGTTTCTTGATACTTAATTGGATAATGAGTTGAAAGATTGATGGGCTTGACTTTTTTTTTCGGTGCTATGGTGTGATGTGAGGTCCCTTCTTGTTCCGAAGGGTAATGTTAACTTCAATGGCCATTTGTTGTTAATGTGAAATCCATTTCGTAAAACGATACATTGCTGTGCATTGGAAGTAGATACATATACTGTAATGTATGAAAGAGGGAGGAGCTGATTAAACACATAACACTACCTCATTGCTATTATTATTTTTTTGGTTTGTCGTTTCAAATTCGTAATATCGTCAAGAAAAAAAAATTGAAAAGAGAAGGCGAAATACTCACATACCCTGAAAGTAAACCCCTCCCCCCATACGTACACATAAAAAGAAAACGAATTAAGAAAGGAGAAAAGAAAAGGGAGTGAAGAATGAGAGAGAAGAAGAAAAAAGATCCGTAAACTTAGTACCCACCACCACTTCTCTCAAAATCCCACTCATCATCATAATCCATGGTAGAATCCCTTCTCCTCCTGCGCGAGACATCATCTCCATACCTCACCGACTGCATACTCTCCTTCTCTTTATTCTTCTCGCGCGCCCACTCCAGCGCATCGCGCAAGTCACGTAGATTGATCTGCTCATCGTGCAGTGCAGCTTCTGTCTGTCTCCTACGCGGCTGGGCCGGCGAGTACGCATGATCATATACATCTGGATTGTAAGAGGCGGTGCGGGCGGGCTTAGGAGGGGCAGGAGGGAAGGGTGAAGCAAAGGGGTTGTTGGTGTGTTGGGTACGGGGCAGTGCTGGGGTGGGGCGGCGGTGCGGGAGATGCGGACGGGGAGGGTAGGGGTGTTGGTCGTCGGGGTAAGATGGGTACTCGCGGTCCCGCTCTTGCTCTCGCATGGGCTCTCGCATGGATGAGCGAGTGGGCATGTGCTCGTTGCTTGGTTCCCTGAGGTATCTGGGTCTCTGTGCGGAGCGCAGATCGGCAGTGTTGGGGTTGGGGCTTCGACGCTGGGGATCAAAGGCGTCGTTTGGGCGCGCTGCAAAAGTCGGCTTGCGCTGGCTGTGCTCACGCTTTGTAGGCTGAGGCCGAGAAGGTGCGTCCCACATGTTATCCTCGGCCGTGTGGACAGACGAGGTGTGCCAGGAACCAGTACCGCTTGCGCGATCCCATGATGCATCGGACATATCGTCGTGTGAATTGTAAACTTTCTCTGGCATCCTCTTCTCACTGTAGAGGCTGGTGGGCGAGGCGTTGCCGCTGCGTGTTCTGTCATCTGCAGTGTTGTTTGTGTTCATGTGGATGTGAATGTTCGCTGGCGCTTGACTAGAGAGCTTCGCACGTAAAGGTTGAGGAGAACTCGAACCTGGTGTGTCTGGGGTACGTCTGCCAGTGTATCCTTCGTCAATATCACTACTGGGCCGATGTCTCCGCATTGGTTGCCGTGCATTTTGCTGGTGAATGCCTCTGCGTAGGTGACTCCGGCTGCGACTTCGACTTTGCCGCTTGCTTCTACTATGCATACGATGTCTCGGATTGTTTCTTGACCCCTTAGCATGTCGTCCGCGTTCGGGTTCGCGCGGATGCATTTCCCTATGCATGTCGCTGTCGATGTCGACGAAGCTAGAACCCTCCGACTCATCTTCCCAACTAACTTCACCCTCTGAGTATAAACTAGATGTATCCATGTGGCTCCTGTGCTTGGTTTGCTGGCTCCTAGGCAACTCGGGGTCCATTGTCTGGTTGACCGGGCCTGGCCTACGACCTGGTACGTGCCTTGGTACTGACATTGGTATAGCCTCGGGGTAACTGCCGGGCATGCCTGATAGACCCTGCGGTAAGGGTGACTGAATTGGTGGTGGGTGCCCGCGAGGTCCCGACATAACTGGATGGGCCCCTCCATTAGGTGGTGGTGGCGGCGGTGGCGGCGGCGCAGGTGGGCCAGCTACTGGAGTTTGCCCGTTCATACCTCCACTTAGATGTGGTTGAGGTGGAAATGGAGGCGGTACATGGGGAGTGGGCATCGGCATATGAATGTTGCCTGGATTAACAACATGAAGAGGAGGAGGCTGACCACGCGTTAGCTCAGGGTGTGGAGGAGGCGGCACGTTATGCGGGCCATGAGGTTGAGGTCGCTGCTGAGGCATCTGTTGTGGTGCTGGCATATTCTGGCTTTGATTGTTGACTCGACCCTGGAACTGTGGAAGACTCTCGCCCTGCTTGACCCGGTTGGAATCTTGAAGTTTATCGCTAGCCATTCCAACTCCCGTCTTTGTACCTTGGAGGCCAGAGTCTTCTGCTTCCAAGATTATGTCCACACGTGCCAGGTATCTCTCGCGGCGCGTCAAAGAGGCGCGTTCTCGAAACTTCTTTATCAGACTCACGATCCTGTACTCCATGGTCGGGTTGTGTTTGGTCAGGACAACATTCTGCTCTTCGACCAGTTCATTGATGATTCTGCGACAGTTTGGAGAGGATATTTCGTCCAAAGCCTTTTTGACGTTGTTGTAGTTACGTCGGAACTTCAGTACCTCCTTTTTGAGGTCATGAGCTCTGACGTGTTGTTGCTCGGGGACAACATCTTCCCAGCTGATGTCGTTCCTGGGCCGCTCTAAGATGAATGATACGAGAAGAGGGGCTTGGATGGAATCTAAGGGAAAATCTTCAGTCTCTCTTGGAGAATTTTGCCCAAAGCTCTGGTGTTGTCCGCTTGAGGCATGTCGCTGTTGCCCAATATTTTGATGATGTTGAGGCATCGGACCCGGGTATTGAGTTTGTTGTGGTATAGGCATTGGATGGGCCATGATTAAGAGGAGTGAGATGGCCGAAAGAGAGAGTACTGTCAGTCGACAGAATAGAATTGAACAAAGCTTCGATGTTTGTGTCAACAGAAGGCTTGTCGCCGGAGAAAAGGTGAGATGATGAACTAGATAAATATTGGGAGAATATCGATGGAAGATATAGAAATCAGAATCAACTCGATATTGATAGTTATTTTAGAGCCTCACTTTTGCTCCAGTAGTGGTGTTACCATACTGACGCAGGCGGTGATAAGGACCATTTTCGGACTGGGACCATCGCATCCAATCCGCCTCTGGAAGTGCAGATGAAACATGCGTCAATTGGTTGACATGAATGGTTCTCCCGAACCTCGCTTAACCGTTGGCATCGGGGCGCTGACCGGTCGAAGCCACAAGGCTGAGGGGTAGACAGGCAAATCGCCTTTTGCCTTCTTATGCGACACAAGGTACAGCTGACCAGTTGTGTGTTTTTGAGCCTGGGGATTTACCGGAAGGCCAAAGGTCCTCCCAACGTGCATATGTACGAGCAGCGCGCCACACATCTGGAGGACTCAAGTGATGATCTTGGATGCAGCCTGATGAGAAGTTCATCATGACATGCTCACGTATGTGTAGGCGACTTCGTTGTGACGGCTCACTAGTGCCATATAATCTTTTGGCGCTATTTCTTTGCTATGGCCTAGTTGCAGACATTTGTATAAGAGCAGAAACGACATAGTCGAGGTGAACGTTTAGATCTATAACAATATTCTTGTTTACTATGCTTTAATTTTTATCTATGAAAGCTAACTATTTAACTCAATATCACTTATACAGAAACCTCTTAGAATCTTAGTACTAAACACCATAATTATACACTAATATTCTATTGTAGAACTATGCTAAACAGCGTTTAACCCGTTATACCTAGCCAGACTATATTTATTGAGGGTTTTGGCATTTTACAAGTTTCTGACCCCAAATTGAACACTGATCACTGTTATTGATGATTCTTGTTGCTATGAAGTATGTAAATCCGTTTTACCTTTGACATGTTCCACTCCACATAACGGCACCACATTGACCATTATATGCCTTTCCTAAATCACCCCCGAGACTGCAGTTTTTAAAGATTGTTGTAACGCCATCGGGGCATTGGGTATAAAATGGCTGGTTCCTCTTCTGGAGATCAGAGAAGCCAACTTCTTTTGCTGCCGAGTCAATAAGTGGAACAGCGCCTGTAACGGTCGCGGTTGATACTCGAGATTGCCACTCCGATCTATGATACGAGGCATTACCACCGAGACATAGCCGAGGATCTTGATTCCACACCGCGATTAGGTTTGATGTTGATCTTTCCTGGCCCATCACGGAGAGACAAACGTCAGCAGTAGAGTAACATTAGTCAGAAAGAAAACTACAGAGGTGCCTGTTACAAGTGCTTGCTAACAGGAATCATCTGTATTACTACCAAAATACTACCAAAGTTTGATTAGATCTATCCCGCCGTCTCTTCTTATATCTTTTACTAGTAGTGTAGTACGTAGTAGTAGTTATATAAGTTTAAAATCTAATTACTATTAGTATTACGTAGTTATATGATAAATTATTCTTAAGTTCATAAGTATAGTATGATATACTTGGTAAAAAAAATATATAGCTTATATCGCTTTTTTATTATATATATTATTATTAGCTTAGCGTTAGTATAGGTCCAATAGGTTACACCTCATCGTATGAGGAATTCCTACCCTCCTGTATATACTAAAGAATCAACGAACAAGAGAACAAGTGACAAATGCCGGGTGGCCGAGAAGACTGATTATGTGTGAACACATCTCCTGCAGAGCGGCTGGTTGCGATGAGTTCGCAGTATGTAAAATCCCACTCATGCAGCCTGGCGCTGTATCTGTTTGCCGACTGGGCAACGACGCCCCTTCATGCACATTATTTTGCCCTTTGCCCTTGAAATAAAAATTGCCTGATCCCAAATACCGGATGTCTGCGGATGACATGGAATATACGACATTGACCGGATGCACAATGCATGCAGTATGCAAGCCACTCGTGTGACGTTTGTGACACTCAGGCTCATACCCGTAATTCGGTTGCAACATCAACAACAACTTGCTCGACAACGGGAACGGGAAGGGCGGAATTGCCTAGGGCTTATTGGAAACAGATACGTTGTTTATGATACGAGCCATGTACATGGTCAACAGCTGTCCACCGGGCGCAGGCAGTGAAATTCATGCAACGATTGCACTCTCTCTGCTGCAGTCGGAGAAGTATATAGAAAAAAGGCCAGACCATTTTCTCCAGTCTTGACCTTTTCGATAACCACAATCAGCATTCTAGTTCTCCGATCCAAGATACCGTCAGTTCGTAATCGCGCTCTTGAACCGTAATGCTTTTGCGGATGTTGACTTACTGCACACACTCACAAACGCCTAACATTAATTCTACAGATTACAAAACACTCTATCTATGATTGATTTGAAGCAGCAAGTATGTGAATGCCATGGAATACATGACACCCAGGATATCGGTCGGTGGCGCACAGCCCATGTCTGAGACACAGGAGGATTCTCCCCACCAACACCCTTCTTACCCCGCAGTCTCTCCCGTTGCCTTCGGGAGGACCATCTTCACCGGATGGAAGATCCTTCAGCCACGGCAGCTGGAAGATACGAAATAACAACGTTTGCATACGAGGTGATTTCATGGATGGATTCTGGGCCCATGCTCCGGGCCACTTGACGGACATACTAGAGTGAGCCACCTGGTATTTTTGGATGAGCTTCGTGATTGATGAACCTTCAATTGTTGCGCGTCCTTCGTCAGCAACCGGTGGGGGGTGTTCGAGACTTTTGCGAAGGTTCGCGTGTAATATTCGGGCGAGCCTTGTGTTGTTGGCCCTGTAGAGCTACCAACGACTTAACCTGCGAATCAAATCTAGAACATTTTTAGCATGTGAAAACAGGATGAGTTGAGCGAACTTCCGCGCCAGTGATATGTTCCTCCCTGGTAACAAGATATTGAAAGGAGACACGATAGAGTCATGTGTGGGGACGGGTATCTTCAATTCGGTAGTCATGCGCTACTCGCACCGTCTCTGATATACAAGTGTTAGGAACGTGATTACCCATTTTCTAGGTTTCCTGTAATATGCGGTCTTCAGACATCGAATGCGCGGCGCGTTCAAGCCTTGACGCCGAGCTGGTGTGGTGTGGTTTTGGATGCTCCTCAACGCATGATGTTTCATTTCTTGCCCTTCTTTTTCTTCTTTCCTCCTGTTCCTGCGCCTGCCTTTGCATCTGGTGCTGTGCCGCCCATCTTGACGTCGCCGCTCTCGTCAACCTGCGGTGTCGCTGCGCCCTCGCCGCCCGCTGGCATGCTCAAATCCTCTGTCGTCTCCGGTAGCGCTGCCATGTGCCTCCCTAGCCTTCCCAGGTTTCCAATCAGCCTTCCAACCTCGGCGCCCTTGTTGGTCTCATATTGCAGACATGTTCCCGACTCTGGGTCGTATGTTTTAAGCGTAAAGGTGGCCGTTACTTCTTCCGCGTCTTGCGATTGTGGTTGTGGTGATGAGTCTCGCGCCTTGTCTGCTGGCCGTGATGCCTTCTTCTCTTCATATTTTTGTCGCTTCTTGATCTTGGCGGCTGTGGGCTTGTGGACCGAGTATTTGGAGGTGATGCGTGTCTAGGAACTCGATTAGAAGGGCGTGTCGCGTGCTTTGCGCATAGCTTCTCGTACAGTTGTTGGGCGGGCTTTTAGCAGTAGCGACGACTGCTCGTACCATTCGGCACTCGTGGCAAAGTACGGCATTGTGACGGTTGCAGGTTGACTGGAGCAATTGCAAGGTGGAGGACGGATAGGTCAGCTTCGGTATGCGGGCAACTTTTGGCGGGGTTGCGCTCGGGCGAACGTCGGTCTGGACTCGCAGCCTCCAACTCATGAAGGGCGCAGACGACTATTGACTGTGGCAGAACAGGGCGCACCGAGGCAACTATGACATGACTGTTCAAAAAGCTTAACATTAGCTTGTACCAGCACATATCCAGGCAGCCGCGATTGTCAACATCGAGCCTCATCGAATCTTCTATACAACGCTTGGGTTACGATTTCCATGGCTTTAGCACGATGAACATCTCTACAATTTTCTTTGCTACAGACATCCTTGATTTCACGCTGAAGAGACTGATATCTCAACCACGCTAGCAACAAAAAAAACATTTCTTATCATTAGCCATCCTTAACCTGCTTTCTACCACGATAGATGTCTTGGAAATCTTGTTCACCGTTCGGCAATTCCTCACTCATTTCCAACACCATCTTTGGCACTCGGACTACTCCTCCCAGGTCTTGGCATTATGGCGGAAAGCATTACCAAAGAAATTGACAATCTGAATCTTGGAGATGACCAGACTCGAGACAAAACGCCCACTCCACGAGCTGAACTGGAAGCTACCATCCAAGGTCTGGTAGAACGCGGAAAGTGCCTGCACGATGAAGTGGAGACATATGTGGCGGCAGTTCTTGAGAAACAAAAAGTCGGCAAAGTTCACAATCCAGTAGAGTACGTTATATTTGGTCGCGTCTGATACGCTTTGCAGTTATAGATCAACTCCTGTCATCCACCATTCACACTACTGTCCCAATTCTTTGCGTACAGCTAATTTGACCAGGTATCGTAATCTGCGCAATGACATGCGTAACGAGCTAGCCTTTCTCAAAAAGCTAGTAGGCTCCGAAATGGATGAGGAGAAAGCTAGACACTATATTGTTTCGTCAAATCTTCTCTACTACGAAGCACTATGGAGCGCAGCAAAGCGCTCACGTGGACTCCAGAGCTTCAGAAAGTACTTCTTCTGGCACCGTCACACCGCACCAGCAGGCAAGCACACGACAAAAGGTCTAAGTCTATCCAAGGGAAGCCAAACCAAGAACAAAACCGCTGCGCTTGTTGATATTGTTGCCGAAGAAGGCAGCGAATGGATCCGCGTCTCGACCGTTTCCGAAAAGCGGATTCTCTTTGACCTCGCCAAGCTGGGATGGGTCAACGACTTTGATTCCGACGAAGACGAGGATACACTAGACGCACGCTCAATCGGCGTTGACGACGAAGACGACGATGAAGATCAAGTCGACGTTGTCCGCAACGCCCGTCAACTCGCCCGAGCAGCTCAGGCAAACCCCATCCGCGGCCGTCCACCCAAGGTCCGCTTCGTCCTCACAAGAGTTGTCGCCGGTAAATCCGCGCCCATTGATTCTGTCATCAACAAGATCCGAGCTACAGGCGCCATTGTGCAATGCGGCGATGATATCCCCCCAGCACCTGCAATTGACGATGTTCTCCCACAGCTCCTCATCGATCGCTCCCGGGCTCTAAGCAACACTCTAAACATCGATTGCACCATCCTGCTTGCTCTCATATCAGACATCTCGCATAAACCTTGCCCGATACTAGACTGGTATCCTGGCGAAGTGCGCGCACAGATCGAAGAGGAAGCAGAGGAGCACTTACTTCCTACGCATCTTTACCCGGCTATCAAGGCGCATCCTATGGTGTGCACGCGCGAAGCAGCCGACCAGATGAATCTTATAGTGCAGACTCTAGCTACAGATACGGAGAGGCTGAGAGCGGATCTTTTGTTAGGCCAGGGAGATTGGCAAGTGCGGTCCTCGCAGGACTTGGTTGCGGAATGGGTATGTTCACTAGTAATTTCCCTTGATCCACCTTATTCTTCTAGCCCCCTCTATAACCTTTCTTTTTCTCCTTCTCAAAATTAGATTTTTAGTAGTACATCGTGTTGAAAATGCCCAAACTAACAGTGATATTTCTCAGGCAAGTCTATCCGACCACACCGTCCCCGAGGGCTTCGCCCTCCCAATAACAGTCAAATCACCCAACCTCGACTCCCTCACCGACACCCTCCCCGCCGTCGCACGCATAGTAGCAGCGGAACTGGGTCCTCTCAACAAATCCATTTTCCTCTACGGATGGGCGCAGAATCTGACGACGCTGAGTGCGAATCGTGGGCGCGCTCGCCAGATTGAAAGTATTATCAATGAGCATGGGTTGCAGGATGGGGAGGCTGGGCCGCATATTTGGCTCTGTGGTGAGTCTCGTAGTTTGATTGCAAAGCATGGGCGGAGAAAGTAAAACAAAAAAAAAGGGACAGAGAGAAAGAGGAGAGAATTGTGGTTGCTGAGTTCGCGGATTAGGGGCGACGCGTACGTTTCGTAAACCACGGCCTGGGCAGGGTACTGAGGAGGAGATACGGTTGTGGCAGAGTGGGTCGAGAGGGATTGTGTAGAGAGAAAGAGAAGATGGTTTTGGATCGGTATCTTTGTTTTCTACAGGAAGATAGGTTGGAAGATACAAGACGAATGAAGCACTGGTATCGAGAAGAAAAAACAAGCATGGAAGACATACCCGTCTTACACGAAACAGTACACGATACATACTTTTCTACATCAAACCAATAATGGTCATCCACACTTACATGAGCAGCACCCAATAGCAGCAGAATAACATCAATTCTTCGTTGGGCTTGTATGTGTATGCAAACCACCATACGATAAGGATCACCAAGCCAGGAATTATTAAAAACTCCCTTACCTGTGTGGCCTTACCTTGATGCTGTACTTAGACTAAGGGGAAAAACATATTGCTTTCAAAATACACTTACATTAACCTACCCCAAGCAAGAAAAAGAAGGCAAAAAACGTTATAATAAAGAAAGGAAAAAAAAGGAAACGACGACATGAAGCTATTAAGACATGCGTGAAAACGGAAAAAAAGAGGAAAATATCACCTGTTTACCCTACCCGTCAAAGAAGATATTCGTTGTTCCCTTGCAAAACTAACATGCTCGAGTGTCCGACGGGATACTTCGGCTCGTGGAATGGCGTTATACCTTTCAAAAGCTGCAAACATGAAAGTGATGATTTTCCGTTGAAGAAGTCCGGGGTATGGTAGAGGTGACTCAAGATATGCAATGGTGCCTAGGAGTGATTGTTTTTTGGTGTTGCGTGCTCCTTACCCTCCTATATTGCGCTGTGCTGTAGAGTCGAAACGTCAAGAGCTGAACAGAGTCGATCTTACCCTCGTTGACGAGAAAGGCTGGGGCGAAGAAAAGGGAGGTAACCTTTTTGACAAACCATTGCGCAACAGGGCTTAGCCGTAAGTCGAGCTTAGTACCTTCGTCGTGTTCGTGGGTCGTCGTAGCTGTCACCATCGTACGCGCGCTTCCGCGAGCCATCGTCTCGGCCTCCACCATGTCCACCGTCACGGTCGCGGTATCGATCCCTGCTGCCGAGCGGTTCATTGTTAGCACCGCTGGATCCTCGGTCGTTACCCCCGCCACGTCTATCGTCGTACCGTCCACCACGATCGCCTCCGTAACCACCGCTTCCTCGGTCGCCACCGAAACCGCCGCTTCGGGGACCACGAGGACCAGCGGGTGCACCATCGGGAGGCCCATAACCGTTCGATTGGTACCCGATACCTCCTCGTCCACCGCCGTAACCCCCGCCGCCGCCTCGGCCGCCGCCACCAAAGCCTCCACTTCCACCACGGAAACCTCCTCGATCACCGCCAAAGCCTCCGCGACCTCCACCTCGTCCACCGAAACCACTGTTGAAGCCACCGCCGCGACCTCCGAATCCACCAGGACCGGCAGGGGCGCCGCCAAAGCCTCCTGCGCCACCAGATCCGCGGGCAGCTGGTCCCTTTGTATAGCCTCGACCGCCAAGGCCACCACCAAAGCGGCGTGGACGCCAGCCAGAAACCGTGCGACCGCGCTCAACATCGACCAGAACACGTCGGTCCTTGATTTTGATGCCATCTGTCTCTTTGTAGGCTGCCTTCATGTCTTTTTCACGCTCAAACACAATGAAGGCATAGCCGCGCTTGCGCTTCTTAGGCGGCGCGTCTTCTGGCTGCGTGATGTCCTCGACGATGCGGATACGCTCAATGGGACCGTAACGACCAAACTCGCGCTCGAGGTCGTCAGAGGTGACGCCGTACGACAGGCGAGACACGAAGAGTGTTTTGAAGGCGTCGCCCTGTACCTTTGGATCCTCGGAGGGTTTGTCTGTATCAGAGTCAGCGTTGTACTTATGAACAATTGATCTTCGCGTCCTGACGTACAATTCTTGACGCCTTCAGTAATAAGCTTCTCCTGTTTCTCCTTCTTTTCGAGCTTCTTGCGATCGCGTTTCTGCAGCCAGCTGTCGGTGGGCACATAGCCATCGTTGTCCTTGTATTCGCGTAGGGCGTCCATGTATTGCGCAATGCCGCCAATTTTGGGGGTGCAACGCTTCTCTGGCGCGTGGTCAGTAGGCTCAACCCATCGCAGCGGCGGCCGCGGGGCGAAGAGGTTCAACAGCATCGGTGGGAGTAAATGTGTCATTTTGGCGTGATGTCTGGATGCGCTCCAGATGGCGATGTGGAGTAGTTGGAATAATGGGGTGGAGGGTTGAAGAAGTGACGATGAGAGCAGGTGCTTCTGGTTCTTTGGGGGCTGATAGGCTTGGCAACAAGTTGCGACGCGGAGTTCGCACTAGCGCAATCCTAGGCTGCGACCGGGCACGTGAGAACAGTGCGCCGGTAGCCAGACTTTGGCCTCTGAGGTTGGCCAAGGGAAGGCACTACGAGTCTCCCAGCCGCAATTGCACGCCAACATGCCTGTCGCGGCTCTCAAGACGGTCGCAAAGTCTCAAGTATGTCCAGGCCCTGAGAATGCCTTCGTTGTGTCCTCCCACGCCGGCTGCTAACAATTGCACCTTCACAGAATGGCGTTGGGGCCTTTGTTCTGCCCTGCAAATCCTTAACCTTCCATTACTGCAACTGGTGGGGGTCGTCGCGCGGCATGAATGCTTTCATCAAGTCGTCCCTTCCAGCTTTTGCCAAGCGCAACCCTCAGATTGAAATTTCCGTCAGCCCACGGCCGGCCCACCACCCGGTCATCATCGCAAACTACATCAATGGAGCCCAGCGATCAATATGCGTCAAGAACCTGCAGAACGAGGGCGTACGGGAAAAGGCTGAGATGCTGAGGAACAGCACGGGAGAGAAGAACAGGAAACTAGACGGACGACCGGTGAAGAGTTTGAATGAGAGCGTGAGGGGTATTTGGAGTCCGTTCCACGGAAGCAAGATCAAGATATAGGAATTTCAAGGGATATAGGAGTTCGAAACAACTGGTAGCACAAGTTACGACTGTTAGTCGTAAGAGACGAAAGAGATTCGACTACACGGCCAGTGTGACCGAGCCAAATAGCACTCGGATAAAAGTGAATGCATATAAAGCATCCTAATCCAAGTACACCGAAACAAATCATATGTACGAATAGTGTATCAAATCTAAAAAAAATAAAATCCAAGAACAAAAATTCACATGTCATATCCATCTTCGTCATTGATCTTCAAAAGCGTTTATTATGCTCCAACCTATGTGGTTTCTGGCAAAGATCTATTTCTCATAACTTCATCATTTTCCTTCCGGTGCGAGCTTCCGTCAGCTATAGACGAGCATCGCTCCGGGGGATTCATGCCTGGTGGCTGTTGATAATGTCAACAAACGCAGGCTTCAAGCTGGCACCGCCAACAAGGAAACCGTCAATGTCGGGCTGCTTGGCAAGCTCCTTGCAGTTCTTCTCCGAGACACTTCCGCCGTATAGGATACGGGTCTTCTCGGAAGCCTCTGCTGAGACCTCCTTCTTGAGCCACTCACGGAGAGCGGCGTGGACTTCCTGGGCTTGCTCAGTGGTAGCAACCTTGCCAGTACCAATAGCCCTGGCGTTTGTTAGTTCATCCTGTTTGAGTAGCTAGTGTTCCCCCATGCCGACATACCAGATAGGCTCGTAAGCAACGACGATCTTGCTCCAGTCCTTAACCTTGTCGGCAACGGCCTTGAGCTGCTTGGTAACAACGTTGACGGTTTCACCCGCCTCACGCTGCTCCAGACTCTCACCACAGCACAGAATTACACCCAGACCACCGTCAACTGCTGCCTTTGTCTTGCTGGCGACGAAGTCATCGTTCTCCTGTAGGATCTGGCGGCGCTCAGAGTGACCCAGGATAGTCCAGGTGATACCGCTGTCCTTGAGCTGTTCGACTGAGATCTCGCCGGTGAAGGCGCCGTTGGGCTTGTCAAAGATGTTTTGTGCTGCAACCTCGATTCCCTTGCGGAGGTGTTCGCGGGTCAAGAGGAGGTAGAGAGATGGTGGTGCAATGACAACCTCTGTTTGCATGTGTCAGCTTGCTGTATTTGCAGTGGTGTGATGCAGGTTCCAGGTCCTCTGCTGAGGCTCACATGGCGATTTGCACTTACCAGTGTTCTCGTCGAGCTTGGCCTTGTTCAGGTTGTCGACGATTTCGGTGATCGACTTGATCGTACCGTTCCTTTAGGACGGTCAGCTCTTTGCCATTGTCGTGAAGGTACTCACAACCCGGGTTGTAACGTACATCTTGAAGTTTCCACCGACGAAGAATTGGCGACCCATTTTGGCGGTTGTTTTTATACAAACTAGCTAGAAAGAATATGTGAGGGTATCAAGTATGCTCAATTGGAAGTGAGTTTAGGTGTGTTAGAGATGTGTTGTTGGGCTGAGCTACAGTAGGTATTAAAGCTTAGCGGGGGGTAACGCGCGGGGCCAGTGACGTCTTGAGAGATTCGCCGAACCCCGGCTTGCTTCTGAAAGACTGGAGATGCGGACCCCATCGTGAAATTTCTTTTTTCCAACTGGTAACCTTGGTTGTGCAAGCAAGTAATTCACCGGCTATCAACTTGAGGGCAGCACAGCGCGCCGGAAGGGTCTATTGTGCGTTTACAGCTACTTGGATTATGTGTGCAGTAACAATAATAGCGCAACTTCATGGCCTGCTTGGTGTTTGCAGATTTGAAGAGGTGCGGCTATGACAGAAACGGCCCACTGATCGTCCCGAAGTTATCCTTCAGCCAAGCCTTACACAACCAACATCTTCCGAACTCCACGTGCGACTGACTTGTCGCTGGCTAGAACCGCCACTCCAACATCATGTCCGAGTCCGCGGAAAACGATAGAGACCCTACCGTCTATGGTCTATCAGTCACACCACTCACACAATGCGCACATTGGCACTCCCCGCTCGACATCATTGCTATTAAGCATTTCTGCTGCAAGAAATTCTACGCGTGCATCAGTTGCCACGATGCACTCGAGACGCATACGTCAGAAGTTTGGCCTCAAACGCAACGGGATGAGAGTGCCGTGCTATGCGGGCAATGCAAGCATGTCCTGACCGTAGATGAGTACCTAAAGAGCGGTAGCAACTGCACAAGATGCACGAGTAAATTCAATCCAGGCTGCAAGAACCATTGGGGGCTATACTTTCAACTTGATGGGAATATGACTTGAGCAAAAAGAAATCCATGCCTATTATTCTGGGGTATATGAGGGGATCTAGCCAAGATAAAAGAAAATCATACACACATTACCCTCGCCTGTTCCTTCATATCGCATCAAACTACATGTCCAATACCTTTCCCAACGGCGCTAAAATTCATGCCAGAAGAAACTTCTGGCTATTAGACACGTACAAGCTTGCTAGGTCTTGCACAAAATGACCTCCCATCCCACGGTCCATCTTACACTCCCCATGATAATAAGTAACAACGAGAATGCCGTCACAACACTGAGACTCGCGTACACGTACGCAGCTTTCCGCTTCAAAGTATCAATTTCAACGATCCAAGTTGATACGGTAGTCAGGCAGCCGCAGAAGCCGTCCATGATACCCTGCAGCACCTGACAGCCTACGATGCCTCCACCAACAAGCCCCGTAGTGCTGAGCGATACATGTTGCAAATCGTACGCCATGCCAATGACCGCGGTACCGAATATGTTGACGGTAAAAGTGCCAACGGGAAAAGTCGAATTGATCGGATTCAGGTACATGGAAATATAGTACCGGAGTAGACATCCGATGGGTGCGAAGACACAAGCAAAGAGGGCTTGACTACGCCATGCGTCATTTGGCGGAACAGCAGCCATGATGATCGCTCCGAGCCATACGCCCCAGCCTAAAACAACGAAAATCGGGTCGACGATGCGGCGCGTGGCGCGGAAGGGCAGTATCGGCGTGAAGCGATCTAGCCCAAGGGCTATATGCGCGCCAACGTGCAGCGCACAGTAACACGTAGCAATGGTAATGACAATGGTCGCACACAGAGCCAGGAAAGAGTACCCACCGTTCCTGGGTAAAAGATTGCCTGTCGGAGGAAGCGAGGTGTTCGCAGGGTACGGATGGCTGATGGGCGCCTTGAGATCGTTCGATAGCGATAAAAAGACGTCGCGAATAAAGCTCGAGAAGCTTGTGAACGAGCCGCAGAAGCCTGTCGCAAGGCCAATGTACATTGGGATCGTCTTCTTCACCTTTCCGTGGCGCGCTTTGTCGGCCTGTTGGAGTGCGGGTTCATCCGAGGGCTCTGGCAGGCCTTCCCCCCGATTTCCCCACTCTGCAGCAAAAAGACGACGGTCTTCTGCTAGGAAGCCCATTATCAATGTGCCGGCGACGTTGGCCCATAGTTCGGAGAAGGTCAGGGGTGTGCCGGAGTAGAAAGTGAGGGCTTGGAGGCCGACACGCGCCAGTGTTCCCCAGATGGAAAAGAATATCAAGTAAGAAACAGTGTACAGCTCTGTTGCTATCTTGGATGCTCTCCGTGCTCCTGGTGTGGGCTTTGAACGCACATAGAGACCTGCATAATCTTCTTCCTTCCCAGACACCATACTGGGCAGAGCGGTGATGCTCAGTTGCGAAGCCGACGGTGAACCGTGTATCGGACGCTCTTGCGGGACTGCAAGTCTTGCTGATGGTTGGACCTGTGGCAGCGATGGGTTTGCAGGCTCAGTGTCGGCCTTGCCGCTCTGTCCTCGCGTCCTTGGCCTGTGGAATGCTGCAGGTAAAGTGGGCGATTGGGCAGCCTCGTTGAAGACGTGCAGCCAGGAGCCTGGCACTAGGGCGTCGTCTGGGTCGTGCGACTTGTCGAGCCTGGAATCGGCGGTGCTTCGCGACGTGCGCTTGCTCGAGTTCTTGTCCTTCCACCTCGAGGTGCTGTCGGTGCGCTGGCGCTGGCGCGTATATGGGACGTTGGGCGCAGGCGAGGCGGTTGAGCCGGCAGACAGCGGTGAGGGCTCAATGTCGTCGTAGGCTGAGGGTGGGATGCCCGAGTCGAGGTCGAAGTCGAGTCGCGCGGCATCGCTGGGTGACCAGGGTTGCAGTCGCGGGCCGGCGGATGGCTCTTCCAAGATGAGCGACGAGCGCAACGACGATCGTTGGTTATTGTAGTGAGACTGGCGCTTGGTGGGAACATCGTCGTAGTCGTCGGCGGCGGCTACTGCTGTATTTGCAGCATGGTCCGCCATAACAGGCGTCTCGGGTGCCTGCAGATTGGGATGTACAATGACGTGGACCCGTACCAGAAACTGGGTCCCCCTCAATTCATCTCACCTCGCGGCCTGGAAGATGAGTGGATATGATGGCTGTTTGTATACGGAAGTACTGGAGTCGGGCAGGCCACGCAGCAGACTGTCCCGTAACGCGATGGATGTCAGCTCCTGCCGCCGTGTAGCGCGTATATATCGTCAGACAGCCCTCGACCTCCGCCCCCCTTCTGAAGCAAAGAAGAAAGTATAAACACCCGTCAGGGCCATATTTGTTGTCAAGGCTTTTGCGCCATGCCCAAGTGCACGAGCACTGACTCCGATTTCTGTATTCTCCGATTGGCGCAGGGACAGGCCTGTTTCGTCCATGCGTGGGCGGCGCTGTCCGACGCCGGGTCAGCTGTTATCGCCCGCATTGGGGTAGCGCTACTCGACCTACCTATCTCATGCCCGCCGTCAATTGAACAAGCAATATTCCCTTCCCAAGCTCTGTATATATACATACATACTTGTCTCGCTGCTAGCTTGGCTGCCTCGAATCTGTGTCATCGCACCGTCCACCCAATCGCACGTGACAGTCCGACGCAGACATACTACAGACATCCACACATCATGGCAACCACCAACCTCCCCAAGAACGCACACGTGTCCACCCATCCTTGTCTTCAGGCAAAACTCTCCCAGCTACGGTCAGCAAGCACAGGTTCCCGTGATGCACAGACGCTGGTTCATGAAATCGCCCTCATGGTGGGCTATGAAGCCCTCGCCTCAGGATTGAAGTCACAGCAGGGAAGCACAGTACGTCCCCATTCTACCTTGCTTTCATGTGCACACACGCACGCTCTGAGAATTGGCATACTTTTTCCACTCAAACAATCATGCAAAAACCAACCGTGTGCCCTCAGTGCGTGTGGCACAAGCAATGGTGTAATCTGCACATGCATTAACAACATGGTTACAGGACAAGTCGCCCTTGGGGTATGAGTACACAACGAGCACCACCTCACCCGCCCCCTCTGCCATATCGCTCGTGCCTATCCTCCGCTCTGGCCTCTCCATGGTCCCTGCGCTCTCATCCCTCCTCCCTACCCCAGTCCCCATCCACCACCTGGGTCTCTACCGCGAGAAGACGACCCTGCAACCAGTCGAGTACTACAACAATCTGCCCTATCACACCCCGCACACGTCTGGCGCCACCAAGCCCCAGCCCGAGCTGGCCATCATTGTCGATCCCATCATTGCGACCGGTGCGACGGCTTGTGCGGCTATTGATACGCTCAAGGACTGGGGTGTTAAGAAGATCATTGTCTGCAGTATTCTGGCTACCGAGGAGGGGCTTCAAAAGGCCTGTAGTGAGTGGGAGGAGGGCGTTGAGGTGTGGGTTGGCGCGTGCGATAAGGGTGTTGATGACAAAGGCATGATCAAGCCGGGACTAGGCGATATTGGAGACAGGCTATTCTTGACACTGGGAAAATAAGTCCATAGCAAGCCATGAGAATTCATGTGCAAAGTGTTCCATGTGTGATACTTGGTAACCTTGGTACTCATTGGACCAAGCTGTGTTTTGCTTCACGTGCCGTTTCCAAGGGTCTCGACCAAAAGCATGGTCACGGAATAGGGGTCGCCTTCTCCCTTGCGCCTCGATCCAGACGCGGCGGGTTGTCTTGTCGATCGCCTTGTCCTGTGCAAGCTTCGGGCGGGCAAGAGTCTAGTAGTTGAGAATGTATGGTATGTAGCTGTGGCAGTGCTACTTCCAAGCCCTTGGCCTCAACCATCAGCCACTGATGACGCAAATGTACAACAATCTTGCTTCACCTATTTGGGCCAACGCAGCCAGCCACGTCCAATATATAACTGCCCTTACTCCACCTCTGCCTCATACCTCAGTACTTCCCCACTAAATTCCTATTTCACACACTCCACTCACACCTACGCCTATCCACGAACAAACATACATCCATACTACAACCATGGGTCTCATGTGGCACAAGGGCTTTGGCGGAAAGAGGGCTGGTAAGATGGACCTGGCACTTCAAAGTCGTCAAGCAGCTGCTAACAGATTTATAGGTGGCGGTGTCGTTGTTGACAAACACGGTGTTCGACGCGCACCCTTTCGCATCTCGTGCGGTGGTTTCTCTTGCTTCCGCTAAGCATCCACCCTCCTCATATCAACGATTCACGACTTGTAAGTCAAACAGGCTCACCAACGGTAACCGTCAGCTTACATGTTCAGCTCTCAACACGTCCATATCTTGATACCTTTGTTTTGCGATGGCGTTACGGCTCGAATCTGAACGGCGGTGAACAAGTGGAAGCTGTGCATAGCTCCTTAGCGTCACATGCATGCGGAGTCACACGCATACACACACATATATATGTGACCAGATTCATACATGTTCCATAACCTCAGTAGCCTAATAAAATAAGCATATTTGAAATCTTAGTGCCATCGTCACCACTCCTTGTTTACAAACAGCTTGATACAGATGCCAAGCATTTGTTGAAAGAATGACGTCACACGTCACACCCTGGACTCGAGATCCACCTCTCCCATCCCACGCCATTTAGGTCAACCTCGAGGGCGGGGCAAATGGCATTTGTGAAGGCAGCTTCTGCATAGCTCACAGTAGACCTATGGGCGAGTATCGTCACGGCCACAACCCCAGATACAGCAAGATGCGGTCTGTTCTCATCATCAACCCCAACTCTACGGAGCAAATGACGAATGGCTTGAAGCCACTTGTCGATGCGCTACAATTCAAAGACGTCAATCAAACGCCACTCACAGCAGCGACCCAGCTACTAACCGTAGCTAGTAGACCGCACACGAGTACTTCACTGCACCCTCGGGTCCAAAGAGCATCAACAATGAAGACGACGCTGCCGAGTCGGTAGACCATTGCCTACCCGCTTTGGAGAAAGACCTCGCACGCTACGATGGCTTCCTCGTCGCATGCTACTCAAAGCATCCTCTCGTGCCACGCCTGAAAGAGCACACTACTGTGAGAGGCTCTCGCAAACCCGTCACTGGTATTTTCGAGGCCAGTGTGGGCACATCACTTCAGATTATACATCCTGACGAAAAGTTTGGCATCGTCAGCACAGGCAAGGTCTGGGAGACCATCCTGACTGATGCTACGATTGATTTTTTGGGCACGGGTTCAGAAGCTAGCAAGCGCTTTGCGGGCGTGGAAACGACAGGGCTCAACGCCACGGATCTGCATGATGCGCCTGCCGACGAGGTGCGCAAGCGCATGAAAGATGCCGTGAAGCGGCTTTTGAATAAAGACAAGGTTGGCGCCATCTGTCTGGGCTGTGCGGGTATGGCTGGTATGGATGAGATGGTCAGGGAGGCGTGTATAGAGGAGTTGGGAGATGTCGAGGGTAAGAGAGTCAGAGTTGTGGACGGAGTAATGGCTGGTGTTGCATGGCTAGAGGGTGCTGTACGTGCTAGCTTCTAATCTGCATCGAGGCGAATAGTGAAAAGTATATATTTGAAGCATATTTGTGTATATCTGTAATATTCCATGAATGATCACGATGCGAAATATCCCAATGAGTAGAGCCACTAACCAGAAACATTATGACATAATAACGTGGACCCTGGCGGGGATTGTAGTGGGACTATCACGCCCGACGACCTTCCTACCTGAACTCTAGTCATACAATTCCACATGACCATTTGGACATTTTTAAATTTTCCGCTCCAAAAAAATACTGGTCGTCGTCTCGTGGGATAAGATTCGAAACAAGAATTTAGTCAATTAATCGCTATGCAGTCGCTGCCGAACGAGCTTTTATCGCAGATTGCTTCACAGCTGCATCAAGAACCGCCTTCAATCACCAAGTTTACCCACGAGCCTTCTGAACATCTGACACAATCGGAGTTGACTCCACTCAAAACCTTGTCTCTGGTGTCATGGCGCTGGAGAAAGATTGTTCTACCCATACTCTTCCGCTATTCGCGGATACCACTTGACGATGAGCCGCAATGGGTACCTTTGGACGCACGGCTCGTTGATAGCATGCAGGAGCAATTGACCAAACTGAGTAACCATGAATTTGTCATCTACACGAAATTGCGGAGCAAGTTCAAAAGCAGCTCGGGCTTTGCATTCAAGCCAGCCATGGATGATGTCCTCGTCAATTTATGCCGCATCCAAGAGGGGGATGAGTTTCTCAAGTCAGTGCCAAACATTTTGTGGCTTCCACATCTTCCGAAAACATTTACAGACTTTTGTCGATTCGTGGCACATTACACACTGAAGCACCACATCAAGAGCGTGGTGGTGCATACGAACAAGGAATACAAGCTGTCTCATGTATCTGCTGCAGAAGCACCGTTAGCTCGTGGGGTGACTGACATCTGGACGCAAATATTCTCTCACCTAGAACCTACACGCATTGTCGTTGCTGCCCCACCGTCGACAATGGCTGGACTGCTGGATTCGCCGATGCGGAGCAACGACGTGTGGGCTTTTGAGATGAAGATGCACTATGTTGAGCTAATTCAGGCCGAGCCGCCCCGTACTGCTCATATGCAAGAGAATTGCCGGACATGGGGCTCTGCTCTCATCCATCAAAGACCTTGGTATCACATGGGTTACAACGAGGGCTCGTCCATTGCTGCGTACAGCACATACGAGTACCATTTGAAACAACCGCCAAGGATACTTTTTCATTTGCTTATACGCCTGTTCAGGGAAACACAACCATGCTGCAACATGACATCGTTCAGCTTCACAGGCGTCTTCCCATTTGCCGCAAACATTACTTCAATTGTTCGCGCTCTTCACCGCATCCCGACGGTCAACAGGATCAGTGTACAGCTAGCACCTGGACCAGAGAACAATGTGCTCAGTGACGGCAAGAGAAGGGGCAGAGCGCAGTCAAGCGACTTTTGGCTCGAGTGGCGCGAGAGTTACAAAGTGATTGCGAGCTATTTAGGCGTGTTTGACTTTGCGGACCAGGCAAAGTTTGCAAGCAGAGACTGTGGGAGTAAGCAGCTGGCAATCGAGGTTGAAGAGTGTATGGATTTGCTGAGAAAGAGGGGGATTGGGTGGAAGAGCGAAGGGGATGGGAATTGGGTCAGGGATCACACGTTAGATTGTCAAACAGCGACTGTTGAGGTTGAAGGAGGTTGAGATTGGATATTTGCAATACAGGGTATTGGAAGCACCGTGGTGTGAATACGCAGACTGTGCCATATTTAACTTTGAGCAGTGTAACTATAGGCAATCCTTCATCGTGGGCGAGGCTATCCTTGAACATGGCTCTAAGCACTGGCCAATTAGCAGCGGCCTCTAGGGCAGCATGCCCCACTTTGAAACGCCTGTGTCGTCTGTCACAAACTAACCCGACGTCATGCCAAATTTCTGATTCGGATACCTTGCACCGGCCAATCTTACTCGAACTCTCCGGCAAAGATAAACAAAGGCAACAATCATGGACTCGTATGTGAATTGTTTTCGGCTGCGAAACATTGCACAAGAGCTAATGCAGCGTCTCTAGCCTCACAGCATCTGAGCAGCGCGAGCTGCAGTCGCGCATGGAGAAGAAGCAGATGAAGGAATTCATGAACGTACGTAGAGCGTCTTTTGGGATGATTCTTGTGCTTCAACGACTGACACGGGATGGCAGATGTACTCGAACCTGGTGCAGCAATGCTTTGACCACTGTGTCAACGGCTTCGAGAGCAAGTCTCTCACCTCGCGCGAAGAGAGCTGCGTGATGCGATGCGTCGACAAGCACATGAAGGGCTCGCAGCGACTAGGCGACCGCTTCCAGGAGCAGAATGCCGCCATGGCCCAGGGCGGCGGCATGGGCGGAAGATAGATAGACAGAAGGGAAATCTCTGCGGCGGAGAGACAAAGGCTGCCTAGTGGTGATGAGAGACGACGCGCGGAATGCCGACTGCAAAGCGTGCAATGGTCGGGGTTGGATACAGTGGCCAGCCCGGTCATGCGCTGGCACAGAAAAAGGCCATTTGTACTACTATATAAAGACGAGTCGTGGGATCCGGTGTGGGCGTGGGCTACGTAAGATGCTTGCCCACGTCTGGATTAGTAAGAGCAGAAGCATGTCTCACGGACATGACTGCCATTGGCAATGATATATATGGTTATGGAAATTGAGAAGCATGTAGGTGATACTGGTACTACTACTACTACTACTACTTCGTCGTGTGCGGTGCGGTGCAGGCCAGCAGCCATGGGCAATTCGTACCATACATGTGTACATACATATAATGCACCCGAGATGCAGTTTCAAGAGGGGAGATTGTGTGAAGTAGTGTAGGCATGTACATTACGTGTGTCTATGTACGTACACCAGTGCGTATGTATGGAGCCATGAAGGGGTTAATTATAGCGCAGCATGCTCGCTCTGTGCCTCTTCCTTCTCGGGCTGCATGGCTGTGGCAATGATTCCAGGCTGCATGTAGGCATGTCAGGCGACGCGATGCCGTTTTGCGTGGATTGGCCGGCAGGCACTCGCTGCTGTTGTCATCGGGCAGCCACTCGAACTCCCTCGCCTCGCCTCGCCTCGCCTGGTGGGAGCATCACCTACGCAAGCCAGCAGCCCTGCATGCATGCTCTCTTTGTCGCTCCGAGCCCCAGTTTCAGCGTCGCCTTCTCTGCGCCCACACATGCCTTGAAAAGCGCCTTTGGACACGCAAGCTGCGCATCTGTGCCCACCCCTAACCGCCCGCCCTCACCAATTTGCTGCCCACCCCTCTCGCTCTGCACCCCCCCAGACCAGACCAGACCAGAGTCGAGTCGCGTCGCTTGCTGGCTGGCTCGCTACTCTCGCTCCCTCTCGCTCACCTCTCGCCCGCTCCCTCACCCATCCACCCGCCCGCACGCCCGAGCATCGTGACCTCCCGCCTCGTCCTGCTGTGCGCCGCCTGACTGAGCGAAGAGCGGTCGCGGAATACGAGACGGACGCCCGTTGGCAGCTCTTGCGCATCCCTCGCTACTAGAAGCCGACGTCACGTAGCGGCCCCCCCAGATAGCTGCCGCCTTGCCTGCCCACTCGGGGTCCACCTGTGCCTGGAACAAGAGCCAACTCCACAGCACCACCGCCTGCGATCGACGACTGCCCGCCCGTTGCTCATCTTCTTTTTGCTCTGGAGAGCAGCCATCGCTCTTCGGAACCCCTCCCCTCCGCGCTTGCCATGCCCGCAGGCACGCACACCAATCCCCAGACTCCGCGCGTGCGCAATGGGGAGCCCCAGCCCGCCCCGTTGGTCACTCCCGAGCCCGCCTCATCCAAGCGGGATTTGACCTCGTGGTGGAGGCAGTTTAGCAAGCGCCCCGCGAAGAAGGACGACGACAAAGGTACGCTGCCGCCGCCGCCGCAGTCGCCCGCTTTGTTTCCCGCGCGCAATCACTGACTGTCTTGCGCGCATACTTAGATCAAGCCCTCCCTGGCATCTTTGGCGTTCCCCTCATCCAGAGCATCCCCTATGCCAATGTCGCAATCTCGCTCTTCAACGAGCACGGCGAGAGCTATATCTATGGCTATGTCCCCATTGTCGTCGCAAAGTGCGGTGTTTTCTTGAAGGAAAAGGGTCAGTCAAGCCAAAGCACTTCTGCCACCAGCTGTTAACCCGCGCACAGCAACCGACGTGGAAGGCATCTTTCGGCTGGCCGGCTCGGAAAAGAGGATCAAGGAACTCAAAACGGCTTTTGACACGCCGCCAAGATATGGAAAGGGCCTCGACTGGTCCGGCTACACGGTTCACGATGCCGCAAACATTTTGCGCCGCTACTTCAACAACCTGCCAGAGCCTATAATCCCCTTGCAGCACTATGATCCTTTTAGGGACCCCCTCAAGGGCCACCAGGCCGAAGCTGTCGGTCCCTGCGAAGGTCAGGCCCCGTCCATCGGAGGCTTTGACCCAGACGCCGCTGTGCGCATATATCAACACCAAATCAAGGCCCTGCCGTCCCTGAATAGGCAGCTGTTGTTATATATTTTGGATCTTCTTGCGGTTTTTGCCGCCAAAGCCGATGTCAACAAGATGACGACGTCGAATCTTGCTGCCATCTTCCAGCCGGGACTATTATCCCATCCCCAGCACGACATGTCGCCGCAAGACTACCGCCTCAGCCAAGACGTGCTGATCTTTCTCATCGACAACCAGGATCACTTCTTGATTGGTATGGAGGGCACGGCTGTCGACGAGGGTACAGTCCAGCGCATTGAAAGCGGACCATCTACCCCCCAGGCCAGAACACCAACCACTCCTGGCCGCAACAGCACCGGTATTGGGCGCTCAGCTTCGACGACTTCCAGTGCTGGTGCAGAAAGTCTGCGCATGCAAGGTGGAGTTCGGAGAAATGTATCAACATCTTCGAAGCGCTCTCGTCATTCCGGGGCTGTCCCTAGTCCAATTACTCCAGCGTTTGCTTCACCGACCACCTCAGGAGTGCACCGAAGCAATACACTACCCTCGAAGCGCACCCCAGCGATTGGCAGCCCGCGCTTCCCTCCATCGAAGCAAACTACTTCTACAGTGGAAGAGGTCAAGAGCGAGCTTTTAGCGCCAGAGACCGCAAATGCCCCGATGACCCATGCTCATGCGAAACCAGAGGTTCAGCAACATCCACAACAACCTGAGGCTTTACAGAGCACTGCACCTGCGGCACCTGCGGTAGAACAAGCTGTAGCAACACAACCCCCTGAACCTGAAGTGACAGTGCCCAAACGAGCGCAGACTGTACCTCCAAACAAGATAGAGATGCCGAAGCCATTCGAAGTTGCTTCTGGACCTAACAATCTTACGCCGTCCACTGCACTCAACCGACGAAGCATGCCTCCAACCAGCCCTGGATTTCAAAATATTCCTGGTGCCTTCCCGCTTGCATCGCCTGGCGTTATCCCACCAAGCCAGCCCACTACACCCAATGTCACTGCACAGGCTGCACAGTCTCTCTTGCCTCCACGGTCTACCACACCTAGCAATGGCATTCGTAGTCCCCAACGCAGTCCACATCATACACCTACGCGCGAACGTTCGGAATTTCTCGAAGGGCCTGTCGATTCCGGACCCGCAGTCGAAATGACGCCAGCTGTGCGCACATTTACCCAAATTCTGTCAAAAGTAGGTGCCTCACCCACTGGTAAATCTGATGATGGGAAGGATTGCCGGAAGCCCAACAAGCTCCAGAAGAAGAGATTGCCAAATACGGTGAGCCAAAGTACTCACAGTTCTACACATTCTCTTGGTGGTAGCGAGGCTGGTTTTGGAGGGTCTCAATCAGGCCATGGCCCTCCCTCACCATTACATCCACCCCAGCCTGCGTTTGCACAAGGTCAGTCGCACTCTAACAGCTCCAAGGAAGCCGTTCACGACACAAACTCGTCGAAGGCTTCAGGCAACACTCTGAAGCCCAGCATGTCGCCTTCTGCTTCCTTTAGGTCACACTCGACCGCGACCGAATACTCGGAAACCGAGTTGGGTGACGATGCGCCGAAAGAAGAGAAGCGTAGCTTCTGGAAGGGCCATCACCGACGCGGGGAGAGCAAGGCAACGCCTACAGCGAGCCAGACTGACCTGCGAGGGTCCGTGATTGGCGCGGACAAGAGCATGAGTTCGTTTGCTAGCAGTTCGGGATGGACAGGCAACGGGCGCCGAAGTGGTCAGTATGAACATGTACCTGGGTCAGAAGGGTCTGTAGTTGGCAGCCCGCCAGACCACGACAAGAGTGAAAAGAAGGGGGCTTTTGATTGGTTCCACAAGCGGAGGCAGGATCACAGAGATCGTGTAGACAGGAGAGAAAGGGCCAAGAGTCCGCCGGGAAGCTCAAACTATGGGCCTCTGCCGCAGAACCTGGCGCAGCAAAGTGAAAACATTGCTGGTCGCGGCAGACGATCAGATATACCGCACGCTACGGAAGAGCCGCAGCCTAAAGCGGACAAGTCGAATGATGTCACGCCCACTGGTCCCAGCCCCTCGCCGCCGCCAGCGGCTGCTAATACATCGAGCCCTAAGCGAGTGAGCAACTCAATGGCGCTCAGGACAAACCTTCCTGCGGCGTTGACAGAACCTATTTCGATAGCGCGGTCGCCGGAAAGAAGTCCGCTGTCACCAGTTGCTGCAACGGTACCTCAATCGCTGCCAGGGGCTGCTGCATCATCCATGACGACTGCAGAAAGTGTGCCTGAAGCTAAGGCGGATGCGCCGGTACAGTCAGAAGCTGCAGCTGCAGCTCCACCGGCTAGTGAACCAAAGCCGATACCTTCTGGACCCATGCATGCTTCATCGGGGTCAACAGTCACCATCACGCCACAGACAATGAATGCGGACGCAAACTCTGGAGCGCCGGTGACTGAGAATGCACAGTCACCAGCAGCAGCAGCAGCAAGTCCACCAGCTTCATGAGGGAGTAATCATTTGTTGAGTTGTATAATGCATGGCGGAAGCGTGTCTATACCAGCCATATATATCCTCATGCTACGGCATGGCCTGTTTCATTTTTTTCCGTTTAGGCCAAGGCTGTGCTTTGGCCAAACTGTTGGTATGTAAATGCGTGTGTGTGTGTGTGTGTATAGGGACTGGAGGATTGGCCTCGTCTCGCTTTTGTTGTAAGAAGAAGGGATAGGGAGAGGGGGTGTGTAGGTAGTAGGGTCAGTCAAAATGTGGAGGGGAATGGTAGCTTTTATTTGGAGAGGGGTTTCCTTTCTAGTTGTTGAATTGCACTTGTTTTACAAGGTCAAGGGGCTTGACGCGTGTTGCAAGGGCGAGGTGTGTTGTGGTACTTGACCTGTACACCGGGCGAGGTGCAATGGAATGATTAGTCGGGGGGTCAAAAGGATTCGCATCAATCTATATGAATGCAGGGAGAAGCGAAGCAGTTGATGAACGAAGTTGGTGATTGCACATGTGCGTTGTTTGTGGCCATATGAGTGGATTGATAGCATTACAACTATCGGCACGTGGTACTGCTACGTATATGCAGATGTATAGTACGGTACACTAAAGATGATAAGCAGCCCCCCTGCCCCTGTGCATCCCGTATGTACACACACACACTGCGACAAGAGCCAACAGGAGAGGGGCATGCATCTAGTGTGGTGGCGACGAACAGGAAATGCAGAGGTCTAGAGCCGAGCGGGGAAGAAGCGAGGGGGTCTGAGTGGTGGGGTTTCTTGTCTAGCCATGTGCATCGTCTATCGTGTAGGGATGCGTAGGCGAACGGTAGGTGAGTTACAGTACTTGGACCTCTGAGCATGATGAAGGTTGAAGTAGGAAGGTGACTATTTTTAGGACGCTTACGACGGTGATTGGGCAAGGGCGGACTAGGCCGCGGACCAGGATTGGTTGGGGACGCCATGTGGGCTGAGGGATACGGAGGAGACAGCAGAAGGCCGGTGTGTACGGGCAAATGCGGTGGCTGTGTGCTGTCTAGAGTGGAGTTGAACGACGTCAACTTGGCTCAGCAGCAGCACACACACACGCGGTGGTTTCATCGCGCGCTCGCAACTAGGGACATGATGCCTCGGCGGGAAGAGGGGCCTCCCTTTCAAACAAATGACGTGCTGGAGGCGTCAAACCAAAAAGGCGGCACCCCGACGACTCGTCTGATGTTGTCTTGTCACATAATATACCCTACCCCCGAAGTTTATGTGCCAGCTTTGCTTCTCGCCTTGTTTCACGCGCTGGGCGTATATGTGAATTACCTGTTTTTGCGCGCCGGACAATGGCCTCATGTGTGCTGATCAAGTAACCGTTGTCCGGAGAAGACAGGCCTGAAGAGCATCAATGCGGATGAGCGATTGGGAAGCGCGACGGGGGTGTGGAAGGATGACTGCAGGGCCGGCCATGGGCATGGTTGAGGGTGCACGGGATAGTCGGGACAGCGTGTGCTTTAGTGGCATTGGGAGGCGAAAGGCAGGCAAAGCGGGTCTGGCAAGCTCGCGTTTCTGTCCAGGTCACAGCTAGTGCCATGTATCAGCAACGACTCCACCTTCTGCCTTAAGGTCCGATCTGCCTGCTGCTCCTTCCCACTCCTTTCGCTCCAAATTAATTAATTCCTCCTACTTACTACATACACATTACACTCGCTGTCCATCGGCCCGACTCTGACTTTAACAACAACAGCTACTACTAACTACTATCTCTCACTCTCACTTACCCACTCACAAACCACACCTTCGTTTCGTTCAACTTTTCTGCTCGCTTGCTTGCGATAAAAGGAAAGCCAGAAACGTCATCGAGTGCACCAGAGAAATAATACGCAACAAGCAAAGCAACAAAATTCATTGTTGGCTTCACGCCGTCGGGGCACTGGTAACCCAGCCACACGGGAACCCACTGAAATTGTGTAAGCACGTCCTGAGCACCGCCTTCATGGCGACCACGACTCGCTAAAGTCTATCTGTTCCGCCTCGTTCCCTTTGTTACCGCTCCCGGGGCTTAACCACATCATGGCGCTCTGCTGACACGAACTGCGCAGCTCCTGACATTTCTTCCCTTTAAAAGAGGCAAATCCGCCTTCTCTTGACTTCGCTTAACCGATATCGCCTGCTTTGCACGTCACCACCATGCGTTCCTTCTGCCAGGTTGCCGTCATGGCACTTCCCTTGTTCAGCGCGATTGCAGCTGCGGAGCCCAAGGATGTTGCAGACCACCCAAAGACCATCTATGCAACCGCACAGGAAGCTTTCCAGGACCTCCTGAATGCGCTGCCGGAAGAATCCTTGCATGCAGCACTGAGCAATCTCAAGGACTTTAAGAATGGCATCTTCGAGTCGCACCATCGGGGAGTCGAAAACATCCACAGCAACAACCCGGCGCTTGCTTCTAAGCTTATCGTCGATGCCGTCAATGACTTGCGCAAGAGGCAGACGCCTTCAAACGGCACCAATAGCGCCACTACCGCTAGCAACCCACCCGAGTCAATCCAGAACTCCACTCCTGTGCCAACAACGAGCGACAACTTGCAACCTGAAACCAGCTCTGCTGCGCCACCACCACCACCGCCTGGAAGCAGTGAGGCCTCCGCCGATACTGTGACCCAGACGCAAACTCAGACGCAAACCCAAACACAGACACAGACACAGAGTCAAACCCAGACACAGACGCAGACTCAGCAGCAAACTACAACCGCCGTTTCAACCACGACTCAAGAGCGGCCTGCCATTATTCCTGTCGAAAACACAGTAACCAAGGATGGCAAGACGATTGTGCAGACCACCGAGGTCCTTAGTGAAGTTACCGCCTCCGTCGCCGTGACTGTTGTGCGCACCAATACAGCGGGCAGTACAGTAACAGAGACCGAGAACCGACCTGCCGTCGTCAAGACAACTACGGACCGAGCCGGCCGTACAACCGTCACCACTTCGGCGGTCAACTTTGCGCCAACAGCAGGCCAAGTGACGTCAACAACTGACTCACGCGGCTCTATTGTTCTGACAACACTCACACCTGGCGGCGGTCTGGTTAGCAGCATCAAGCTGATCACCACGACTGATGCACAGGGCCGCCAGAGCACAATGACGACGTATGCCTTTGTCGACCCAGTGCAAGCTACTGGCGCTGCCAATAGCCCCAATGCTCCCGGAAACGACAAGCCTTCGCTGCAAACTGGTGCCGCTGTCGCCAATGGAGCCCAATACGCTGCTGTTGGTCTTGGTGCCCTAGCCTTTTTCTTCTAAGAGAGGAAAACAAAAGTTGTCGCAATTACAAAATTCGGATCGATAGAAAAAAAATATGGGGCTGCTGATGGTTCTTCAGATTGTACATATCTTTTTTCTTTTCCTGATCTTTTCCTCTTCTCTTCTTCATACAAACGCGAACACGAATTTCCTTTCAGGTTCTTTTACCATACGCTTGTTCGGCTGTCCATTCCTTTGATACCCCCTACTACATCTACATGTTTATACGTGTATATACGACACTCATTTTTTCTGTTTAATAGATAATGCAATGGTTTGCTTGGTATTTGTGGTTCGCTGCGTGTAATGGAAGCTAAATGGTGGATATGATGCATGGGAGGATGCATCGAAGTGGAGAGTGGGTCGAGTTTCCAAGGCGGGATATACATATGGAATGGGAAAAGGTGGGGGTGTGCAAAATGGGAAGGGAAAAAAAGAAAAAAGTAATAACGGGTACTTCTTTGTAGATGGAATATATACACATAACCTACACATACACTTGGCATTACTTCCTTTTCTCCATCGTGAACAAAAAGCAAAAATCAACCCGCACCGTCTATGTATATCGATTTTAATAGCGGTTAGGATACCTTATTTTATTTTTGTTTTTTTGTGTGTATATATACTCTTCATCTTCTCCATCTACACACCTACCAAAAAATGACAAGGAAACCAAGCAAACAACAAGGGAAGGGGTATTGGTATTTCCAATAAAAAAAAACGCCACCAAAAAAAAAGATGTTACTGCCTTCTATGCCGATGATGATAAACCATCCAAATGCGTTTTTCCCTTTCTCTCTTTTCCTCTCCTCTTTGCCGGTTTCTTCGCTCCACTTCCCCCCCTCTCTCTCTCTCTCCCTTTAGCTCAAAGTCAACAGCTTATACATCGAAGAGAACCCCCCCAACCCTAGATAACCCCTTTTCTAGATCAAATAGGAAGAAAACAAAACAACATCCACCAGTTACCCAAGAAAAAAAAAAGATTCTCTGTAAGTAGGTAAACCATAGACATGTAAACCATAGATTTAACAAAAAAAAAACAGCCTCTCTTTCTCCGCCTCCCCCCACCCGCTTATGATACAGAAAAGAAGAGTAAACGACAACTAACGACTACAAGAAGAAGGAAGAGGAAAAAAAGAAGAAGATATACTCATATCACTTACCACAAACAAAAAAAAGGAAGGGGAGAAAAGAAAAGCCCCAAGTTCTCCTCCCTACCCCTACCCCTACTCCTCACGCACACTCACCTTGCCTTTGTCGCAATAAAATACTCGACACTCTCACCCGCCCAACTCACACTATTAGTGCCCGACTCATACCTCTCTTCATCAAACAGCCCCGCAATACTCTGTTCATTCCTAACCCCCTGTTTTGCGGCACCACCACCAAAGCTCTCAAGACTAACGACTTTGCACCCTTGCTTCAGATCCAAGAACTTTTGTAGGAGCAGATTATTCAGCGTCTCGCCAAAGACTTTATTGTTAACGAGTACGACATCCGCTTTGCGAAGTACATTGTCGATTTCAGGCGACTCGAGAAAGTCGCCGTGGATAAGCTCAATGGGGCCGAGCGCAATGTTCCAGAGTTTCGAGCGGGCCTTGAGTTCGGCCGCTTGTTCGGAGCCGAGCGAGGCGGCGAGCTTCATCTTTTCAATGCCCCAGGATTCGGCGCCGGTTTGGAGGGCGGATTGCAGGACCACGTTGCCGACGCCGGAGCCGAGGTCGACGAAGATGTGCGATGAGTTGAGTCCCGTTTGCGCAAAGATTTTGTGGACAAACGGCGTGAGGAGCTCGCCGTAGGTGGTTTCTTTACCGGCGACCTTGCGGAGGCGGTGGGCGTGCGGGGACACGATGCGGTTGTAGCTTTGGGCCGTGATGCGCTTGACCAGGCTGAGGGGGATGGCGTGCATATCATCGAGGATGCGGGGTATGGTACCATCGCTGTAGCGGTCCTTGATCAGCTTGTTGAATTTGGAGAGTTCTTGTTTGAAGAGTTCCGGGTCGTCTTTAGTTACCGCTCTCTTGAGGAGCCGGACTGTGCCTAGTGCGTCGGATGACAGCTCTGCAGACAGATCTGATGGGAGGTAGTGCTGTATGATTTCCTCGATACTGAAATAAATGTCGTCCAGCGGGCTGTATTCCTCGTCCACTTCTTTCCGGGCAACAGCTTCGAACTTTTCTGGACGGGAGAGACTGGGATATTGCAGTTCAACCACAAGCTTCTTGTCGCTTCCTGAAAAAGGAGATTTGTATGCTTTGGCTACATCATCTTTTGTCATTTCATAACCATGTTTCAGGCATATCTTGGCTGCCGACGCCTTTTTCTTTCTAAACGCCGCATTCTCCTGAGCCTGTCTCATGACCGAGTCTGTTGTACCATTCGAAGGCTCTTCGGCCTCTGCCGCATCTCTCTTCTCAGCCTCCTGTATCCGTATGCGCCTGCTCAAGTCCGGCTCGAGAGCGCGATTTAGACTCATGGGCTCGATGCTGCTGCTGGCTGGCCGTGTCCGGCGGCGCTTGACACCCAAGCGATCACTGTCATCATCTTCGCTCGACTCATCGCTGCTAGCCCACTGGGGGGTATCGGCACCCTTACGTTTGCGGGTGTCGACACGCGACACGGATACCGACTTGGGGGCCCGTTCCCTCGAGGTTGTTTGCGAGCGGGGCGTCGACTGGTAGCGGTTGGATGGCGGGCCAGATGCACTGTGAGAGCGCGAGGCATTGCCTGGTCGTGAGGCTAGAGGGCGTGATGACGGTGAGGGGCTTGCAGTGGGGGCGGGCGCCTTCTTGACAAGAACAGTTCTCGTTTTAATCTTGGGTTTGCCGGGAGCGAACATGACCACGGCGGCGCTAGTTGCAGGGCGAAGAGAACAATGTGTGGGTGGTCGGAACAGAGGGTCGGTAGCAGGCTGGTGTAGAGGTGAACGAGTGTAGCGGGTAGGGTGGCGAGCACAAGGGCGAAGAGAAGTGGGAAGAGGGTCAGAATGTAGGCAGCCAATACCAAGGGCGTCGTCGCACGCGCAATGGGACAAAGATACGTGACCAGGTCTTTCCGTCGCCTGCACAGCCGTGCAGTGGCTGCGCAGGGATCCCCCGACTAGCGCCGCTTGGCACGCAGGACCCGTGGCCCTGCTTTTGCCCATGCCGACGTCAGTCCTATCCATGTCCCGACATTGGTGCTACTACATATACATACTCCAACACTACATATGTATATCTGTCCATCTATATATGTATCATGGATGATAATTTGCCAACAGTGAAAACGACAACATGACATGATCGCATCAGTACTGTGTAGTATTAATGAGCAGGACATAACCAACTCTTTCGTCAAGACTGCCTTGGTCGACCCCATAGTTATTATAATACACTCCCCCCAAAGAATCAAATCAATCAGTCCATCAGCCCATCAGCCCACCACTCGCCCTCAATCAGCGCCGACGGTCTCGGCTGCGGCTTCTCGTCCGACTCCTCACACGTCTGCGCCTGTCTCTATCACGACTCCTATCCCGGCTTCTTTCCCTACTCCGCTCTCTACTCCGCTCTCTGGCCTTTCGATCGCCGTCTCGTTCCTTCTCATCACTATCTCCACCCCCGCCACCAGGTTGGTAACAGTCAGACTCTTGCCGTCTACTGCCCCGTTCTCTCCCACCATCCCAACGATCATAGTCTCGAGACCTGTAGCTCCGTGGCCGATCGCGGCTATCGTCACGCCTACGAGGTCGGCTATCATCACGCTTGCGCTCACGGCTATCTTCTCGCTTCCGGGTGCTGGTGGTAGTGGCGGCTGCTGCTGCTGCTGCCGCACCGCCGGGTACATATCGATCAATATTATCTGGACTCCTAGAGCGGGAATGACGGCGTCGACGAGTGGCCGACCGATCACGGTCGCGGTCGCGATCACGGTCACGTCGGCTTCTGGAACGAGACCGGGTGCGGTCTCGACGTCTCTCTTCTCGGCTCGGTGAAGGGCTGCGTGTCTCGTACCGCGACTTGCGGCGGTTAGTACGTGTCTCGCGTGACCGGCTACGACTGTCGCGGCGCGAGCGTCTATCATCACGCTCGTCGCGATCGCGCCTTCGACCGTCGTGTGTCGGCCTGTAAGAATGTCTATCATCGTCCCGTCGAGACCTGCGATCATAGCGGCTTCCACGAGACAGTGAACGACTTCTGCTTCGCCTCCTAGTGCTCCGTGCAATACTGCGTGATCTAGAACGTGCGCGTGATTTATCGGCTTTTGAAGACAATTCTCCTCGTCGACCCTTGGCGTCGGCTGGTGGAGCATCCATCATCACAGTGTCTTCATCCTTTGCGGCTGCAGTATGTGTTTCCGAGATGGGAGATCTGAGACCCTTGCTAGAGGCCCGCTGTGCAGGCGAGGCGGATTTTCCGTCAAGCTTCGCCAGTCGAACAGCCACTGGATCTCGCGGTACAAGCGACTTGGGTGGATGTGCTTTCCGCATAGGCGGTTCAAGTGATTCTGAGCGTTCAAGTGCGGGTCGCTGCCGTGACTTCTTCATCTGTTCGCTCTCTTGCAACAAAAGCTGAAGTGCCAGGTCATCGTCCACCTTGATGTCCTCGGGCTTGATAGACGTACGACGTTCACGTTCACGTGATCTTGACCTTGTCCTGCTCCTTCGCCTGCTTCTGTCACGTCCTCGGCGGTCTCTGTCACGGTCAGGGGTCCTGCTGCGTCCACGGCCACTGCGATAGCGTCCACCACGATCTCGGTCAAGCTCCTCTTGTATGCGACGCTCCCGCTCGGCATCCTCCTCTCGAATTTTCTTGAGGCGAGCCTCTCGACTCTTCTCGTGCTCTTCCCGCTCCTTCTTAAGGCGCTGGCGTTCCTCTTCCCTCTCCTTCTCAATCCTTTCTCGATCTTTTCGTCGGCGCTCTTCGTCTTCCTTCTCGCGCTCTTCACGCTCCTTGCGCCTGCGCTCCTTTTCTTCCTGCCGAGCCTTCTCTCGAGCCTCGTCTTCTTCCTTTTCTCGCCGCCTACGCTCCTCCCTTTTGGCCCTCTCTGCACGCTCCCTCTCGCGCTCCTCCTCCAGCTCCTTTTCCCTCTGAGCCTCACGCTTTTGCCGTCGAGCCTCGGCTTCTTGTGCCCATTCCTCTTCGGTCTTGCTGCCTCGCTTCTCCTCTTCAGCAGCCGCCTCCGCTCCAATTTCCTGAATGCGGTATTCGCGCATTTTCGGCAAGCCCTGTTCTTCCATCAATCGGTCCAATAGGGCGTTGACAGTGCTCATAATGTTCGCGTAGATGTCACTGCGTTCTCCCGCACCCTCGATAAGGGTGGTCGCCATCCGGGGGTCCTTGGATAGTAATGACGGATTACGGTCGGTTTCACGGTCAACAAGTTCTTTGAGGGCGGATTGGAGTTCATCTTTGGCAGGCTGGAGCACAAGTGTCAGTACGTAGCCTAGGCTTTTGAATGCGAGGTTTTCACATACACCTGATACATATTGCTTCATAAGATCCCTCCGTATGTCGTCGTATGTACCCTTTTTGCGAAACATGTGTACCAAGCTGTCGATGGCCGATCGTTTCGCCTGGGAGAGTGGAAGCTCCGAAGGCCTTAGTTTCTTGCGCACATTTGCAGTGCCATCGCCGTCTTGGGCGCGCTTGCGTCCAACTTCGGCCATGGTCGGTGGCTCGTCGTTGCGATCAGTCGTCTGGCGACGTGTGCGACCGGCCGTATGCAGGAGACGGGGATGAACAGCCAGTTGGGCAGCGAATGACGTAGGGAGGCTTGAAGTGCTGCGACCGGGCGCGTCACCCCGAATTGTAAAGGAGTGCAGCACTATGAGGCACGCAGAGTGGTGTATCAAGAGAAGTCGCGAAAAAGTACCCGTCGCGCTGGGGTGGGAGTCGGCGGGCGTTGGTTCCGCTCCGCAACCGCGCAGGTGGTTCTTGTCTTGGCAGTCTGGAGCTTCACATCGAGCATCGCGACAAAGAAGCCTCATACAGCGGTGACAGCAACACTTGACCCAATTGTTGCTGCAGCACAACACGTCAGACTTCTTCGATAGCGATATCACGACTGCGTTCAAGGCCAATTCACAATGGTTCACAAGGTCCTCGTCTGGGGCGGGCTCGGTACGTCTTCCACGACCTTCGCACACTCACCACCAACACTACTGACCACGTCCACCAGGCGTTGCCGCGCGACTATGGCAGTTGGGCATTGAGATGCGCCCGCTTTTCAATAAGGAGTCGATCTGGGTCTACCCCATTTATGCCGGCGTTGGTGGCAGCTTCGGCTACTGGCTCACAGGCGTGGAGCAACGACAATTCAGGCTCCTGGCCGATCGACGAGACGCCCTACTCGAGAAACGAGCACGGAGGAAGGAGCGCGAGGAGGCTGCTGGAAACTGATAGAGGCATATCGCTAGTAAAGGCACAGTGAAGGAGCGTGAGGAGGGGTAGTGCGGAGACGAGGGCTAATTCGCCCAAATCCATGTCCAAAGATTCATCACAAGCCTCGTCTGTATTGGTCATATCTCACGGTACAGACACTACTTGTGATGAGGCAACATCGGGCATGGGCGTTGATGAGCCAAGAGTGTGCGTTGGAACCACTCTTCTATCATGTCCGAACTGGAGACTCGTTTGTACAAATCCTTCAAATTTGAAATTTTGCAAATGCAACAAATATAAAACATCCATATTCACCAACCATGATTCAAAACTGCGAGATATTGCCTAGTTGAGTAACGCGCCGAAAGCCGCCCTAGGATGTTAGTGCGTGACTCTACTTCGAGTGGGTGAAGGAACGACCACATCTTGGGTCGGATCACAACTCTCCGTCGCCAACGATCCAGCATGACATAAAAGCCACCGAACCGCGACCCGCGTGGTCAATCTTGTCTTACGTAGATATCAATATCCATACGTTCAGCCATGACTGCCGATACCCTCCTCACGCCACATGGCGACTACACAGCACCGGCTTCGCCAACAATGAACGGCAACCTCAAAGCCAAGGGTATCGTCGTCTTTTCCGGCGGCAGCGCTGCAAATAACTTGGTCGACGTGTTCAAAACGGTGCGGGAGGACAAGAAGTGCCCGCTTAGTTATGTCATCCCTATCAGCGATAACGGTGGAAGCTCGTCGGAACTGATCCGTGTCTTTGGTGGCCCAGGTATGCATCGCTCGCGGGATCGTGAACAAAAGAATGTACTAACGTATAAAGGTATTGGCGATGTACGAAGTACGATGAGCCTTCGTCTTGTAAATTCAACGTTTTCTTATTAATCAAGTGCAGGCCGTCTCGTCCGTCTTATCCCAGATGATCCAGATCACGACGATAGCGAAAAGGCAGCTATCAAAACGTTCTTCAACCATAGGCTGCCTAAGGAACGATCTTTAGCCCGGGAAGAGTGGCTGCAGATTGTGGAGGCCGAGCACGCACTGTGGACCAATATTTCTACTGCGAAGAAAGAACTAGTACGGTCCATGTTGAATGTTGTCGCGTTCGAGATCGTAAAGCGACGGCGGCCTTCCTCCAGTTTCGACTTTTCTGGCGCAAGTATTGGAAATCTATTTCTGACTGGGTGAGTTGTTATTTTGTTTGAATGATGTTGTAGGATGCATATTTAAGCACATGCTTCGATTCTTGAGCTGTCGTTTTGGTAGACACATGGGCCTTTCAACGATCGCTACTCATGATATTTCAATAGCGCTAATTCTACCCAGTGCTCGACTCTTTACCGGATCATTTGAATCCGCAATTTATCTGCTCTCTAGCATCTGCTCAGTACCTAGCCACACGTCTGTCCTCCCCGCAATCAACACCAACTTCACGCATCACATTTCTGTTGGCCTAGCAAATGGAGAAGTAATCACCGGTCAAAACTCTATATCACATCCTTCCATCTCGACAGCCCTGGTCTTCGGTGGCGCACCTACAGAAATTGACGAAACAGAGCACCACGACAGCATCGAAGACGCCAACCTACCCGGATCTCTGCCCACACTTCGGAAACAGTACATCACCTTCTCGAAAGCCGACGAAGAAGAACTTCCCGCGAGGATTGAGCGGCTATGGTACATCAATCCATATGGCCAAGAAATCCGTCTCTCTGCCAACCCCATGGTGCTGAACTCATTAGCGGAGGCGCAGGCCGTTGTATACAGCATCGGCTCACTCTACACATCCATTATCCCCTCTCTCATCCTCAAAGGAGTCGGCGAAGCCATCAGCAACTCTATCCGCTACAAAATTCTCATCCTCAACTCGACCATTGATCGCGAAACAGGGCCATGTTCGAATCCATACACAGCGCTGGACTTTGTAGCAGCCATCGCCAAGGCAGGTGAGGAATCAAAAGGCGTGTTTGAGCCACTTGACAAGGCAAAGTACAAGAATTACGTCACGCATGTTATTCATTTGCAGGGGCCGGGGACGCCGGCTGTTGACAAAGATGAACTTAGGAGGATTGGTATCGAGGCTATTCGCGTGTATGGGAGGAGAAACGAGGGCGAGGGGTTCGTTAGGTACGATGAAAGAGGCTTGATTCAGGCGCTTGAGGTTACGATGGGGAAGAGGGACCCGAGGGTGCCTAGTCGACGGAATACATTGGAAGGACCGGCGGGGTGAACTGAGAGCTGTAGAGCGGGGGGTTTTAGGTATTCTTTTGGCTTCTCCACTTATTGTATAGATGTTTGATAAGCCTAGTTCCAGAATAAGTTATCTTTTTTTTGTCAGGCGGTACTTGATTTGACGAGGGTGGCAACAATGAGGTGATGTTGGATATCAGTGTTTCAGTAGAGAACGAGAGGAAATGTATACTGGATCTTTACTTTGCTGTTGAATTTGGTGGCGCTTGTTTCTGTGGCTATACTGACTGTACATTATGGGCTGGGATCATGCGGTCGGTAGTGGGTCTGGGCAGTAGGTTCGTATGTACATGAACGGGCGTTCACTTGGCCGTAGCGAGTGTCCGTTTTTGTTATTCCTACGACCCCATGTGCATCTTGAATTCAGAAAAATAAAATTGAGCCCCTTGATATGAAAAGAATAAAAGAATCGTCATGAGGTACGATTGCGTCAATTAATTTCCTGTTATCGCTTCATTGAAGTATCCATCCAAATGGAACCTTTCCCAGCATGCAGGCAGCCACGCCGACGCGACTAGTAACGGCCGCTCGAAAACCGAGCAAAGCTTAATAGGATTAATGGGTATTGTACTCTGTATTGAGTTTATCGGTACTGGTTCATTGGCCGTTGTCAAGTTCATCTGAAGATCTGTACATATATACTTTGCAGGAACCTATTAACTTCTACTGTTGCGAACGCGTAAGATGTTCAGAAAGACTGTTTGTGGATAAGGGGTCTATCGAAGCTTCTTGGTGCCAACAGGCTGTCGAGGAAACCCAGCCGGGTCCGGCGCGGAGTAAGACGATGTCAGCTCAGCTTCGACTTTGGATGAAGAAGTGGTCCATGCACCCCACGAGTACCGACACGGCACGGAGTAATTTCCCAGGCGCATGTGCATACACGGCTAGGTAGGGCAACGCAGGGGTAGCGAATCTGTTGCTGGTGATGGCATTGACGAAGTCCAGGCATATGTACTGGCCTGGCCGTATTGTAGTATATGTGTAAGTACATAGCACTATGCACTTGGAACCTATGTTGAGACAACATTGGTGATGCCTCCCGCCGTCAAATCTACCAAGTACGTACCATAAGGCTATCGTACGTCATGCTTGGCGGTTCCGGGCTTGTAAGAACCCCAGGTCCAGGTTGCACCGAGATTGCCTTCCATCACCACACAAGCATTGTTCACAACTCTTCTCGTCATCTCCATCCAGGAACCGCCCTGTTGAACTCGGATCTCAGCGTGCCGATCTGCCACCCGGTGAACATTGACAGTTGTTCGTGACTAACAAAGATGACAACCACGCAACTGGTTCGTACCATATACTTCGATATTCGGCATACAAGCTCTGATGCACTGAATGTCGCTGACAGGGTGAAGCGTCACTTCACGCGTAAGGAATAGGCGGAAAGAATCTGTCATGTTTATGCTGCTCTCAGTGTACGCTGCTGAGCAGCCACATCCGGCCCTGAGATAGGGGGCGTCTTCCGAATCGCGGCCGTAAGCAATCTGATACCCATTCCGTGGTTCATTCCACCAGTGACGATCACTACTTTTGGGGCGCGTATGCCAATCGTTCTGTCCCAGCAAACTGCATGTTGGACCTTCATCTGACATTGTGTCTTGGCCCTTGGCAAAGAATAAAGACCGAGAGACGTGTTTTGGGAGAAGGTAGGAGTACCTATATAGGTAAGCCGGAACTTTTACGTGAGCATTTTGAGAATGCGGCCCTAGCAAAGCTACAGATCCTGTATCTGCGACGATCACTCCACCCGAACGATTTCGCATCACCTTCCCATGCCACTTGACGGCCCGTTTCTCACTATAGCGCTCTCTCGAATATTTGCTATTCGTATTGCCCCACAATTCCAGCCCTATGTATTTGCACGTCAGGTCACTTCTGAGAGATGCAGTTGTATGAGCAAACGCGAAGTAATCGACCCAAAGAAAACATCTTATGGTCAATCTCATCCATAGAATAATAGCAATCCCCTGTATCTGTCCGCTACATTAGCGCTGCATTTGATTGACTAACCCTAACCCACTTCCTTTGGCGCACTAACAACGATTTAGTCTCGCTACTAGTTGTTAGCTAAGCGTCCGGCTATCAGCGCCAGCCCAGATATCGGCCCAGCTTACTTAGCTGTCAGCCCAGAACAGACGGGAAGGCGGACCACTGGGAACCCCTTTTTGGTCATAATGAAGTATCGGCTTACTCAATACTTTTCTTGGATTTCATTTACCGCCTCTGATACGGTCTTGGATATAGATGTAAGCCGGTACGTGACTCACCACTATGCGGGTTCCGCCTTACGAGCCGACCGTTGCAAATCAACTTGAAGCTGTCGCCAAGAAGAAGCCGTGACAACCGGGAACCCTTGTCATTTGTGGGGATCACCAGATGCCGAGTCATAGACTACCGATAATCCTAATGAATGAAATGATTGCAACTGACTTGGTAACTTCGGAGCAAACCAAGTCGCCGATTACAAAAGAAGGGCAAGAGTGAAGAGTCGGTTGACTTCCACGGATCCGAAACGATACTCTTGGGAGCTCCAAATGCGACCAAGATTTGTATCGTGAAAATATGGAAGTCGTCGGAATAGTTCACAAGGTTCGCAACGGCATTAAGCTTACTGGGGTGGTTAAGGCGGATCTAATCCGGAATAACTCAAAATGGCCCTACCACTTGCGAAAAGATCAAGCGTCGGACTATTCCAATTGATGCCAACATGAGCTTACCCCGGTTTAAACCGCTCACTGTGAACCTTAACTTGGTTTACGTTGATGCAATTTCCCGCACCTTGTCATGTCCCCTAAGATTTCAGCTCAAGCCTTATTGCAGCAATTTCCAACCCGTGTCGTATGCGTCTGAGAGCACTTTGTCAACGCTTTGCTTTCAAACTGTAAGATGGCCAGTTGACCATGGCTACTGAGATGACCCACAACGCGAGCGTTTTCTTACACCACTTTCCATTTTGGGATTCTGCATTCACGTCTACATGCACCTCTGTTGATGAGCAGACCTAACACTCACTGTCTTTCGCGCTTTTTGATCAACTTGAGAACCAATTAATATTTCTACCAATGTGTATTCATACGTCAATGATCGACCCAAGGCGGATCTGTCAGCCGGATGGTATTGCCCGAAATCAAACCCGCGAAGCTATGCACATGTAAGCTGACAGGTCTACAAGTCTTAGTCAAGGGCTAAAACGAAATGAGTGAGAGGTGACTTCGAGATGCTTGGCGGAGCGACAGCCAATGTGGTTAACAGGGAAGTGACATTAGACCGAGTCTGTGGAAGCATCTCGCAATAAGCACCGAAGTCACGACGTTTTCCAGTGACAAGACTAAAAATATGTCATGATGCTGGTCAGAGTCAGGAAGGGGTGTATGAGTATATAGCTGTTCATGTTCTGCTCCCATTAACTGATTCCTCACAGCTTCAACTGCCCATCGTCTGCTTTTCAGCTTTAATCCACACACTCTTTTATACCCACGCTCATTACCAACTAGTACTACCTAAACGGTCTATTTATTATCTTCCAAAATGAAGTCCACTCTCTTCGCCGCTGTCGCCGTCTTGGCCGCTTCCGTCTCTGCCATGCCCTACAAGCAGGACAAGGACTGTGAGTGCAAATAACTATCCTTTGTAAACTAGATTACTAACGGTCAGCAGGCAAGAGCCCTTTCCCCAACGTCTCTTGCAAGCCCCTCACGCTCCAGAACTACACTATCGTCTCTGGTGACACCCTCACAACCATTGCCGACAAGTTCGGTTCCGGTGCCTGCAACATCGTCGCAGTCAACAACATCAGCGACCCTGACAAGATCTTCCCCGGCCAGAAAATCACTGTCCCAGCCAACTGCACTGGAACCGTCGACAAGACGAGCTGCCTTCCCAACGCTCTCCAGCCAACTGGCACTCAGGACTGCGTCAAGGGTCTGTCCGTCAACCCTCCTGTCTACCAGGTCATTCCCAAGGACACTTTCACTCTCATCGCCAACAACTTTGACCTCAAGCTCGACGCCCTTAAGAACGCCAACCAGGGCAGGTTTGCTAGCTTTGACGCCATCTTCCCCGGTAACACCACCATCATTCCCGTCTGCCAAGGCTGCTCTTGCACCAACGACAAGTACACCGTCGTCTCTGGCGACACCTTCAGCGCCATTGCCCAGAAGGCTGGCATCAGCATCGGTCAGATTGAGGCTGCCAACCCTGGCCAGATCCCTGAGCAACTCCAGATCGGCCAGGTCATCAACCGCCCCAAGTGCTCGTGCAACGCTTAAGTTCCATACAAAAACCATGATTAGTCTCTTGTTTTTTCCAGCCGGTGGAATCAAGGTGACTGTGATCTGTGGCACTCGGAAAATCGGTTAGTAGATGCTCGCGGCTATAGTAGCTGTTTTCACCGTTCAGCATACGAACATAAAAGGAGAGGCGAACTTTTGAAGATTCTGTCAATTCATCTTCTTAAGACCTGGTCTATACTTAGAGAAATAATATCTTAGAATGTCCAGTATATGGAACTAATTACTGTATTCTGCTTCTTTGACCTGTTTTCAACCCATGTTTTGTGAAGTGATGTTTCCCTCCTGACACTTGAAGGTATGTTGTGTAAGCTTGGACGAGCCGCGAGATCATCCAGCGGGCAAAATGTGGTACTGCTGCGTCTTGGGCTGAGAAGAGGGTTATACGCTCGATTTACTCACACGGGCCTTGTTTGTTCATAACAACGGGTGTGCATATGGAGTGTGAGACACACCAACCATTGTTCGTATTGTGTATACGAGGTGTCATCGCGTACAGTTCACTTTGAACTAGTAAAAGTAAAGTAATTTGCGTAGTATGCTGCTATACTCATAGACTTGGAAGCAGCGTTCTTATTTCCCATCCTTCTAGCCTACTTCCAGTCTTCGTATCCGATAAAAGTATAGCAACGCAGGCGTACCTGCAGGGCCCTTGCTAGAAGAAGTACGACAGCTTTACCACGACGACACAGGAGGTGAGCCACTGAATTCAGGCAAGGGCTCATGGCGAGTCTTTGTTTTGGTGGACGAAGAAGTATTGGCAAACCCTAGCATAATCAAATGTGTTGGGGCAGATTATAAAGCTGCTGATTTCGTGCCAAAGAATACGCGGTATTACGGACAGCGTTACCTTGGGTGGCTAAGGATGTTCCTCTGCGCACCTTTTTATTCTGTGGCTGGAACTGGATATTATTTCATTTGGAAAATTGCTGAGCATACAGATGATGAACCTGGCGTGTGGTGGGACGCAGAGAATGCTTGAAAGGTTGACACTCCGGGTAAATGTTTGTATCGCGCATGTGAACACTGCTTGACGAGCTCGTTTTCGGTATGTAGTACATTCATATTGTTCTGAACTAGTTTGAAGTGAGACTACGAGCTGGGCTCATCACATGTCTACCTGCGCTGCTCTGTTCGATACAGGGCAGTCATTCAATTTCTGCAACATTAGCTAAGGACGGAGCATGTGACCTGTCCGGTCTAGCGTCAATTGCCTGTATGTGTACATGCGTTTTCTAGAGACTTAGTACAGTCACTCTCCAAGTCGTCTTTTCATCACCGTATATCTTCCAGCAGTTTGCACAATCTTGGTTTGCCCGCGTGAGCCGCATCACGTTACCGCCTGTCAATATCACCATGGGTTCCCGGATCGAGGGTCTTTTGAAAAATCTGCGCAAAGTGCCCGACGGCGAGATCATAAGCGAGGCGGAGTTCAAACATCCACTAAGTTTCCTACAACCTTGGGGCTTTACCATCTATCGAACCTACTATGAGCCCGGATCTGATCAGCGATGGGACGAGCTGATCCAGTCCATCACCAATGGCGCTAAGGATGCAATCAGAGGGAATGTAAAACCTACCGATGATCCTGCCATGATTGCTAAAACGGAAGAACTCTTCAAACCTGATGCTCGCTCAGATCCTGCGGTCCTGGACGGCTTGGCGCTGGAAGAAGTACGGCAGCTTTATCACAATGGAACGGGAGGCCAGCCGATGAATACAGACAGGGACCCATGGCGAATCTTTATATTAGCGGATAGGGAGGTGTTGACGAACCCTAACCTTGGCATGATCAAATGTGTAGCAGCGGACTACGACGCCGCTGCTTGTGTGCCAAGGAATCAGCGATTTGGCCCACAGCGGTACTTTGGGTGATTAAGGATGTCTCCAAATCACGTTCTGAAACTATGGCTTGAATTGGATATATATTTTCTTAAGCAAATTGTCAACTTTACAGCGGGTGGCCCTGGTGCGTGGTGGGACCCAGATGCTGAGTGTTGAGCCAGCTAGAGGATGTGTACACAGAATGCGGTCCAACATACCTCCACCTCTAGAAAAAAGCACAAAGCCCTCGCCGATCCCATACTGCATCACTGGCAAGCAATAACCGACTAAGCAAGGCGATATATAGGAATCGGTAGTAAAGGAAATAGTATATCTGCTGCGGGAGTATATATGGGCAGTCAGGATTTGATCAAGGACTGCGCAAATGTCACTCCTGGAGTTAGCGTATGCATACCAATGCCATGCATAACATATGAGGTCCAACCAACCGATACTTGTTTTACCATCGAAAGTTCCCAAGGGCTAGCTTCAGGCATACTCCTGCAGTACAACTCTTGGCTCGATGCGGGCGGTATTAACTTAAAATCTGTGACGGGATTTCATGGGAATCCATCTGCGCATCTGTCTTAGGCTAAGAGAGTTTGCATAATCAATGTACCTTTAGCAACAAATTAGATATTCAAAGTTATGTAATGCGTCATGTCTACCGGCTATGCTGTCTCTCTCGCAACATTTCGAGATTAGTGTCGTCTACCCCGCGCAAGCCTGCCTTGGGCAAGAAGCGGAACGTCCGCGCTAGGACAAAGTCAAGTCCGGCGGAGCACGAAGATAGAATCGCGCTTTCGCCAGCATGCTGTGGAATCGCTGTTGCAATGGTGCGTAATTCCCAATTGCCGCAGATCCTTGTCCCCCGCAGTATTCTCATACTTACAGTCTAGGATGAAACGAGTAGTAGTACATTTCATCCGATCGCCTGCGAGTCCTGTCGCAACAAAAAGTCAAAGGTTAGCTTCATTTTAACAATTTCAAACACCAGCTAAGGCGCTCTTCAGTGTGACCGTGAGCTGCCGAGATGCTCGCAATGTAGCTCTTCAGACACGTTATGCCGATACCCACCGATCAATAAAAGGTGCTCTGACGCCAAGTCTGTCAGGTGCTTGCTAATCCCATAAATAGAGGTATACCATCTGGGTACATATCTTTCATCGAACACCGACTGCTCGAGACTGAGATTGTAGTTTTGGAGCTTCTTTCGGCCATCTACGAGTCGCGTGTACCGATCGAACCTCAGCGCCTTCCCGAGAGGGATCGTCGGTTGTTAGCAGAGTATGGCCAGAAGCAAGCCAAAACCCATAAAATTGAAGAATGGAAAAATCTTCCTCTTACTACGGAAGAGCAGAGACGCACCTGGTGGTTGAAGAAGAGCGAACGTATCGCAAAGGCGGCAGAAACCAGTGGCGATCGCCCAACCCAAAAGAGTCCCACTGCGACCAGTCCCTGGGCAGCGGGCTCAAGCAGAACGATACATGATGAGGGCACGCAAGTACTCTTAGGCGCTGAACAAGCGACCCTTCTGCCGGGACAACCCCCAGGAATGCAAGTTCCGTGGCGACCAGTGGCTGATGGAACTGGGTTATCTGAAACAGATACGAATCTAGAGCATCTTGACCAGAACATCACAGGCTTCTCTCCACTAGAAGATATAGCTGGCGAAGGATATCCCGGTGTACCAGAGGCGCCTACACCTCCATCCCTACCGACGTTGCAGTCGCATTCTGCAGCCGACACGAGATGGCGAAAATACTTTTGAGAAGGAGAGTACTTTCTTTTCTTCTATGTCATTTTGTTTCTACGAGTTTTTAAATAGCAATATATTGCACAGAAATACTCAGCGAATAATTGTTTACTATGCACCGTGAATGTGCACCCTGAAGGTCGTGACAGGCCCCGCTCGTACTGCTACGCACTTAACCTTGTCTGGCCTCAGCCCTGAACCTTGGCTGCCCCTTCCGTGTGTAGCGTCACAGCTTCCACCCCAGTTTTGCATGGTTCATTCTTGTTCGCGCTCACCATCATCACGCTTGTATCAACTTCAGCAAATTCCATTACGACAAAGCTTTTCCTAGGTCGGACTGGGTCTTCTTCGCTATCGAGCCCCATGAGCGTGATAATACTGTCTCACGCGTCATGGCGGAGGTTCACGTGATTCCCAGCAAGCGGCGAGCGACCCACAGCGAAGCTGTAGACACTGCGACGGCATCTGATGCAAACGGTGCCAAGAAGCGCAGAGCATTTCTCCAGACCATGGGCCAGCAGTTGAGAGAGTTTGGGGCAGAAGGAACAAGTCCACAAGACGACGATCGCAGCACGTTTAGGACTAGCCCAGCCAACAACGTTGGACCACCATCTATCATTGAAAATGCCGTCGGAGTTCACTCATCAGTCCGACCTGTTGACACACCAGAGAGTGATGCTGCGCCGGGCGAAGAAGATCAGCTACCCGCGGGCGCGTCCAAGAGTGCATCCAGGTGGCTGTGGAAACACGGCGAAGTAATTACTCCAACACCAGAAACTATTGCACCGTCAATCGTCTTTGAAGATCTTCTCGAATGGAGCCAAGCGTATTTCGATCACTGGCATCCCGCATTTCCCTTCTTGCACGCTCCTTCACTATTGGACTACTTTCGCCAAACTATACAACGGGGTCCACGTGTTGCAACGCTGTCAACAGCAAATGAGCTGCAGCACATTATACTTCGCTCAATCATGTCGATATCGATATGTGATCGGCGACAAATTGACAGCGCGAGAAAGGCCATACCGAGCAATCTTGTATTTCATTCAATCAACGATGCTATCCGGAGTACGCAGTTGATTCTGACCGAAGAGACTTCGGTCCTGTCACTGCAAGCGTTGGTCAGCATCCAGCTTTTCTTGATCACAATGCATAGATACAATGCTGCGTCTCGCCTCGAAGGACTGGCAGTCCGGATGGCATTCCAATTGGGTTTGCATCGTTGTCCGGCGCAACGATCAGTACCTGATAAAGAAGCTGAGTTGAGAAAACGACTCTTTTGGTCTGTACTATGTATAGATCGACATATTTGTATCCGACTAGGGACTCCACTTGGCATACGTTCGGATGAGGCTAATGTATGTTATCCACATACCGAACGACACCATGATCGCGAGCATAGAGACGGTATGTATGTGGAGACGTGGCCTAGAGTGGCATCAATACTTATCATTTTCCAGGTAATGAACGGGATGACCGGTTAGATCTGTTGGATTTCTTAGCTCAGCATGCTGACATTCGTGGATCCATCATGCAAACGAGGCACCGAACTTTCCTACACGGGAGCGCAAACGAGACGGAAGAAGCCCTAGAAAGGGAGGCAGAGCACACCAGATGGTGGAATATGGTTGACGAATATCTCTCCAACGACGAGCAAGTGCAGAACATATCAAAGGCCCACCAAGTTACTCTAATTGTTCTTCGCTTCGAATCTATTCTAGCACTACACCGCTCCGTGCTGGCGATTTCTAAAAAGGATGCAGCTTACAACGTGGCATTACAAAGATGCATATCCGCCTCGCGCTCTATCATCAATACTCTGCACAAGGCTCTCCGCGGATTCGGTGCATTCGATGGTTCTCCTGGTCAACATGGCTACGAACGAACCCCATTGCTTTGGCCTTCCTTCACATGGGCGGTGTGGATGAGCACATTTGTAATTCTTTCCGCTGCCTCAGAAGGCCAGGTCACTCGAGACATTGCAACACGACTTTCTGATCGAAGCATACAAATTCTCAAGCACCTGGCATTGAGGGGCACAAAATGGCCAGATGCTTGTATAGTTGCAATTCAAAATCTCACAGCACGATTGAGCAAGCCGTCAACTCGGAGCTCTACTGTCGTACCTGGAGCTGCCCCGGTGAATGACAGCCGGCCAACTGGCGAAACTTCTTCACTGCTTGGCAATCGCCAAACAGCCCATCAGGGGAATGCAGTATTCTCAGAGCGACAGGACATACCAACACATCCAACGCAAAGCCACCCGGCGACGGGTATGACAACAAACTCTCAGCCGGCTCCAAGAAACGCCACTCATTCTCATGCGGAATCGAATCCAACAATGATGATGAGCAACCTAGGCTCATTCAACTTCCCGAGTCATGATATTGGGGATGCTCTAGCTGCAAACAACCCGACATATGACTACCTTGCCGACCCAGGTAACTTTCTTGGTATCGCACACCAGGACTCAGATAACCCATTGCCAAACGAACAAATCATGCACCTATTCAATGGAGAAGACATGAACTATTGGTGGGACAGAGATTTCGGTCCGCCAGGAAATATGGGATATCACAATGGCGGTTTTCGGTGAGAGCCAATCTTTGAAAAGAACTGTTAAATTATAAAATGGATATCTACATCAACACTTTTATCTAACTGCTTTTGGGCGGTGATACCTTGCCCAGTGAGGCCGACTTGAAAGCAGCGTGGATCTCCTGCTCCGCACCATCCTGAAGTGGCAGAAGCCCACTCCTGACCGTCGCATGTTCCAGGATACCTCTCGCCACCAGTCCGTGCTTCAGTGCTACTGTGCCCTCCATGTGCGAACCGCGGTGGTAGACGTTCCTAGTCACAGGAAGCAATCTGTCGTGGATAGCTCTTGCGCGAGGATAGTCCCTCGCCTTTCCAGCTTCAATCATCTCCAGGAGTGGCTCTGGTGCAATGTTACCGTATCCAACCAGCATGCCATCGACATCGAAACATGTGTGTAGTAGGTATTCGTCGTGGCATGTAAGGATAGTCAAATCGGGATTTTGCTTCTTGATGATGGGAATCTCCACGTCCCATCGTCGCATGTTGCGGACACCGTTCTTCATAGCGATAACACCGGGTTGTGCGGCGATTTCGAGAAGAGTGTCAAGGTTGTAGGTCGCCTTTGTGTTGTCGGGGTATTGGAACAAGATGAGAGGAAGTCCAGATTTCTCGTACACCGTCTTGTATCTGTCTTGTGGAGCACCAGGCTGGTATCCGAAACGCAGCCAGCCGTGGCTGGGGTACAGGAGACCAGCCTTGGCTCCTGCAGCCTTTGCGCGTTGAGCCTCGAGGGCTGCTACCTCTGTGCCTTCGGTTGTGATTCCCGCAATGATGGGTATCTTGTCATCGACGGACTTGACAAAGGCCTTGATGACTTCTACTTGCTCTTCTTGAGTAAGGAAAGTACCCTCGCCGGCGTGTCCAAGGACTACTAGTCCCTTAACGCCAGGAATGCTGCCGAGCCATGAACCTAGGCGTTGGATAGCAGCATAGTCGACTGAGCCATCCCTGTTGAATGGCGTAACTGGGGCTGGAACGAGACCCGCAAGGTCAATCTGAGGAGCTTTCTTGACCTCTGGCATTGAACCCATTGTGATGATATGTGGAAGTGGTGTTACGATTTAGAGAAGAGTAGTTTGCTTGTAAGAGTGTAGAGTTGTGAGTGTGATTATTATGAAAAACCCGGGATCCAAGCTTGCATTATATGCACTCTCAAGCATGTTGCATAGCAATGCAAAATGTTGACCCTAATTGGATTTCTAACCATGTTACAAGGTTGAACCCCATGTGTAAGCGTGCATCTCACGCAGAACAAGAGACGGACTTGAGAAAGTGCGCACGAACCCCACGGGGAGGTATGTTAGTACGCGCCTGGAGAAGTTAGCCTGATGCCACAATGCGGGGATCGAGACTTGGTAGGTCGCCAAGGCTTGCCACCAGTGCAAGCCATGTCACGTGCATGATCCACCGGACTTGTCTTTGTCCGCCTCTTCTACTAAGTTGCCAAGTTCCTTTCGCCACAAAATCAAGTTGTAGCTACGAGTCAATGAAATTCGCTTCAGAAAGAATTTGACTGGCCCATGAAGTTCCGGCCTCCTTCCCGCCTCCCCATGTTTACTCCGCTTTTCACCCAAGAGCGTGGGATCTGGGGAAAGTCCGGGGTAGGTGCGGGATCGAGCTTAGACTTAGGACTTTCTGTACAACATTTGTCCAGCCTGATTATATAGAGAGAAAAGTTTCAGTCCTTGATCCCTTTGACTTTTGTTTCAGTCCATGGGTTGGTGACCGACCTTTTTTCTTTTCAACAACAACAGCTAATCATGGCTGGCACCAACTACAATCACGACGCTGAGAAGGATGTGCCCCTCCACATTGACGATGTCGAAACATCGGAAAAGGACCTTGCACAAAAGGGCACACCCGAGGGTGTTGATTATACCGGCGCAGTCGCGAAGACCGACCCAGCAGAGATCGCCCTGGTGCGCAAGCTAGACATGCGCGTGATGCCAGCACTTTTCGCCATGTACTTTCTGTACGAACTACTTTACCTTTTTCTCGCCTTCTCCATCGAAACCGAAAACTAACAGCTTCAAAGAAACAAGCTCGACCAAAACGCAATCGCCAACGCCCGCCTCGATGGTCTAGAGAAAGACTTAGGTCTCCGTGGCAGCCAGTACAACACGTGCATCTCCATCCTCTACGTCGGCTACCTCTTCGCTCAGATCCCCAGCAACATGCTCATGTCCTCGCGCAAAGTGCGGCCCTCGCTCTACATGGGCATTTGCTGCACAGTCTGGGGCTGCGTGGCTGCCCTCACCGCGCTGGTCAAGAACTACACTGGACTCGTGCTTGTGCGGTTTTGCCTTGGGTTCGTTGAAGCGCCGTTTTACCCAGGAGCGCTGTACATCCTGAGTATGTTTTATACACGCAAGGAGATTGCGACAAGAGTGGCTATTCTTTATGCGGGGAATATTTTTGCAGTGTCGTTTGCGGGGCTGATTGCTGCGGCGGTGTTTGCGACGTTGAGTGATAAGCATGGGATGCATGGGTGAGTGGATTACCATCTACGCAGGAAGGGGGCCAAGGGAAATGCTAATGCACGTGTGACAGATGGCAGTGGCTGTTCATTATCGAGGGAATAGTTACGGTGGGCGTATCGATCGTTTGCATCTTCTTGCTGCCTGATGAGCCATTGACGACGAAGTGGCTTACACCTGAACAACGCCAATTGGCCCACGACCGTATTCAGAGGGACACTGTTGGTCTTGAGCCGAGCAAGGGATCAAGAGCGGGCTTTATGCAAGCACTTCGCGATCCTCGTCTCTACCTGCTTGTTTTCATGCAGAACATGCATCTGAGCGCCACTTCGTTCAACCAGGTACGTCTATGCGGACTGATTTTGCGTGAGATTATTGTTAACTTATGATGACTAGTTCTTCCCTACGGTCGTCAAATCTCTAGGCTTCAACAGGACGATCACTCTAGTTCTAACGGCTCCACCGTCACTAGTTGCGGGCGCTGTCGGTATCTGCGTTGGAATCTCATCCGGAAAATACAACGATAGAACATGGCATATCACCGTCATGATGGGTCTCGCCGTCATTGGTTTCGCGATCAGTGCTGCTACTCTTAACCTTGCCGCACGCTATGTATCGTGCTTCCTCTTCGCATCTGGTTCGTACCCAACACACATAGCTACTATGCTAGTTGCCTTTTACTGACCTCTTCACACAGGTGTCTACTCTGTCAATTCAGTCATTCTAGGCTGGGTCTCTGGTACACTCGGACAAACTACTGAAAAGAAAGCCGTCTCATTGTCGATTGTCAATGTCGTTTCGATGGCGAGTTTCATCTACACACCTTATTTGTACCCCGAGAGCGACGGCCCCAAGTACGTCATTGCTATGAGTAGTAATGCGGCGTTTTCAGCGGCGTGTATTGCGTCTGCTTGGGCATTGAGGATATGGCTTCAAGTTACGAATAAGCGGCTACGAAGGGATGGGGTTAATGTGTTTTATGCTTATTGATGGACATGATGTCCATCGTAGGAAACATTTATAATGAATGTATGTAACATATGTCTAGTGTTGTAAGATTCAATTCTAGGTATGCCGTTGGTATGTATTGTCGAAATGCCACTAGTCGCTGCGCAAGGATTCTCTGTCGCTCTTGGGTGGTTCTTTGATCGTTGATTGGTTCAAGTACATGGAGATCAGGAACCAGTCATAGTCGCGAACGACCCTGGTAGTTTCCTCGCGCGAATTATTGGAATCGTTTGGACACGCGTTGTAACTGCCAAATAATCTTTTCTCAGGCCACTGCTCCACAAGCTCGTGACATCGTATCCACAGTTTATCTCGATCTCATCTAGACCCTTGAAACAAACCTCGCGAACCTGTGTCTTGGCAAGTACGGTCGTTCCCGCACGCCAAAATTATTACAATCACTCTTAAAGGTTTCGTGCTCAAGGCATTTAGTAGAGGTTGGACCATGTGTCTCTATTTGCCTATACTGTTTGGATGCCCATGAGGCTAGCGCGAGGAGAGTAGAAAGAGATTACGTATACGTTCATTCGACTACACTTGAGATAGAAACTATCGAAAAAGCAGTGAAGCGCGATTTTCTTATCCTCGTCCATGGGACGTACGCAGAAAGTTTGCTGAACATTATGAGTTCGAGCAAATCAATTCATAGAACGCCAAAGGGGTCTGCGATTTCTCCTACTCTTCAGCTACGTTCTAAATCCAAGAGAACTACCGATGCAACTCGGTTTATGCTCTCGTCCAATCATCTACCCCAGCCCAGGAACTACTTCACAAACGAACAAAACCACCGACCAGACCAGACCCGAACTATATCCATCTCGGATATTTTAGTAACCGTTAGCCATCCCGGACCAACCATGCGTAACACAAAGTTTAAATTCATTCAGCTAACAATGCACCGGAGTAGTGAAACCAGTAGAAACACCTTAAACACTATTCTAAGAAAAAAAAAAGCGCCTAACCTCGGAATGCCAAAATCATCTAACCGTCGCTTCCACGCAAAGAGAATGAGGGGTAAAAAAAGGTCCCCGCCCAAAACCTCCAGCTACAGTCAATAAACCCCGGTTCCTTGGCTACTTGTAACCCTAGCCCAACCTTACTTCCTCGCATGCACCTCTGCGCTGTCCTATCGCACCCTCCAGCACCCTTTCCTCCGAAATGGCACTTTTCCCTCCGCCTTACCCTCGGTCAAAAAGGCGAAGCCCCATTTGCTTTGCTGGAGCGGCGCATGACCAACCCACACGGGTACCTTCTTGCGCGCGGGTTACCTATATGCGCGCAAAAGGCGGCCAGCACAGCAAAAAAGGTCCTTGGCGCAAGAAAGTTGTACATGGAACCCCGCTGATTCGCCACCTGTAAACGCCACTAACTTTGGCGAGCGACCAATTCTCGTGCAGCAACACATGTGCGTTTGGGGGCGCTAGCGGCGTGGGACGCTGTGTATGGACGGCAGCTGAAAGGTAGTATGCTGGGGTGTGGGCAAATCCTTTGTCCAAGGCCACCACTCAACGAGAGTCGTTGCGGTGTGTGAGATGTCGGAAGTTCTGGAATGCGGTTCATGGGGGCTGTCGTTTCTTTAAAGGGAAAATGGGCGGCACCCCCTCGTGTTCCCACTATTTGAATTCCCTGGTGTACCCTTCTTTTTCTTTCTTTTAAACTTTTTTGTCTGGTCTGCTTGTCCTTGCAGCTCAAAAGATCATCCCGCGTTATTTGTTGTTGTTGTGTTCCTCATTTGCACGTTTGGTGCGCGACTGTCTTTTCTGAAACCCCAGGCGTATTCTCACTCTCACGCTCGCTTGCTCACTCTTTCATCCGCAACTGGGAGAGACGAAAAGTAAACGCAGTCTTTACCGAAGAACACTTTACGGCTTATCACGCTACATCACATCACATCAACCAATCACACGAATTGCACGAATATCAACGACTTGTTGATCATTACCATCATACCGCGTATCCTGCTATCAAGCAATCAACACTCACCAATCTACCAACAACCAACAACCAACAAAACCACACACACACACACATACATATACACATCATGGCACCCACACCAAATACCTCCAACATCCCCGACGCACCACCAGCCCTCTCCTCAAACACACCCTCCCGCAGCGACGGCTTCAGTCCCGGCGCCATCATCGGCATCGTCATAGCCATCGTCTTCCTCATCCTAACCGTCCCCCTCATCGCCGTCTGCCTGCGCCGCTACGAAAAGTCGCGTCTCCGCGAAACACCTAAGAGCCCTAGTAGCAGCACCGCCAGCCTGCGCAGCGTACAGGAAGACCACAGTTTGAAAAGCATTCTGGTTACCAAGGAGTTGTCGCGGTCGAGTGTAAGGATGGAGCGGGCGGATGAGAGGGTACGGAGGCCCGAGGAGGTGTATGGCGGTGGGAGGGAGAGGGAGAGGGCGTGGAGTTGTACTGAGGTGCATGGTGGGGAGAAGTAGAGGGAAGTTATGACGGGGTTTTTTCTTTCTTTAGATGGAGATTTTTCGAGTTCGAAAGGGTGTGAAGCGCCTAAAAGAAGACTTATTTTCGCCTGCGAGGGCGGTTTCGCGTTAATTCATGCTGAGATAATGTAGCGTTCTTTTTACTGTTTTGTGGGGGCTGGTCCTCCCGGGAACTGCCCTTCTATTTTGTTATCAGCTTTCCGCTTGGTTCTTGACGCTGGTGGAGTGTCGAAAATGACTGCCCAGATGTAGAATTGGGGAATGTTCCAGGATTAATAGCGTGCGTTTTATCGCATCGAATACCAAGGGGGTTCGATACTTTTGCTAAAGTCGTCGATACAGATGCATCTGCATCCGCATATTCTCAAGTTCAATCGGATAGCTTAGCCTATCATCCAACCTGAACCATCGACTATCATCTTCCTTTACCTTCTCCCAACTCGCAATCTCCTCTTTGCCCCTCTCATGCTTATTGCTGCTGGCTTGGTCCAGGAGCGTGTGATCGAGAAGCCATTGCATTGGGTACTTTTTCTCTGCTCCGTTGAGCGTGACGGTGGAGTAGCTTCCAGGGCTATCAACGACTAGAAGGAGTGATCCGGGCTTCATTATTGAAGTGAGCTGGAGGAGGAATTTCTGTGTTAGAGGAAGGGATGTGGAGTAGAGTTCGTTGAGGGTAAAGAGCAGAGTGACTAGGTTTGCGTCTGCTAGTTGCGACGTCATTTCCGATGCAGACACCTTTAGGACGTCTTGTTGGGCGAAAGTAATCGATATCTGATCCTGGTCCAGAAAAGGTACATTTGCCGCCTTTGCAGCAGCGGATGCGTACTTTGACAGTGTCGGTGCAGTCGTAAGGTGTTTTGCCAGGTTCTCCACTACCACATTCCAGTCCGCAATATCAACAGCTGTAACCTCCATCTTTCCCGCATCTACCACCTTCTCATCTTCCCCCTCTTTTTGTTCCAAAATCTTATCCAAAAGTAGCTTCTGCAATCCCCCCAAGGCTACAATTTCCGCTCCAGCTCCACCACCCAAACATACAACTTTCCGACTCTTAGCACTATCCGATCCATCGGGTATTGGTTCTTCCAAGCCAAATCCCAGATCTTGCCTCAAATCCCAAAACAAATCCAGATACCCCAACGCGCGACTCGGACTCCACCTCGCCGCATACATCTCGAGATACTCCTCTTTGCCAAACGCTGCCGCAAAATCCCGATTAAACAAATGCCCCTTGACCTCCTGCAAGAGCGGCCCAAAATCAACACTCAACCGCTCCGCAAATGAATTCCGGAATATATTCAGCAAAATCTGCTGGAGTTCAATCGGAATCGTCGGCGCCTTCGCCTCGCTTTTCCCTCCTTCTTCCCCCGAGCGCTGTTTTGATTGCGGTTTAGGAGCCTTGGTGGCTTCCCTTTGCGCCTTGCGCTTTGCATTTAATTTTGAATTCGGGGCCATTGTTTCCCCAACCCACCCAAACAACAGGTTCAAAATAAAGATAAAAAATCGTAAATCCTATACCGAATCTAATTTAAAGTGAAAGAGGATGGGAGAATAGGGGGAAGGGAAAGCCAGAGGGGCGGGATACAAAAAGTGCCTTCTTCTTCTTTATCGATAAATAATTGTTACTTACGACTTTCTAAGCGAGCCAAAAAAAAAACAGGGTTTTGATTCGCCGCTACTTTACTCACGTTACTACGAAATCTCCACTTCGGAACACCCGTTCCGATGGGCGCGATATGTGCTTAACCCCGACCCCTCGGGGTCCGGTGGGGCACATATCGTGTGTAAAGTTTGAGTCACCGGTGTGTCTCTTTTTAAATATCTGAAAAAAAAAGAAGTGAAAGCTGATAATTTACATCTTTTCCTTCTCTCTTGATTATCACGGATTTCCTCACCCCCAAACATGCGTCTCTCATACGTGCCCGATCCCCCGAATTTCACGTCGGAAGAGGATAAAGCGGTGGAGCAGCGGGTGAGGGAGAGGCGGGGTGAGAAGGGGTTGATAGCGTTGGATCGGACGTTGCTGCATTCTCCGCCAGTGGCTGATGGATGGTAAGTAGAAAAGACGTGTTCAACTGATCTCACTTGTCCTCGGGTGTTGATTGTCTGTGTGTTAGGAACTCATTCCTGGGCTCCATCCGCACAAAGACCAGTCTCCCCACTGCGATCCGTGAAACGGCCATCTGCCGGGTCGCGGTTCTGAACCGAGCATGGTATGAGTGGGAATCGCACTCTCCTATTCTCTCATCTGCATCAGGTACTTGTTTTCCTCAAATCACTACGCATTGTTCACCAGACTAATTGCCCCAGACGTTACCCCACAACAAGTGGAGGCAGTCCTGAAATCTCCACCTCGTTCACCCTTGGTAGATGTCTTGGGCACTTCTCTCTCTACACTACTAGCTTACACAGACGCCATGACGCTGGATGTCCAAGTTCCTGATGCTGTATTCGCGGAACTCAAAAAATCATTCAGTGAGCGCGAGGTCGTTGAGATAACAGCCACAATCTCAGCGTACAACTGCGTGAGCCGTTTTCTCGTTGCGCTAGATGTTGGAGAGAGGAACGCGCAGACAGGACCCAAGGAAGGCGGAAAGGAGTAAAGCTATGGCATTCGTATATTATTGTGTGATATGTAAGATATCAACATACACACGTGGTTTCCAACATCCTATCTCGAAACCTTTCTCAACCTCTATTGAACTCCATGTATCGGTGAAGATATCCAGCCTTCTCAAGCCCTTTTCAAACAGGTCTCTCACGCCTTCCTGCTCTGCCTAGCAATCTTCCTCCTCTGCGCCAACATGTGGGAGAACAAGATGTACGATCCGGGCACATAGATGGCCAGGATAGCCCAAAGCGCGTACCCAAACAATTCATTCCTCTGGCTTGCGAGCGGGATGGCCTGGTACACCAACCAGCATTCGGACGAGATGCCTAGCGGGTAGAGCACGAGGAAGGTGTTATATCTCAGCCATGTCCAGAGCTTCGGTACTCCTGCCCCCGCTAGAGAGAAGACAAAGTACGAGTAACGGATGACTTCTGTGATAGACCATGCGAGCAACATGGTGGTATAGGCTGGCGAATGGCGCGTTGAGAAAGGGAAAGCGTAGGGCGAGGCAATGAGGTGGACGAGCAAGAAGCGTGAAGCGACCTGCATGAGTGTAGTCAAGAGAGGTGCTCTGACGATGCCTAATCTACATGTTAGCCATTTGCACTCGAATCCAATTCTTCTGTTTTTAAACGTACCAACCAAACTATGAAGTACCTCGAGTCCTGCCAGGCTCTGCACAGTCCTTGTGTAGTATTCGAGGTTGTCGTATACTTTTGCACTCGATAGTCCTCTCTGTATCGCAGTGGGCCAGTCACCGTTGCCGAAGAACGCAACCGCCTTGTGTGCATTCAATACTTCATTGACTCCGATGGTGGCGGTCTGGTAAAGAACGCCTGCCCACAGCGCGGCAGATACGGCATTGTAAGCAAGGAGGTAGGCGTTCTTCGCTCCCGATTGCTTCGCAGGCCTCTGATCGTTTGGTGCAGCGGCCCGCCCTGTGGTGGATTTAGACGACATTGTAATCTTGTTGTTGTAGCAGTTTCTCTTTACGAAGAAAGGAGGAAGAAATTGGCAGTATATAAAAAATGCGAGGTTGGCTGCAAAGAGTCTACGTATGCTTAACACTCTGAGCTACAACATTTCGACAAAAGGCCTCGGCTTGCGTTCCTGGCGAACCCCTGCTCGCTTGGCGTGGCCGGTGCCGGGATATCATGTGCGATGAGATCATGGCACGTTTTTTACAGCTCTATCCTTTTAACTTCGGTATCCGAATGATTTATCGTCAAATGATTCAGGTGTGATGGATAGCACAAAAAAATTACGATGTACAAGTTCATGCATTCCACGTGACATTCGAATCTTACAAAGAAAGAAAGAGCTAGACTCGTCGAGCTGACTACGGCATTGATAGAAGAAATGCTAACCCCCATAACGCCCAAGTATGCAATGCAGCAAATGACAGAAACGCCGCAGTAGAAAAGCCTAGATAGATTTGTAGGATGCAAAGAAAACCGAGATTAGGAATGCAAGCCTGGGTATCGTTGAACATCCCAAGTATAACTCAGCCGAAATTGAGACCTCCCGAAAAAGGAAAATAAACGAGGACGCTGCCGACAGGTACAGCTCTCATGGTTCAGAGTCTCAGACCATCAAAGGAAGACCTGAATCATGCTTTTCTTGTTTGATACATTCTTGTCGCAGCCTTCGACGACACAGGTCTTGAACGGGTTGGTGCTGACCGGCCTTTCTTTGCCCTTTGCAGTACGTTTAGCAGCACGATTCGTGGTACATTCTCCACAGTAGACCTATGTATGTTAGTTGCAAACTCCAACATGAGTAAAAAAATTGACTTACATGACCGCAGCCTTTGACAATCCACACCTGTCGTTTGATCTCATCGCTACCCACACACAGCTCTTCCTCGCAATTTGGGCAGATAAGCGCACCTTCCTCTTCCGGGCTCCTCGTGAAACCCTCAGGTGCTTGAGGTGGCGCCTCATAGGTAGGTGGAGGTGCTGGTGCTTCGCGTGCTGCCTGCCCATAGTTGAAGCCAGTACCCTCAAAGTCCATGACAGGTGTAATGAAGCCCAAACGGATATGTGTATGGCCTCGGGATGGATTCCGGTGAGGAGCAACAGGCTCATGGAAGCGGCCCGCGGTGCGGTTGATCTGGGCATTGAAACGATCGACTTGAGCCCGAAGATGTGTGAAGCGACCGTTAAGCGTACCGAAAAGATCCAAGACATTGTCGAGCTCTCGAGTCCTGCGCCGTCGAATTTCGGCCTCTGGCAGAGCGTTTTCTCGTAAAAACTCGACCTCGTCCCCGTCGGAGTTGTTGCCGGCAAGATTTGGTGGTGGCAGGCGCCTGGGGTTGATTGTCCGGGAAGAAATGAATTCAATATCAGGGGAACTTGGTTCAGGAGCTGGTGTGGCCATTCTCCACTCTTCTTCACCATTGTCGAGGTCAATTATGATATCCATGCCCCGCGGTAAGCGGGGTCCTCCATTTGCACGAGCACGGTTCGGGTCTTGCCGCTCAACATGATCATGTCGTTGCCGGCCGCTGTTGCCATCCTGACTAGCTCCATATCCAGAGTCGTCGGCGGTGAGATCGATGATAACGTCGTCGTCGTCATCGTGGTTATCGTGGTCACCATTGTCGTCTTGGTCAACCCTGCTCAAGTCCGGGCCCACATCTTCCTCTTCCCCTGTTAGGTCAACAGATCCAACATCAGGTTCCCTTGATGATCCAGCTGGCCGTCGGTAGTCGAAGCCGTCTCCGGGGAAGCGCACTGAAGCCGAAGAAGCCATGTTTTCCATCCTGGGAAGGTGGAGTCCCGCAGGGCGTGATTGCGTGGCGGTGGACGATGAGGCGCGTTCTATAGGAGGTCGGGCTGCGCGCAGGGCGGACTCAAAAGCAGGCGCTCTTCTAGGTTGTTGAAAGTGATTGTGGCGGGCGTGTGGTTCCTCGTAGTTATTGTGGGCGGCGTCTTGAGCGTGGTCATAGTGGGTGGGGCGTGGGAGGTGTTCGATGAGCGGGAGGCCCGAGGGGAAGCGCGGCTGAGTTTGGTGAGGGCGTATGTCCGGGAAGGGGTTGTATCTCCACGTAGGTGAGGCCGAGCCCTCATCATCGTCGTCGTCCATTTGTTCATGCGAGCGCTGGACCGAGTCTTTGTTAGCGTCGCAGTGCTCGGCCGCCGCAAGCTTCGCCCGTTGGGCCGGCACTCACCTTCTCTCGTCTGTGCGTGTACCCAAACGGCAGCTCTTCCCCTTCCATTCCAGCGACGGGCTATGTGGTGTGTGTGTGGCGTAGGGAGTCGTGAATGTGCGGGGCACCTGGCGAGAAGAACAGCCAGCAGAGAGTGGACGGCGTCGAGTTGGGCGGGCCGTCGTGTCGTAGCGCTGGTGTGTTAACGTCGGCGAAACTCGTTGTCCCTGGTGGCAATCATTGCATGGCGCTTCGGGAGCGATCCGACATAACAAACGTCACCCCCGTCTCTCGCCCTCACCCTCACTACCGCCCGGATCGACATTGGACAAAGAAAAAATAAAGACAATCCCTCCGCCAGGCTCCACCATTTCCATTCATCTTACCGCATTAATCACCATTGCAGCATTCAGTTTGCATTGCCCAAGCCTAATAGCATTGATTCGCAGGAAACGTGACGTAGTAGTACTCGTACTCGCAGTCAGCAACACGCCGGAAATGACTTCTTGATTGCTAAGCTGAGGCCAGCACACCCCATATTCTGCATTATCACTACAACCCAGTTTGCGCCTTAAATGTTTTCTTTTTTCGACCAGGAATATGGTCGCCCCGAAGCTGACCGTCTTGGTTGATGCTTCAACCATTCTAAGCCAAACTGCACTCTTCCACAACCTTCTGAAGTAGTCCAATCCAAATGCCTCTGCCATTTGCTCATAATTCCTCAGCTTTTCATCCTTTGCACTTGTCGCTCTAAACCAACAAGTCTTTCCAAAAATAGCGCTCCAGTTGGTTCTGAGCTTATAGTATTACAAGTTCAATCAGTACTGCGTCCTAGCCTAAGGAGCAGCCAATACCGCCAAACCACCCTCTGGTGTCAGAGCTACCACACTCTCGGCCTTTCCACTCCATGCAACGTCCTTGACTGGTAATGCCTTCCTCACAAGTTCGGCCCAGCTCTTGGTTGCCTTTGTGAACTGCTGCACCGACACACTACCAGTGCCACCAATCGCCAGATACATGCCACTATAGTCCCATTCACAGCACGTGACCGGGCTTCCGGACTCGAGGGTGTAAATGACTGTTTGCTTCCGGATATCCCAAACAGAGACGCTGGTAGAGCCTTGCTGCGCAACAGCGAACCAAGTACCATTTTCAGCAAACTTGAGGTCCACAATCGGGCCGCCTGTTTCTAGCTGGGCCATAGCAGCGCCAGTCTTGATATCGTAGATGCGGATATTGCCATCGGAGCTTCCAACAAAGAAGAGCATACCATCCACGTGGAAGGCAACGCATGTGATTTCCGCTTCGACGTAGACCTGGGAAACGGTCTTGAACGAAGTAAGTTCGTGAACAGCATAGTGCTTGTCTGCACCCGCTGTTGCGAGCATCTTTCCACTGGGGTGGACGGAAATGGATGTAACAGCTCCAGCATGCGATCCTACTTGGGCAACCTCGTTGCCTTGCTCGAAAATCTTGGCTACACCAGCTGAAGTTCCAACAACCGCACGGCCTCCACACCAAGCTGCTGCTGTGATGGCGCTACCAGCGTTGAAGGTCTGTGTAACCTTGCCCTCAGCCAGCGCATAGATGCCAGCTGTCCCGTCTGATCCACCAAACAAGACCAGACCGCCTTCTTGTACGGCAATGTTGCTGCTACCTGGGTATATAGCCTCTGTTGACTTGACCAGGTCGTAGTTGGTGATAACTCCACCAGTGGCCCAGCCCTCTGGTACAGCTCGTTTTCGGCGCGAACCGAACAATCTGTGCCATGTTAGTATATGTTGTCTAGGTCGCGTGCTAGGTGCCTACTCTTGCTGTGTGTCGTCAACCACCTTGATCAAATCCTGAGGCAGGCCCTGGTTGTCGACTTGCATGGCATCACCCTGGACGCCTCCGCTGATGGTGACATTTGACAGAGCCTCGCGCGCTTCGTCCCTCTCTTTTGTTATCCGTGCAATTACCCGTGTGGCGGCGTCGTTCTGGTACAGGGCGGTGCTCAGCTCTTGCCTCGTTTGCGCCAGGTGCTGCTTGAGCGTATGTGTCTCTAGTACCAGGGCGTCCCATTCATTTTGGAAGGCACTGAGCATGGCAGGTATCGAGGTGAAGTTGGGCGCGCGTGGGGTCACGACATTGGGCGACTTGAGCTCGATGAGGTCCTCGGTCGCCAGGTCTTCTCCCGTAACCGGGTCGGTGTGGTGTTCTGCGATGTGCGCTTCAATCAGACGCTTCTCGAAGACGTTGCCCGACTTGCGCGAGGCAACAGGCTCACGGGGAGCTTCTCCGGAGATTGCACAGAGCATGTTGACGTGTTGTTGGTGTTTGTAATATTGAGGCTGGATACTCGGTCGCGTTTGAACTTTTCCCATGATAGGATGCGCGCGCTAGTTTGTTGGTACCTAGCAATGTGGACCGTGCGAGTCCTCCGCAAACCATCACCATTATCTGTGTATCTCTTCATCCCATCTCATATTATCTGACTTGAAGTTTTTTCTTTCCAAAAGAAATATTGTTCAGGAATCACTGTTGTTTATGCAGAAATTAACCAAGTGAATTCAGATTGAAGCAAAATCTACTATTCCGACCTGAGATACTATGCCAAAAGCACAGCAACCTCGGATGTGTATTGGATCAGGGCACATACATACCTACAACATGCAACACAACAGAATCATGAGTACTAGCTTGATCATGTTGTGTGTGTTGGATCTGAGAGGCTTGCACCTTGTCCAACTCAGTTCTTGGGGTACATTAGGCCAAGACGTGTAGCCGCTCAGCTGCCATCAATCACATGCTCCATCTGTCCAAGCTCAAGGAAAAATAAGTTCGTGATAAAGTAATTCCTTCAAAATATCAGATGCTTCTTCCGTACTGCATCCGACCCGTTTGCCGTGTTTTTGTAACGAGGCATGTCGGCACCGGATACTCTATACCAACCCCGGTCCGACAGACAGCCAATCGCTGCGCAGGCGGGCCGAGATGCGTCCAACCGGATTGCTCCATCAACGCCCACTTTTCGCGTGCCACTTGACCTCGACCTAGACGATCTAATCTTCTCCGTCCTTACCCCAGAATCCACAGCCTCGTGCATATCATTACACATTTGAGCCCTAAACGGTATCCTTTCCGGGTAAACAAGCTACTCTAGCGCGCGTCTCCCAGCCTTTCCTCGCCGGCATGTTGCTTCTTTGGCGATGGCATCGCTGCCAAGCCCACCATCCTAACACCCTAACCATGACGGTATTGCGGGGAAGCGCGTCTTGGTTGCATCTCGAGCGACTGTAGCCATTCATACGAGACTTTTTAACCGAGATCAAAATGCTTGGATTGCTGCCGTAGTACTTTGACTAGTACAAAGCATGGCACTGCCTCAAGTATAAGAGGCCCCGGACGTCCTCCATAGATCAGCATCCACTCCGGTCTCTGTCTTTCTCAATACCATCAGGCACCATGATAACCAAAGGGCTTCTCGCCCTCGGATCGGCAATTCCTGCCCTTGCAGGCTCCCTTGTCCAACGTCAAAGCACGCCTCTTGACGACTGCCCTGGCTACGCAGTCAGTAACGTCCAGAACGACGGTTCCCGGGTTACTGCGGATCTTACCCTTGCCGGTACTGCTTGCAATGCTTACGGCGATGATCTCACTGATCTCAAGCTCGAGGTCGAGTATCAGACCGGTCCGTTATAAAGCCATCTTGACCTATTGGCAATACACTAATTCCCACTAACAGAGGATCGCCTTCACGTGAAAATCTACGACGCCGCTGAACAGGTCTTCCAGATCCAGGAATCAGTCTGGCCTCGTCCTTCTGATGATGAGGGCACTGACCCTGAAAAGTCGTCTTTGACCTTCACTTGGACCGATAGCCCGTTTTCCTTTGCCATCAAACGTAGGGCCACCAATGAGACGCTCTTCGATACTTCAGCAGCTTCTCTCGTTTTCGAGACGCAGTACCTTCGTTTGAGGACCGCTCTGCCACCTTTGCCAAACCTGTACGGTCTTGGTGAATCGACGGATGCTTTCCATCTCAACACCACTAACTATACGCGAACTGTAAGTCTCTGCCTCTTTCATATCATGGACATGGTACTGATTTTGGTTAGCTTTGGAATCGGGATGCCTATGGCACGCCACCAGGATCCAACCTCTACGGAGCTCACCCGGTCTACTTTGATCACCGTGGTGAGAATGGTACTCACGGTGTTTTCTTGGCTAGCTCCGAGGGTATGGACATTAAGATTGACGATACTGACGGCCAGTTCCTTGAGTACAACACTCTTGGTGGTGTTCTTGATTTCTACTTCCTTGCTGGACCCGGCCCCAAGGAAGTTGCAACTCAATACTCGGCCCTTTCTGGCCTGCCTGCTATGATGCCCTACTGGGGCTTCGGCTCGCACCAGTGCAAGTATGGATATCGTGATGTTTGGGAGGTTGCTGAGGTTGTGGCAAACTACTCTGCTGCTGATATCCCACTTGAGGTAAGATTTATAATATAAAACAACAAGCTTTGGGGCTGACTTTTCTAGACTATGTGGACTGATATCGACTACATGGAGCTCCGCCGCTTGTTCACCCTGGATCCCGAGCGTTATCCGCTCGAGCTTGTTCGCCAGCTTGTAGACTATTTGCACGCTCACCAACAACACTACATTGTGATGGTCAACTCCGCTGTTTGGAGCGGTGACTATGATGCCTACAACAACGGTGCAAAGCTTGAAGTCTTCCAAAAGAAGAGCAACGGCTCCTTCGAACAGGGTGCTGTCTGGCCAGGTCCTACTGTCTTCCCGGATTGGTTCCACCCCAACACCCAGAAATACTGGGACGAGGAATTCGCTCGCTTCTTCGACCCCGCTACTGGTGTTGATATTGATGGGCTTTGGAACGACATGAACGAGCCTGCCAACTTCTGCCCATACCCATGCTCGGACCCTGAAGGTAAACTTCGTCTTCCATTGACTAGATTGGCATACTAACAATTGAATAGCCTATTCTGAGGAGTCTAAGAACCCACCTGAGCCACCGGCGGTGCGCACTTCTGCAGGTCGCCAAATCCCTGGCTTCCCAGCAGGTTT